TGCCCTTACAAAGCACGCATTTCTGTTTTTTAATTGACTTTATTTAGGTATTTGCCATTGTTATGTGTATATAATTTCCCGTGACATCTTAACCAGACTTGCTCATACCAAACATGCATTCTGTATTTTTAACTAATCTTCTTGAAGTATTTATTATTGTTAGAAGTATTTTAATAACTGTAATTAAGATCTTATTCAAAGAATCTGGGGGAATAAGACGAGTCATGTGCCCATGCCCGTTTTTCGGCTATGCAAGAACATTTATTGGAAAAAAATCTCTCAATTGTTCGAATTTACTTAAGCATTTTAATGTTTACAGTAGTTCTCAAAATGATATTTATATTCTAAACAAGCTAAGCAGTTGACTTTCATTTACTGTCACAAGTGTCTAACATGGGTAGGGACTTCTATTAATTAATCTGCATATTGAGTGTTAACACTTATTGTGGAGATATTATAAAAATGTTAACATTGTATATAATGATAGTGGTGATCTAGAAGCGCTTGAAGTAAAAATAAATAAAAACGGGAATAAAAGTATTCAAATATCTATTACATGTATAATTTTTATCCGGCATTTTAAATAATTTACTGTAAGTGAGTTCATTACGACATATATATATATATATATATATATATATATATATATATATATATATATATATATATATATATATTATTTCCAGTGAAAAATATGTTATTCCTATAGACATTTTTATAAAGTAAAAAAAAATAACCCCCTCCCCCCCCCCCCCAAATATTAAAAAAAAAATCATGACTCGAACGCTTTCCTCAATAAACGTCCCTTTAAAGAGCTCCTCGCTAACCACTATACCACGGAGTCACACATACATACCCATTTAAATAGCATACAGCTCTCTATATTTAGCAAGCATATTTGGATTTAGAAATTTTTAAGACCACGGTGAAAATTTGAGTAAGTTAACTTAATTTTTTATGTTGAGTGGGTCTTCGTACCAATTTTTTGCAAGTGTAAAAAGCAACATCTTTCCATTGCCTTTCATTAATCGTTCTCAAAAAAATGGTACGATGACCCACTCTATTTAAAAAATGTAGTTATATCATCCAATTTATGTCAGTTTTTGTGAAAATTGAGCGTGATGCCATTTTTTTGTGTTAATCAGAATCATTTTCGCTGTTACAGTATTCAGGTTTTGTCAAATTTGTATGCAAATGGTAATAAGCATTACATTAATTCAACAAAAAGTGAATTGTTTTAAAAATGAATTTACTTATTTTTTATCGATCATCATGTAGGCATATGGCTCGGCTTATCCCCCCAGTTTCTTTCCCTCAATAAACTTGCATTTATGTTGTTGTTGACTTAGTTAAAATCATTAATGTTGCCGGTTTCAATAAGACCTATCTCATATACATAATTCTATGTATTCCTTTTTTTTATTTCAACGAACGGTGTTGCCTTGGTTACTAAAAAAAATTCTGTGAAATTCTTTCAAAATGCTTCTCATCTTAGAGTTTTGATCTGATTTCAATCAGATTTGGTACACAAAAATAGTATACTAAGATATTTAATTTTTTATGGGTTTTCGATTTTGACAAACAATATTACCATGGTTACTAAAAATAAATATTTCTTTGAATTTTTTTTAAAACTTAGTTTTAGCCCAGTGTCACAAGGTTCACAACTGACTATACAAAGATACATATTTACTATAAGTACACACCAATAGACGTGCAGTTCGTCAGAGACTTCTGGTTTAATATACATTGTATACGTGTTTTTATTGGTTAAAGAATTTTGATAACTGTGACGTCATAACCTATCTTGCGCATAGTATGTATCTTTATGTATTTATTGTTATGAGTGTAAAAATATCTGTGGCATCTTAACCAAATTCACTTTCACCAAACTTGCTCTCCTGTTCTTGTTAACTTGTATTATTGTTTTTATGTAAATACCTGTTGCATCTAAACCAAACTTGCACTTACCAAATGTGCACATATGTTAGTATTTACTTTAAGGTTTATTTTTATAGTATTTATGGTATTATTACATGTAGTATTTGAAACAAACTTACACTTACCAAACTTACAGTAAAATTATGTTGTTGGTTTTTTTTCCTTTACTGTATAAATTTGTTTATTTTTATGAGTATTTGTATATGTGACATCAAAACCAAACTTGCACCTCCGTTTGATTACATAAGTCGTCTTTTTTTCACTGTTTAAAAGTGTTAGTTGTAGTATTTCTGTGTTATTTGTGGTGTTTTACGTTGACATGTTCTGTAATTAATCTGGCCCTAAGACCATAAACTGAGAATAGACTTAAGTCAAAATTTTGATCTGTAATATCTTGAGTTTTATTTCATGTATTTGCTTAAAATTTTGCAATCTTATATAACATTTAAATTCAAAAATTTTGTTTCATTCTCAAAATTATTTCAAAACTTATTTCGCTTTGAAATTTTGACTTAAGTCTGTTTTCAGTTTATGGTCTTGGGGCCTGGTGTTCAAATGCTTTTTGTGAGAATACAAGATTTGTCATCCAAATTCAGTTAAATATTAAACGGAATTAGTATATGACAGAAAATTTTAATCATTAACGATAAATTTGAGTAATGGCATCATTGAAAGTTTGGATTAAACGACTTGCATTCCCTAAAGTCAACAGATATAATGACATATGTCACAAGAAAGTGCAATTTTAAATTACAATAGACTCCATTGCAATTTTTAATTTCCTGATTATGTAGAAAACGGGACATACAAAACAAAATATTTTTCATCTTGATAAAAATTTATTATTACTTAAGATTGCCTCAATTTCACTGAATTTGGACGTTCTAATTTCATTATAAAGTTAGGTTTGTAAGAATGAGGGTCTGCCATTCCTGACGTTTACCTTGCATTTGCCGCAGACATACAGGTTTCCATAGCTTTTTGCACCAAAAATGTGATTTTTATCTATGGTTGTTCCTGGGCGGCAAGGGAGGCATAGAGATGGGACATATAATTTTGTCATTTTTACCTTTTTTTATATGTGTGGCTGTGTTTCAAATTCCGTGTGTTCGATGTACAAATTATACCATATAAAAGCATATAAAGAAGTGTTGTTTTATCATGGATTTTGGGTGAAAATGCATACGGATATTTTTTTGTTCATTCTTTCTTGGTATAATGAATGTGAATACTTCGTTCATTACAGCATTTTTATCATATACCATGCTCTAGTGTATTTCATCACTAGGATATACGTTATAACAGGATGGCTCAACTTTTAGATGTGCCACCTCGGGCCCGTTTTACAAAAGAACTTACAACTAAGACTAAAAACTTAAGTTGATTGTAAAATTTTTCAATAATAATTATTCTTTTTAAAATTACTAGCGTAAAATATCTTTTTACTTTATTTTTTAAAAAGATTAAAAGTGTGTTCAAATAAATGTATATAGGAAGTTATAAGCAGAGTTTAATTTTAGGCCTAGTCGCAAGTTCTTTTGTAAAACAGGTCCCTTGATGCTAATCTGGCTGTGTCGTATAAAGAACCACTTCATTATTATTGGATGCTTATTAATTACCACCGGATAATTACTAAATCATATCGGGGAGCAAAGTCATAATTAGTTATGTTAATACAGAAGCAGGTAGTGCAGCTTTGTTCAATTCGTGTCCCCCCGTGGGTAATGCGGGGTCATATTAAAAGATCTATTCAGTTTTACATTGGACTTTATTGGACAAAATCCATTAAAAATCCTCTAGAACCATGATTACAGTCAAAGAAATATTGAAGCATCCTTAGTTGATGCTGATTTAAGTTTTTTTCCTTAAAAAATGATCCCTGAGGGGTAGGTTTGGACCAAATAATTTTAAGCTTTTCAATACTAAATTTATTTTTGCTGTTCTCTACTCAAAGAGCTCCTGTGAGCGATGTGGGCCATGGGCATCTTGTTTATTGATAAATGAGTCGTCTAATACCGGTATGAGAGTTATTCTTTAACTGTAATAGAAAGCAATTTTAGCCTGGATTATACGTTCTTTGAACGAAAAGTAGACTTTGAATACAACGTTTTCTTTAATCCTTGTTTTAAAAAGTTGAAACCGCTTAATATGAACATATATTAGCCGAATTTGTGAATCGAAAGTGCATGGATTTTCCTGATTGAAGATTTTCATGTTTTTATATTGATACAGGTAAGTAAAGATAGTTAATTTCTTTGTACTGTTTTACTGGTTATTAGATAGTAAGAATTAATATTTGAATTATCCAATATAGTTTCTAAGAATTGTGGTGAAAAAATATCTCTAGTTTACTTATCCTTCTATTGACATCCAGTTACAAATATCATTTACGATTGCAGGTTTTTCATAAATTATTGTTATCTCCCATTCCAAAGGAGAGGATGGGAGTATACTGTTTTACCCTTGTGTGTCTGCCTATGTGTCTGTCTGTCTGTCTGTCCGTAAGAAATTTTTCGTACGGTTGCAGATTTCTCAGCAACTACTCATCGCAGATGCTTGAAATTTTAGCATACTCTTTGTTTAGGCATACCATAATTATGGTGGAATTCATTTTTGTACAAAACAGGCCTGCTCAAAAGCGCGAACGTTCGCGAGCGCTCGCCAACATTTCTGTTGAAGAGATACGGAATTTTGGCGAGCGCTCGCGAACGTTCGCTCTGTTGAACAGGCCTCTGATGTCACCTTCCTGTTAATCCGTGCGTCTGTCCGTACCATACATAAATTTTCGTTGCAGTTTTCTCTACTACTACTCATTGCAGATGCTTGAAATGTTAGCACACTCTTTATTGAGGCATGCAATATGGTGGGATTCATTTTTGTACAAAACAGATGTCACCTTCCTGTTTATCCGTGCGTCTGTCCGTAACTGAACTCGTGTTTATTTACATCAGAGTGTATATTCACATCAGATCGGGGGTATTACTAGTGAGCGTTCGCTCACAGACTTTGTTTAAAAAAAAAAATTATATTTGGTTTTATACGTTTTCTTTTTATACAGAATGAATCACAGACTTGGAACATCAGAGGCTGTTTATGTAGGTGTATGTCGCATAGTAGGCACGCCTACACAAGTTTCAATAAGAAGAGAAGTGGCCAATATTGCTGAGATTATAATGACGCCATTAGAAGAAAGAATGGAAGTAAGAAGACTTCTCAATGGAAGCAGTAAAGAAGGCTTTGGTCACGTAGCATCGGATATGGACTGTATGATCTGGCAGACTGATGACCATGTTATATGCGAATTAAGTCAAGCAGAAAATTACAACACAGAAAGATGTTCCTTAATTTTAATGCTGTATTCGGATGGCCCCCCTGGTTACACTATGTTACAGCTACTGAATCATACAAACAATTTTTATGTTAAACAATCATTTGTTAGAATTAGTGACAGATTATATGTATCAAGTGCATTATACAGAGAAAGTACATTATCTTCATTTAAAGAAGACTCTACTCAACATGGACCTTGTGCAAGTGGAAGGATTGTAGATATGGAATATGATCTTGCATATGGTTTTGCTTGTAAATTCTGGCCATACGTTTCTACTTCTTTTACTGCGAGATGCCAGTCTCAAAAATGGCCAGAGAATCAAGTTTTAGGAGATATTTTAACCTCGGGTTGTCATGTGGTACCTATAGGATTCAAAGGATCTTCACAGGAAGATTTGGAATGGAGGATTTCATTCTCTGTAGCTGAAAGAAAACTTGTATATTGTATGAATCACACACAGTTCATGTGCTATGGATTGCTGAAATTATTTCTAAAAGAGGCCCTCCCTGTGAAAGATACAAATGGACAGCCTATCCTTTGTTCTTATTTTATGAAAAATGTTTTATTCTGGGTTATTCAACATAATGCCATAATGGACTGGAATCCATCAAGCCTGTTGTCAGGATTTTGGTTGTGTTTCAAATTTTTAGTGTCATGTGTGTATCATGCTTATCTTCCAAATTTTATTATTCCCGAAAACAACATATTTATTACGAAAATATTTGGACATTCACAGCACTTATTAATTGAACAACTTCTTCAAATGTACAATTTAGGGACTGCTTGTTTATTGCATTGCCAATCAATCAGACAGTGCTTACTAGTACTTCGAACAATTTTTAGCAGACAACATGCATTAAGTACTGCCGAATCAGATATTATAAACGAATTCGGCATTGATTTTGAACTTGCTAACGAAATTTGTTTGCATGATATATCTGGGACGATTTATTCTTTTGCTGGATGTTGTTTTACTATGTTACATTCTTCAGTCAGGTACCTATATGCGTCAAACCTAACTCCAAGACAGCGTGTTGTTGTCCGGAAATTCATTTCATCAAGTCTAAGATGTGTTGTTTTCTATTTATTCAATGCATCCAAAAACTTAAACAACAAAAGAAGATTGAAAATTATTCATGCTTGTTTGAATCTCTCAAAAGTTAGCACAAAAATGGGATGGATTTCTGATAGGCTTTATCTTTGTGCACTACTTTACTCAGTAGGTAAAGAAAAGGATGTAATTAGACATCTTGAGGAGTTTAAAAAAATTCTTATAAAACCATATATTATGTATGATGTAATTACAGATCAGCAGAGTTATATTCAAAATGTAGGAGGACTGACACTGGATGAGAAAATGAGTACAGCTATAGCAAGGGACATTCGTTTAGGCTTGATTTTGATAAAGGAACTAGAAGTAGAAATCGGAACAACAACAAGAACTTTTATCGCTATACCACCTTATGTCATGACACTTATGTTTCTAGTGTTCTGTTATCATGACAATCCACGTAAACAAAGGGAAACATTAAATGAACTTTATATGCTCCTCCAATATGACAAGGGACGATATATTGAAGAATATCTGCGAGATATATCATGGCAAATTCTTGGCATCTGTCAACAGATTTGTGGGGATCATCGAGGGGCCGTTTCGTCTTATATAAACTCTCTAAGACAAGAACCACTCAATGACATAAAGGATGCAACCTATCATAGAATAAACGATGCTCTAAGAAGACTTCACTGAAATGCAAATGAAATGTCCTTTCATAAAAAAAATTAATACAATAAACTCATGTTTATGTATTTTTTAAAAATATTCTTTTTATTTAGCTGTATTGTTTTTACAATTATTATGTTGATTTTCTTAAAAACAACTGATTTGTAATGCTGTAAAAAGACTTCAATTTTCAATAAAACGCAAATAAAATTCCCATTTAACAAAAATAAGAATAAACTCTTATGTTACGTATTTTTTCATATTTTTTAATTTTGTTGAATTGTTGTCCCCCGTTTTCACTGAAAGTGGGGGATATTAATTTTGGTCTGTCTGTCCGTCCGTGTCTGCTGTCCGTCTAGCTGTTCGTCAGTCTGCCCCACTTGGTTTTCCGCACTTTTTCCCTAAACGCTTGCAGATATTGAGCTGATTTTTGTATGTAAGTGTATCTTGATGAGTTACAGATCAAGGAGTTGATCCTTACGTCGCGGGTTCGAATCCACTGCGGGACGTGAAGACCAGTCCTTCGGATGAGAATGTATAAACCGAGGTTCCGTGTCGCAGTAGGTGTTGGCACGAAAAAGATTCCTCAATGCTCAATGGCACTAAGTGTTGAGCAGAGGTTAAAAATTTGCAGCCCTCCATCGGGAAGTGGTGGCGTCTCCATATGAGTGAACAATTCTCGAGAGGGAAGTTAAACAACATAGAAACAAACAAACAAACAGAATGCTTGTCATACATATGAAGACACAGAACCCATTCCTGCAGTCAACTTTTGGAAGCGCGACAGATATTTAAATCGAAAGGTATTTAAAAACTCGGTGTTGTGAAATACTGCTAATATTTATTTTTAGCTCTAAGAGCATTATAATCAAGCCTTTCTGTATATGTAAGCATTTTACTAAAGAACACCAAATGTTTAAGATGGCCAATTTACATGGAAAGCAAAAAAGTCAAATTCACTTGAACGGGTAAGTTACAATATGGAACAGTTATAACTTTTAGAGAACTCTATTATAACTGTTGTGAATTCCAGACTCAAAACATTTCTACTACCCTGACAGTTTGATATATAGGGTTTTTTTTTTTCACATTATGACATATACTTCAAATAAGTGTGTTCCCTTTTTGACAAAAAACCTGTTCTAACCTTTATGTTTACTTGTTATTAAATTATTCATAGAATAATTTGATTCAGTAGAAGTTGCCTCCATTGACTTAAGTAGTTCGATTCAGAAATTCTTTTGTTTGAATAGGGACAAGTTGCGTCAAGAGGTTGAAGACAAAGGTTACGCTGTTGTCCCTGACCTGTTGACTCCCGAGGAATGCGATTCCTTGATGTCACAGTACAAGGACTGGGTGAACAAGTTTGATGAGGGCCATATCCCCCTTCAGAACAGAGCATCGGTTATTCAGTCTTACAGGGTTGGTCATTTTAAGCCGAGCTGGGAGGTTCGCCTCAAGTCCAAGGCGGTATTTGAGGCTATTTGGGGGACGGAAAAGTTACTGTCCAGTACTGATGGAATAGCAATTTCCAAGCCACCAGAAAACGGTACTAAATTGGAATATTGTACAAGCTTCGATAATTTTTCTAAATTTAGAAGAGATATCGTTCAACTTCGTCATTTCATTAAAACTGAAATATGTTGATGACTTTTTTTTGTAAAGATGGAATTTCTGAATTAAATGTTCATACCGTAATTCGGATTGATGTATTTAGTTTACAGCAGATTTGTTTTCATACCGTAATTCGGATTGGCGTATTTATTTACAGCAGATTTGTTTTCATACCGTAATTCGGATTGACGTATTTATTTACAGCAGATTTGATTTTCTTACTGTTATTCGGATGAATGTCTTTAATTTACAGCAGACCAATGTCGAGAAACTCACAAAGAATGGTTACATTTGGATCAGGGAGCCCAGAGAGAAGGGCTACACGCATACCAAGGTGCTGTTTACTTAGAGGAACAAACAAAGGACGATTACTGCTTCAGGGTATTGTCCAAATCTCACCTCTATCATTCAGAATTATTCAAGACATTTCCAAACGGCGCGGCTAGGACAGCACGATTCGAATTTTACAAACTATCAAAAAAGCAGAAAGAATTTTATTATAAAAAGGGATGTACTCTTGAATGTGTTCCCGTACCAAAGGGAGGGATAGTAATTTGGGATTCTCGAACGGTTCATGATAATGCTCCTCCTACCTTAAAGAGACCGAATCCCGACAGATGGCGCTTTGTAATCTTTGTGAGTATGACGCCTGCCCAGTGGGCGAGTGAGAAAGAGAGGGATTTCAGGAAGGATGCATACAGGCGCATGCTCCTGACTACTCACTGGTCATCTCAGGGGCTCAAAACATTCAAAGACAAAGGGAATCGAAAACGGAAGTTTGCCGATGTTAGCATCGACAGTTTACCAGACGTTGCAAAAACAAAGGAAGCCAGATTGTTAGTTGGAGACGAACGGTACAACTTTGCTGACGAACACCCGAACGGGCCAAAAGCACCGAAATGGAGACGTGGCTATGACAGAGAATCTGCTTTGAACAAATCGAAATGAGTTCAGTGTGGAACTTTCTTTTAAATTGGCGTTCTCTAGCGTTCTTGTCAGCCACTTGCATTATTTATACATTGTGTAAGCATTTCCAGTCTGTCATGACGACCCAAAGAAAATGTGGGTCTTTCACGTAGTAATAAACCTATGCAAAAATATGAACTTATTCCATCGCGACTCAATCAATTTCCTAGACAAAATGACTAAATAACCTGAGCTTAAATGTTTTAGTAGAATCAGAGTCATTTCAGAAAATCAGGTGGCAACCATTTAATATGTCTACCAAGTATATAGAACCCAGTTCATGGTGAGTTTAGAAATAAAATCACTGAAGATTTTGTATTTGGTTACATTTAAAATACCGCCTTATAAGCTTGCTTGTTCGACATCTTTCTGCTATTCATACAAAATCAAAAAATATTTTGAATTATAAACTATTGTAATTTGTATATTTATAATCTATATGAGAGAATAACTTTTTCTTTTGCAGTGAATGAAAGCAATCATGAACTGCTCTTTTATATGTAAATAAAATAAACATTTTCAACAAATTGTTGTGATAGTGTTATTCTACTTCTATATATTACATATATTTCAACATTTATGTTTAAGGGCGAATTTGTTGCACCTAAACTAGTTCAGGTTTTGGTTTAAGGTTTAAAACTAGTTTTCAAACTGGTTATAAGTTTCGATCCGGTTTACCTCGATAAAACAAATGAACAGTTTATACAAGATGGCATCTAAAAGATGCATGCATGATTAATTACACAGGGACTTGAGACAGTCTTAGCAAAATCGGGTATATAGTATAATATTATTATATATTAATACTATTATACTATATACCCGATTTTGCTAAGATTGTCTCAAGTCCCTGTGATTAATTATATTAATATTAATCATGTTAATTGGAAATTTAACGCGGAAATAATGCTGCTGATGAAAAAAGAGATAGAATTGCAAGAATTTTATGACGTTTTTCATACAAGTGCATTTACAATGTAGGAACTTTAATATGAAGAGCTAGAACAACATATTAACCAAATTACACATGCAAATAAAGTTAAAATCTTTTTCTTAATAAAAGAATCCAAGAAATTATAGTTTTTTGTTCCTTGTTTATCTTACTTAAAAATGCAGTATTTACATTTATAATGCCTCAAAGATTCATCAAATGATCAATTTCTACATTTTTAACACATGGAAAGATAAAAATTTGGGTATTTATAATTATACTCTTTAGATTTCCAACATTAAAACTGTTTTTATAGTATGTTCTACAATTTACCATACATGTTAAAGTTTGTTCAAATGATTCAGAACTTATTTTTGAAAATTATCATTGAACAAACACCATTACAATATGCAGCATATATCTATTCTCTGAAGCTTTATATAAAACATCAGAATGTGGCATTAAAGTCAAAAAGAGTTGTTTGTCCTCGAAAAAACAATCATCTATAACTTTTTTTTTTTATTAAAATAGTCACCACCTTTCATCACCGCCATACTGGAATACTTCCCGCTCTTTCGCAAACCGAATAAACCACCATCGGAGGTGGTTTGGTTGGTTTAACGAACTGGTTTCAGTTACAGCAAAAACAAATGGAAAACCGATTCTGGGTTTAAACTAGTTTAAAACCAGTTTGTGGAACAAATGAACAGTTTACAAAACTAGTTCAAAACTAAAACCAGTTTTTGAGAAACAAATTCGCCCTAAGTTTCTCTCAGGAAGGCGGCATTTTTTTAAAACAAAGAACTTGTAAATTGACATACATATACTTAAGGAAGCTCTTAACACTGCACACTGTAGAGTTCAAATTCCATGGCAGTATTACCAGTTAAAGTGACCTGCTATGGCTGGTACCTTATGTTGAAAATGAACTAGATAATTTCAGCATATACACCTTTGTGTGATAGTTTTCTCAAAATCCAAAACAAACAGTTTTCTTTAGTGACTAGACTGATCTTCCTTAAGAGGCAACCTTTAATTTTTGTCTCTTGATTGAGTTTTATTTGCATTAAATGCGAGGTTAAAGAATTAAAACCTCGCCCCTACTGTAATATAATATTCTCCCTCCTTGAATCAAATACTAGTATTCGTATTTTGGGGCTATAAAATTTCAGTAATAAAAAGAGCTTTTGAAGAAGAGTACTTAAATATTTTTATAACATATTAATCCAATAATTCCTCATCTAAGGAAAATTATGTCAAATTCACTGGACATAGTACAGCAAATTTAAGTTATCTTCCTTAATTGGCTAGATACACTCCCTTAAGCTTTGACAGGTTCTATGATTTCTAATGAACCATCTTCTTTGCCTTTTTCTTCAGATTTCTGTAAAAGAAAAAGAAAAATACATTGTACAAACAAATATCCCTGGAAGTCACGGTGACATAGAATTTGAATTTTTATGATTGGGATAAGCCCAAAAAGAATTTCGTAACCCCTTCTCAATGAGAGAGAGAGAGAGAGAGCAAACCTTCAAGAACATCACAAAATACTTCATTAGTTACAGGTATGCACCAGCAGAATGTTGTAATTAGTTCATATTCCCTTAAATCTTGCAAAATGGTGACAAACATGACTTCGCTTAAACTATGTATCCCCAAAAGCATTTTCATTTTAAAAATATTCTACAGGAAATAATACTTTATATTTTAAATAGGATAGTTAACATTTTTCTTTAATTTTTTGCTTTTTTCATACCTCAGAATCATCCTTTTTGGCTATTTTCTTCTCTCCTTTGAGCGACATTCTCTTGTACAAGTCTTGAGCATTGGACAATATCAATGCTACAGTGGCTAGCCCTACTAGGATCCACAAACTACACAGTAGTTTGTATGGTATACGGTAGTCGGAATCGGATGTTCCTATATTTAAAAAAAAGTAAAAATTCCTATTCGATGAGCAAATGTGTCTTTGTATGATTATATACATGTATGTAATGAGCTTTTCTATTTAACCACGCAAAAAAAATATTAGAGAGACAAGTGCTTGTAGTGTCACCCCCTAATCTGATCAGAGCAATAAATGAATTAATGAGAAAATCATACAAGATTTGCTGTTCTTTGATTGGTTTTGACCTTGCATTTGTAAAAAAAAAAAAAAAAAAGCAAACTTTGTGCTAAGTTCGTTAAATATTCCAGTGATTCGGAGAAAGTGAACAATGAGAAAAACGTTAAGAGACTATCTGATAGCTACATAGACCAAGAAAGTTCACTTGAAGTGATACTATAATTGAAACATCGTTGTTTCAGGCCCTTTGGAACCCCCCCCCCCCCTAATTTTGTCGATATATAAAATACTATAGAAAACATAACTACTATATGCTTGTGTCCCTTCAATAATAATGTCCGATGACCTTTTTTTTGCTTGTCAAGAAAATTTAGTAGTGGATAGTGCTGACCCAACTGAAAATGTGTAGTTGTGCCCCCTCAAAGTGAAATTGCTTCCTACGGGCCTGTGTTTAGCTTTTTTTTATATTTAACTTTTTTTTTAGTAAAAACTTTTTTTAAGGATATTTAGTATTTCGCTAATGATGCACGTATAGAAGAGGCATTTTAAGTTCAATTCACTCACATACAATATAATAGCTAGTTGATCGACTTTTTTTTACCCGTGGTATGAAACAGGATTCTAGGTTCCAATGTCACGCATTTCCCCACATCATATATTGATATAAAATTATAGATTTTTTGCGGCATGTTGTACTTGTGATTGATCGTAACATTTGTATCAACTTGTTTTTAATGGAACTTGAAATAAAAGTATTACCTATAACGAAGTCTCCAAATCCGATCGTTGTGAGTGTGATTATGGTATAGTATACAGAATCTCCGAAAGACCAGCCCTCGATGGCAGAAAAAATAGCAGCGGGGATTAAAGAGTTCACAATGAAAATTAATGAAATTAGAAGCACCGTCTTTACCACTTGATCTAATTTCTCATTTTTCTTAATTAACACTTTGTCTTTTAGTGGCTTTAATAAATCGTCTAACTTTTCACCAAGTCCGGATAACACCAACGCCATCATCGGTATTCCCAACAAACCGAAGATGCAAACGAAAGCTTTCCCGCCACCCGTAGCAGGCGATTGGTTTCCGTAACCTGTAATTAAAAAATAAAATATTCGTAGTCTATTAGAATATCGATAACACTTTAACAATTACACTTGAAATTTATGTATTCAAATGAGAATTCTAAATATTAATTATTGAACAGTTGAATTTCATTTATTCTTTCGTATATATTTTTTCGACGCGTCTGTCTTGGTGATATAGTGACCTATTGTGGTGACGGCGGTCATGGCAAAGAAGGTTGAGCTGGCATAGTCCCACTGAGATGCGGAGGTATCTGTGTCCGTCACTAGGACCCCCTCATCATAGGCCTGTATAACAGCTTGTACGAATTGTCGGACCTGAGCGGTGGTCACACAACTACTGACAGCTGGTAAAAGGTTAAAAAAGAAGCGAAATTACATTGCAGTGTGGATTTATAATTCTTAAACATCTTAGTTGAATTGATGGATAGAAATCATTTGCGAAAAGAAAAATACATAGAGATCATACTTTTGTATCCATCTTCCTTTTCTCATATTTTTTTCACTAAAGAAAAAAGATTTTTTAACAAAATCAATATACGATTTTTTTTGGTTAAGTAAAAAAATGTAAACGCTTTCATATAAAAACAAAAACAAATAACAAAACATATAAACAAAATGGGGGAAAAAAAACTTACTTCCGGAGAAATTGAAGAAAGTAGAAGAAGCTGAGGTCTGTGTTTGTTCTTCATTAGTATGTTCAATCCCGTATAAAATGGCTCCTCCGATCAGGACATAAACGATCATAACAGCCAACAGAATTAAAAGAGTTTTGGTTTCCATGACAAATCCCTCGTATATCACTCTCTGCCACTCCCAATCCAGTTAAAAACGTGGATATTTCACTTTCTCATGTTCCCTAGAAATTTTAAAAAGTCGTCCATTCTAAAAATATCTGCACGGTATTTTATAATGTATCCCTAAAACTATGCGAGAACCAAATTTAAAGATATAAAGCCTCCGATCATCGCACGATCAGTAAACAAATCCAAAATGAGCTTGATATTTACATTGATATTTAGATGTACCTTCCTTACCCTCCCCAATGCGTTGGTGTCTCCCATAGAAATACTCTATAGGTGAATGCATAGAATATATAGGTGAATGAATAGACGGTGGAATAAGTGGACCGAAAATGTCAAAGATATTTAAAAATGGGTGAGAGAAATTTAAATGATCGATTCATTTTTAATACGTTGGGATTAGTACTTAGTTACACAGTCATAGTACTATTTTAATAAGTGCATATTTACGCTGTCCTTATACATACGTAGCTGACAAATGTACCCTCACCCGGTCATCCCCTCTTCTCTCCCCTAAAATATGTAAGAACACGCCACCCAGGCCTTATCCTTTTATGTATGATTCTTTCCTGCAAAATTTGCAACCAAGCAAAGTCTTAAAAAATACCTTAGTTCTTATAAGGTAAAAGAACATGTAATGTGATAGGACATTACGTTTTGAACAAGCTTTTATCTCGTACATGTATATTGTGTAAGCTTTGACAAGAAGTCAAACAGTCAAAAGAAAACATTACATCACCAAATTGTTTTCATCTGCAAATTTTGATTTTCAGTTCAGCTTTACTAAGCATCTTCGTGATAATTGAAAATTTAACTGAAGTCGATTCTGACACAAATTACCTTATACGACGTGGAAAAAAGGTAAAATTCTTATAGACTATAAATATATCAATGGTGTAAGACCAAGTAAATGTGTTTCATTAAAAGTTTAAATTTTAATCATATTAAATTTGTCTGTAATAATCGTGCACTACGGATATAAAATTTATTATGAATTGTCAAAGGACAGAACCCTGCTAAATGGTGACTCATTACAGAAATATCACATTGAGAGAGAAAAACAGGTTTTCAATTATTGATGAGATGCCTATGTTCTATTTTCTACCTGATCTCGGGTATGGCCCTACAGTATTTATGTCACAAGATATACATGTAATTGTGTATAAAAAGATTGTAATAAGAAATTCCATGTGATCACTGACCGAATCAGGAATTATATGTGAATCCTCCCCATTTTGACTGAAAGTTCGTGAAATAAAAAAAAAAAAAAAAAAAAATCAAATGTACAGGTACACCCCCCGCCCCTTAAAAAAAATTAGAAATTTTTAATAAAATACCAGTATCCATTTTATAGGCATATCGCATATTTCCCTGGGTCAGCTATCGGATTGTTTTCACTTCAGGGAATATGTTAAAATACGTAGGACAAAATTAGCGATTGCGCGGATTAATTTCATACAGATATTAGGGAATAAAGTCATTACTTGATTGGTTTAGAAATAGGATGAAAAACCTGAATTTTAGGAATTAAATGAAATCCCATATTATGCTTGTTTTCTGTGACATAAATATTTATCTCCTTGAAAAAAAGTTTTTTTTTTTAAAGATATATTATTTACCACGAAAAAAAAAATTACAGACATTATACATTGAACAATGTATTTAAATTGTTCATTCAAAAGTATTCTTTTGAAATTTTCTTTTCCCTAATTAGATTTCTACCAACATCAAAATAAAACGTCATATGGCCAGTAGCTCAATGCGTTTTATTGACAAGGTGTATAATTTAATTAAAGATAGGTGTGAGTGCCTCTTCTTGTGTGAGGCTTAATAGGTAGGAACTTCTAAATTATGCAAAAGATTGATCTGACTTCGGCCGAATCTCTCAGATGCGCAATAATTTCTCGGTTTTTCTTCTGACCGTCTCAGGAATTTCTAGCAATGGATGCTTAAGTTGGAGAAAGCTTTTTTCTTTCATTTTGCGGAGTTGAGTATTATTCCGGTGTTAAATACAGCAATGGAACCAAAACTTCGGATTTCCGACTTTTCTAATCGAACAAAACCGTTCCACAAGTGCCAAATATGGAAACTGAAAAGACTTTTTTACGATAAAAAAGACTTGACAACAGGAGCAAGTTTTTCCTTGCCATTAAACCTCAGTCAGCCTTATGTTATTAAAAACATTCTTATGAAAGAGATTTTTCCTGGTGCTATTTTGACTATATTTCTCATTTTATTACAAACATCACCAACAGCCGCTCAAGTGACCCGTCCCTTCCCAGAGATATACAACATTGCGGAGAATCGCCCTGTGGTCAGTAAACCCTCGGACAGTGCCTGCGGTGTCCCCACCAGGAACGCTTACTGTGAGAGCAGCGTGTATCCGATATCAGTCCAGCAATGCAAACAGTTATTCTGTGTACAGATTTGTCCCAATAGGACAGCCTTGCCACCCTCTGTGGATCTTCTAATCTCCACCAGCCCGGGTCTGGGGACATGTGTCGTGACGGACACTGTAAATACTCACCCCAATAGCCGATTGGGGGAATTCTCCACATATTTTGTGCAGACTGGTCCCTCTTGCTATGCAACGCCCTCCGGTGTTTTTGGTATCGGTGCAAATGGGGACTTCACAGTAAGCTTTTGGGTTTGGCAAGAAGCTGGAAATAATGGGTAAGATTTATCATAGTTGAAAGATAAAAGGGTTTGGGATAAAATGGTAATCTGGTTTGTCATTTCTCTGTTTTAAAATTGAAATACAAATTAGTTTAAATTCAGATCATTAAAAATTAGCCGGGGGGGGGGGGGGCTTACAAAGACTAAAAAATTTCGCTTTAGTCTTACCTTACACTCTTGTGTTTACCACGATACAGTATTGATTTCAAGAAAATTTAATAATATACAGAGAACCCTTGACTTGTCGCAGCTAAGAATTCTAGAGTGAAAGTTTGAACCGGGAATAGTTTTGAATAGAATATCTAATAGTTCCAAAAACAATCTATAAACGCATTTAAAAATAAACCATGGGCAATTTCTCCAAATTCTATTCTTCATAAAATTCTAATTCTAAAGCCGACTGGGGGAGGGGATCTGTGTATGTATACGGTATTTGGTTGTTGGGATGTGTCGCTGGAATTTGATTGGTTTGAATAATCAAACTGTCTCGGTACAGGTTAAACCGGGTCGGTAGGACATTAATCCTTTTATCGAGAGAACATTCTATCCAGAATTTGTTACTCTTTTTATCACATCATAGGCTAGTCCGAAATATCTGACGTTTTCCTGGCTTTTTAAGGATTTTGATATTTTACGTGGCAGGAAAATTCCTGGCACGCAAAATATCAAAATCGTGAAAAAAGCCTGGAAAACGTCAGATATTTCGGACTAATCATAGGCATGCATGCAAGAGAAATCTGCATTAATATACTATAGTACTGTAGTTAATTGTACAGTTATCCATTTGACACTCCTAGTGGTGTTTGTCGATAAAATATATGGATATGTATTAAGGTAGTCCGATCCTCAGATTCTGAAAATCAGCTTTTAAATAATTAATAATGCTTACAAAAATGGTCCATGTTTTCAGGGGGGATGGGGGTCCAAGGTCATATTTTTCTTTCTCTACATTAGAAATTTTTTAAAATCCCACGCGCATGTACGTGTATTCTGCGTTACAAAAATTAGCAACTAACGCGAAATAAGCTCTTTATTAAAAAAAGACAAAAAAAAAAACTCTTATGACCAGGCCCGAACCGACGGTTTCAAAAGTGAGGGGGGGGGGGAGCCCCCCCCCCAAAAAAAAACTGACAAGCAAATAAAAAAATTATTTACTGTCCAAATCCTGGAATATACCAGTGCTCGACCTTACAACAACAAAAGGGGAGGGGGGCAACCAGCATCTAAAGGAAAATTTACTATAGCACAATACTATACTCAGAAAAAAGCCCCCCCCCCCGCGTTCTACGGGCCTGTGACCCTTTATCCGAATCCAATTTAATAAAACCACAGGAGTTAGGTCTATCAATTTTACCGAAATTTTCAGTAAATAAAAAAATATAATGTATACTATGCCAACATTTAAATGAAAGTTTTAATATGAGAAAACAACATAGTACAATATAGGCATATTACAGTCATTATACATATACTATTTGTATGCATTTTATGCCTCCTAAAAGTTGACAGCTAACTCTCTGTTCAATATACAATTGTTTGTTTTGTTCTGTTTTTTGTCATTTATGACTATGATTGCGGACATTGTTCATCTTTATGCTCCACTGTGGGCCCAGATTGGTTGAATAAATATTCTATATACTATAATAACACATGTTATAATTATAGTATTACGTATTTGTTTCTTTATTTACTGAAATTTTCGGCAAAATTGATACATTATAGGTATGCCAACTCCTGTGGTAGCAATCCATGTTTTGTTCGGAATAAAAAATGTCATATATATAATTACCTAATTTAGAATCTGTCTTCCATTTCCGATTTGATTTTTATCGGAAGCGACTTTTTGCAGCTTTTGGCCTACCGAAACATCCCGAATGTGGTTGCAATCGGAACATTGACTCACCTCACTGCGCATGCGCAGAAGTCACCTTCTTCCTGTGTAACGTAAACAAGGAAAATTTTCCCCTCCAGTACGACAAAAAGGTTATTGCCAATTACTGTATGTAAGTAGTAAGTTATATAGTATTGACTACATGTAAATAAATGAAAATTTTGATATAAGCATATTATTAAACTAATTTTATTATGTTTAAGGCGAAATATTTCAATACACATATTATACAATTATGGACTCTTTCGGTAATGAATATGGTTTGTTATTCTCCAAAAAAAATATCAATATTGACAGAGGCGAAGTAATAACATTGTATTTATAGACAAATATTATTTATAATAAATAATGATGATAAAGTTTAGCAGCGGCAGCATGATAAATAAAACATAACATACCCTATAAGGGGGGGGGGGTTAATATCACCAGACAACGAAGTTGAGGACAAATTATTTTCAGTACTTCCTAGCAAATATTTATTTCCAAAATTAATAGGCCATCCTCTTGTTATCTATGACCATAGCAGTGTTTGAAAAGGAAATTTGAAACAGGGGTATATCCTCCTCAATAAAACATTTAGAAGTTAACACATGATATTGTTATTGTGTATATTTTTGGCAAATTTATTAATCAGCCCTAACTATGCAGTGCACAAAAATTATCTCATATGCTGAAGTTAAAACTCCCTTTGGGCTTTATGGGATTTGATCATGTTGCTAACCTGTATTTAGTTTATTTACACCCCAATAAAACGCAAAAAATACCTTATTTCTTAATTTAAAAAAATTTATCTCCTTGCTTTGATCTCGTCAAGATAATTTTTTTTTTGGTTGAAATCCTCCGTGAGTTTTAGGAGATTAAGTACTAATAAACAATATTAAAATAGTACGTATACACACAAGCATGTAGATGTGACTGGCATAATTCATCCAGTGCATTTTAATGTAATACATTTATACTGCTACAGGGTTGTCTGTAGTGAAACCGGGGGGTCGGTTAATTTCCCCATGTATAATGACGTAATCCTTTAGTTATCCTGTTGTTACCCCTCAAGAACATGATAGGGGAAGAATCACAGACCCCTTGTGCTTTCTTAATATCCTGTACTATTGCAATTCTTAGAGACAACCCTGCAATTTTGTGATACATCTTGTTTCTGTACATGTAAGCTAACTACAGTAAAACACGCTTATCATGAAGTGCCAGGGATGGACAATTTGTTTAGTTGACAATATAATTTAAAGTCATGGGGAATGAAAATCACTGTGATATAAGCTTGTTTTACTGCATAACATTAAACTTAACCAAAATGTTCTTCATGAATGAATTTATATTCAGAAATAAATTTCCATGAATCTTGACATTTTATATTAAAATTCTTACTATACAAATGTTTAATAATTTTTTTTTTTTTAATTTGTTATGTTTTATGTTTAAGGAATCTATGTTCAACAAAGTCTTTGGTTCATGTGCAAACACCTTAGATGTCATCAACTTTCAAGAGGTATATCATTATCACAATGCCTGAATGGGATAATTAACCTCACAGATGAAAAAGACAGTGTCCTGATTGTTTTTCCCTGCCTAAAGAATATTGAAGAGAACAGAAGAGGTGTGTTGTCCTGACTGGCTTCAATTATTGCATATGCAAATATGACTTTTCTGATACAAAGTAATAAATTGTAACTTTATTTTGGAATGGCATCTGATTAACCTTTACATAAAATGTTTGTTTTTTTTAAAGGAAAGTAATAAAATTATTGTAAACATCATATACTGTTTTGAATTTTTTAAGCTATATAACAGTTTTCTTTTATTTTACTTGTAATGTACAGGGTGTGTCAGAAAACATGCAACCATTTACTTCCCTTACTTTGTTGATATGCAAACAGAAATTTTTACAAGTTTCATACCAAATTATACTAAAAAGGCCTAAGATTTTATTGATAACAAAAATATGGGGAATAAACATCAATTAAATTAGTTGTGACATCATATCTGACATCATTATAAACAAACAATTACCTATGAATCTACTAGAAACAATTAGCAGGTGTTGAAACTGGTATATAAAAGCACATCACAGGTTCTTGCGAGAAGAACAATGAAAAAAGGAATCCAGCAGAACTCAAATACTAATAAATGGAAGTTATAAAGAATGTTTAAAAAAAGGAAGTTAATGGAATACAAGACTAAGGTTAAGGACTAAAATCAAAGGCAGTCCTTGGCACAAGGGGAATCATTGAACTGGCCCATTTTTCTTTCAAGAATCGAAATGGAATGTGTCTATTCTGAAAAATACCTGAAATTGTTTCACAAGAAAGATCTACCCTTTGCAGAAGAAAACCAATGATGTGGAAAATGCATGGTTTCAGCAAAAATGAGGTGCCCAACATACCTCATAGTGTGTTCTGGACTGAATGCCAGTGGATGACAAAAACATCATCTTCTTCAATTCCATAATGTTAACGTTTGCCTTTTTTTGACACTCACGTATTGATTAAAACCCCTTTACTTTTATTTCCAAGGACATTTGAAGGACACCGTTTATAAAATAGGACCTCAGACTACAGAAAATTTGGCCATAAATTAAAAGCTGATTACACAGAAATCCTGTGCTATAGTTAGGCCATTCCAAGTTTTTTCTCTGTTTAGCGTCCACCCATCTTTTAAAAACCTACCTACCTATTTGCAAAAAACACACAAAAGAAAAAATAAAACAAAGAATATATAATCATAAAAATAAGGTCAATTATAGGATTTGATTTCATTAATCTATTTTCTCGTAGAAAGATCTATTCTTAAGCAAAATCAGAATATTAAATGCTTAAAGTTTACCTAACATGACATATTGTAGACAAATATTTCAAAAATTGACAGAATTCAAAGATTTTGACTAGAATAATCAGTTTCAGGTATCCTGATTTTGTTTGTTTTTTCTGATATAAGGTGTCAAAAACCTAGGCGCACGTGGACGCTAAACATAGAAAAAACTTGGAATGGCCTTATAGGAAATATCTAACATCAGATAATTAGATTTATTTATTCAACAAAAGGAACACCATTTAAAGCATATTTTGTAACAAAATGACATTTTACAACTTCTCTTAATTCTTTTGTAACTCATTAATTATTTGAGGGATTGTTTTCATTTTCATTTTCTTAAAAATAAATCTTGAAATTATACCTTTCAAAATGATAGGTTGTTGGCTGGTATTGATTGAAATCATAGAGAAATTCAGTAGTTTGAAATAGTTGCATGTTTTCTGAAACACCCTGTATGTTGAATGCATGATCCATCATCATTTAATACTATGCTTACTCTTATGAGTAATAGCCTCAGTTATGTAAGTAAGATACATATTTACTGTGATATACATGTAAGCAATATTTAGCCAAGGATAAGAGTGGCTTGCCTCTGTGTTTTTGACCTAAGCCCAGAAATTGCTTGTGTTTCAAGAAAGTTGTCATGTATTTTGTTTATTCTGCAAAATACATTTTTAATTTGACCTCCAATATGAGCTATTTTCCAACAAATTTAGGCCATCTATGCAGTTGAAACTATGTTAGCATGGCAAATAACTTTCTATAGATGACTTCACGATGCTTTTAAAGAAGTTGGAATGCACATGGTCATATTTGGGTAATGACTGAGTATTATAGTTTCATTTATTGGGGAACCTGTTTTCAGTCAAAGTAAGCAGTGGTTGTATAGAAAAAAAAAAGACACAGATGGTAAAAAGTAATGATTTTTTTATTTTACACACATCGCGACAGGAAATATAACTGAGTAAAAAAAGGTCGCGAAACTGGTTTCGAAAATTGGTTTACAGTAAGTGATATTGACACTTTTTGTCATAATTGATTTTTATAATGATAAGGCCATTCCAAGTTTTTTCTATGTTTACCTTCCACCCATCCTTCAAAATCCTACCTACCAATCCGCAAAAAACACACAGATCAAAAAATTAAAATACAGATTTCATAGTCATAAAAAGGATGTCATTCAAAGGATTTGATTTCATAAATTTTTTTTCTCACAGAAAGTCCTAAACTTTAGCAAAATCAAGGTATTAAACATGTTAAATGCTTAAAACATACCTAATATTACATATTATAGTATAGACAAATCATTGCAGAAAATGAAAGAATTCAAAGATCTCAGCCAGAATAATCAATTTCATGTACAATATGACTGTTCTTTGAGGGGTTTGTCATTCACACTGCATGCCACCAGTTATCTCTTCTGCAAGCTGGAGGACTGACTAGAACTCGTACAATATATCATCATACAATGGACTAAGCACTGAATTGGGCCTCATACGGTACTCTAAGTAGCCAGAAGAAATCTGCTTTAAAATACATAAAAGAATTGACACAGACAGTTGTGGTTTTTAAACAAATACACAGCATACTTTGCAAATGTAACAATAAAAGAGAAAATGTGACAGACTTGACCAGAATTTGAACACCCCCCCCCCCCTCCCTCCACCCTTAAAATAAGTAATCAGGTGCTTTACCAACCATGGCATGCAACATGTATCTGCTTACCAGCAAATGAATCTGCCTGACTGCCACACATTTGTTCAATTCATCAGATTGTCTCTTTGGGCCTCATCAGTCAGGGAAGAGATCAATCTGATGAAGTTTAAAATAAAATTGATATGTATTTCCCTGATACCTTCCTGGTGTATTAAAAGAATCATTTAATATTACTTTAAAATTTTTACCAAAACAAAATTTTTCACATTTTAAAACCACCAGGAAAGTTTCGGCCCATAAAATAAAACAAAACTAACGCTAAGAAAAACCAATGCATTGGAAAATTATCATATGCTCTTTTTGATAAAGATGTATGATATTGACTTACATTGGAACTAACCCTCTATTTTTTATATATTATTTGGTAAAGTATATTTTGACAGCGTTAGCTTTGTTTAGTTTGTTTTTGTTTTTTGTTTTTTTTCTTTCTTTTTTTTTTTTTTCTTTGGGTATTCAAAAATCAAAAATTTAATAAATATCAATGTCATTTATTTTAAAAGTAGAACAGAGGTAATCAGAGATTACAGAGCTCACCGCAATGATGTTTTCTTTAAGTAAGGCAAAGTCCCAAACTAAAGTAATAATGTAATAGTGTGCACCCCTAGATGAAACATTTATGCAATTTTGATCTGATGGGGCTTGCAGTTACTTGGGAATGGACTTATCTAAACACTTTAAACTATTCACTCATCCAGAAAATCCAGTCATCTAAAGCAAGTTTGAGAGTGTTCGTCCCTTGATGCTTCATCCATGCAAGTGTGGTTCAGATAAGCCTTATACTGGTAGTTACTTGGAAATGAGATCTGCTCAAAAAACTTTAACCTGGTCACTCATCTGGAAAATGTAGGTCAGATCCAGCAAGTACAGTAGTGTGCATCCTTAGATTATCATCCATGCAAGTCTGGTCAACATTAAAGGGCCTGTAGCTACTTTGAAATGAGACATGCTCCAAAAACTTTAACCTACTCCAAAAACTTTGACCTGCTCCAAAAACATTAACCTGGTCATTCTTCAGCTGAAATTGCAGCATCTGAAACCTTGACTGGTACAATGAAACACATTAGAAGCATCCTCAATGCATCTCTGATTAATATAGGGCATAGAAGTACTTAAAAAGAAAACTGCTCCACAAACTTTAACCTGGGACACCAACGCCGAGGGTATTACATAAGCTCCCCCAACTTCGTTGAGGTGAGCTAATAAAAATCATGATTCTTATTTAAAGAAAATTATGTTATCATTTTAACAGAAAATTATTAAATAAAAGATTATGTTTTCAGTGACTAATCTCATAATATGGAAAATGCTCTTTAACTAAATTATCAAGCATTCAATTTCAGTTAAACTTCAAAATGGGCCTGAAGAACAAGTAAAGAATAAATCTTGGTAACAATAACGAAACAAGGAGTAAGAACTCAAATTATTTTATAATTCTTTTAAATAAATGAATTATTAGAAATTTGTGTTCTAGAATTTTAAATTTATCCAAATTAAGCTGTAAATATAATCAATGAATATGAGTTGATACTCCTTAAAATTCTCAAGGAAATGTGTAATAAAAATAAAACTGCAAGAAACAATCATCTTTATACTTATTCTCCTACATAATGAAATGCTAATTTACAACTTATGGTATATGATTTGATGAAGATATGTATCCGTAATCATGTTTCCGTTACTGTGGTGTCGGTCTGACTAAAGCCAGCCCCTACTATTTCCATTCCTTCTACGAACAAAGTGAAATAGTAGGGACTGGCTTTAGTCAGACTGACTGTGGTGTACAACTTAGTCACAGATCTGAAATGCTGACCAGTCTTACAATAATAAAAATCTGAGTAATGTTCCTAATATGCTGCTAGAAGTTAACTGCTGACCTAACAAACTACAACTAGACACTCTCTTACACACCTGCTCCCATCCCAGTATTCTTCTTTTAGATAGCTGACAAACTGCAACTAGACACTGGCCTAGGGCAAAGCTGGAAATGCCCATCTACCATTGCCAATCTGCTACTGGACTGACTTTATGCCAGTTACAGCTGTCAACTAGATATGTCCAAAAAGTAATAACCTAAATCCTAACTTTTAAAAATTAAAATGGAAATAAAAGCCATCATAAACAAGATAAATATGTTACTTAGTTAAATTCTCTCTTACACACCTGCTCCCATCCCAGTATTCTTCTTTTAGATAGCTGACAAACTGCAACTAGACACTGGCCTAGGGCAAAGCTGGAAATGCCCATCTACCATTGCCAATCTGCTACTGGACTGACTTTATGCCAGTTACAGCTGTCAACTAGATATGTCCAAAAAAGTAATAACCTAAATCCTAACTTTTAAAACTTAAAATGAATTAAAAAAAATCATAACCCTTTACCAATTTGTAATTTACATGCAACTATGAAATAATGACCCAACAGATCTACATTTTTGAATTGCAAATGATATCTTTGAAAACGGTAAAGTATGGAAGAAGAGGAGGTTTACACACTTATGCAAGTTTGTCAGTTAGGTAGAATTTTCTATGCAAGTTGCTTGACATTCAAATCATATGCAAATTGGTTGTTTATGGTAAAAAAAAAATGAGTACACTCAAAGACTTTCATCTGGTTTTTCTGATGGAACATGAAATATTATATCTTGTTTTCGGTTATTCTGGATAACTGTTATTCTTCTACCATACAAAGATGGGGGTATTCTGTATGTCGAGGGTAGACCATGTTGTTGAAAAACATTGAATAAGGGTTCAGTTGTTTGTATGGGTAAGTTTGCTGGCTGAGAAGGATGAACTAATCTTAGTGGGGGATATGGGGCAACAGATGGCCCTAACTCAGATGTTTGTAAATTTGCACCTTGTTCATTATCTCTACTTGATGTTTGATCAGAATCTGAGTTCTGCATATCAGAGATGGAGTTTTCACCTTCAAAATCCTGGTTTTGTTGCAAATTCTCTAAAAGTTTTATTTTTTCACCCTCAGATGGTTTTCGTAAAGGTGCTTTTCTTTTTCTACCAGCTGTTTTTTCTGTACGCCTAAATCTTGGTTGTTTCTCATTAATGGCATTTGATGTTATTTTTTCAGTTTTTGAGAACTGGAGGAATGACCTTGATATTTTTTTGCAACCCTCATTTGCAGATATGATATGGTTCAAAGCAAGAAGCACATTGTCTAGCCTATGATCTTGAACAGATTTGTCATTTTGGACCTGATCTGATATTATCTTTAATTTGTCTTGAATTTCTTTGATTTTGGTCATTTTGGATTGTGAAGTAATTGATGCACTAACAATTTGGACCTTATCTTGGACATTACTAGTTGGTATCTGATGACCTTCTATGTCTGTTTCTTTATTTCTGTTAATGATACAAAATACTTTATGAGTGTGCTTGCATATGTTTCCTTGACTATAGTCAGGACAGTTGCACATTAAGAGATGGCGACATAAATTTATGCATGGAATTTTCTTGCATTTGACTGCACATTGTGATTCTGGGCAGGTTTGGAAATGAATTTCTATTGTATAAATACCATTTTTTGAGATTATCATAAAAGTTTTTTCATTTACTTGTGAAACATCTGAATCTGAAATGCTGTAACTATTTTCATGACGGTCATTAACTTTAATATCTTCTTTTGATGGTAAATTGTAGGTTTTCTTTGTGAAATGTTTGAAAAAGAGGTTATTTTCAATCTGGAGTAATGTTTCTACAAGCACATCTACTCTGCGATTTCGTTTTCCTTCAAAATAAATATTTTTCAACTGATTGTGAAAGCTTTCAAGAAACATATTTGTGTCTACATTGTAGTATTCTGCAGTTCGAAAACACATAGCCCACTTTTCCTTTCTACAAAGGTAAAAATCCTGAAAATATTTCAAAAAAGCTGGGCTGACCTCCCCTAACTTCCTAACTAAACCTTGTATATATTGATTAAAATAATTTTCCGATTTGGTTTGTAAAGCTGAACATAATAGGTAATAAATCTCAGTTTGAAGTTGACTTTCTTTGATGTGTTGCTGGATTCTTCGCCTCCAATTTCTATGAACATGCCAAATACATAGAAATTGTTTTAAATCAGGCCCATATACCTTTTGAGCTGCATTCCACCCTGAATTATCGTCATCGGTCATTATAATTTTTACTTTTGTCTGAGGTGATCTGTTTTTTACTGACTGAAGAAAAATGCTAATTGCTTTCTCATCTTCTTTGTTTGAAATACAAAATGCCACGGGATAACCATTTCTAAATTCATCTGGAACTAACAGTGTTATTAATTTAAAAGAATAAATATTGGTTTTGTGGGTTGAATCCATACAAAGAATAATGGGGGCAAATTTTTCATACATGGTAAGTTGTTGTTTTGTCATAATTGCCAACATGAAATCCCCTTTATCAAGTCCTAATGTTTGGTCCACTACATCTTGTTGTTTATAAATTAAAACTGGATCAAATTTTTCTTTCCTAAGAGATTCTACACGCAAAAATGTTGATGTGGCATCATCACTGTGCTTAATGACCGAAGAATCGACTATTTTCTGTTTAATATTGTGAATTGTCTTCCTATCAATTAAGTGATAATGTTTAATTCCTTTCATGTCCTCACGATTATCCCTATCACAAAAATTTTCTCTTATTTTATCAAGAATATTACTAATAGGAATTTTCAAGGCCAACATTGTACTTATTTCACTTTTTATATTTTCGGGAATGGGAAGAAATTTACTTTGACCAAAATCAAGGGAGTGGGAATGCGATTTGATATACTTTACTTTGACAGTTCCATCTATCCCAACAGATACCGACATTCTTGACAAACAAAGACCTTCTATTTTACACGAACCTTTCTTGTTATTTCTTCTTTTTCCGGTTTTATCTATACATCTTTTTTTACCATCTCTATGACAAATTAAAATGAAATTTTTGCTGCCATCTTTATTTGTTTTAATTGATCTGTGTAGAACAAACCTTGTATTTTTTTGTAAAGATTCCTCCTCCTTAAATTTATCAAAAGCCCCCATATTCTCAAATTCCAAATTTTCAATTTCAATATCGGCACTGTGCGCATTGATCAAATGTTCAATTAGGTTCTCTATATGAAAAAAATTTAAATCACATGATGGTACAAAACATGACACCCTATTTTCATGATTTTTACTCTCTTTTTCATGCACTTTTTTTTTATGTCTAAGTAAAGTTGACCTATCATAGAATTTTTTTTTACATTGACTACACTGATTTTTTTCACTGACTTCAGGTTCTTTTTCTTTTCCATAAGAATGTATATTTTTTATGTAATCACCTGACTGCTGTGTCTTTTGATTTACCAGATTATACAAGTCATATTTCCTACAATACATATTTTCTTTCCATACATATTTACTAGATGGTTTAGATTTAGATAAGTCATTTTGCGATTGTTCATTAATATGCAATGCAGGATTTTCTAAAACACTTTCATAATGCCCACCCCCAAATCTTGTCCAAACCAGGTGAATTTGCGAATCTGATTGACCAAAGTTGTGTTCATGAGTGACCACATTTGGATTATCTATATCACCACCAAATGTTACCAAAATGTTAATGTGAAAGTGTCTTGACAAAGCTAAAATGCATTCCTGACCAGCATATGTCCCAAACTGCCTCAAATTATTTAATTCTATTTCAATTTCTTGGTCAGTCATTGGCATATTATCACTATCATGATAGAAAGACATCCTAAATTCATTTAAATTTTGTTGAATTTCATTGATAGCTGTTTCTCTAAGTTCGAGGTGGTGGTCTTGATCTCCAAACAATGATAAACTTATTGCTCTAAATAAACAATTTCCATCCCCTATGATAGGTTGCCTGAAAAGCCCAAAAACTCCTAAATATTCATTTTGACGTGTAATTTCTAAATCAAAATCATCTACCATTTGAAGTTGCATTTCATTATTAATGATTTGGTCAATTACGGAATGAACTGGATCTGCAATCTGTAACAATTTTGAAACATGGAAGCTTTTATTTCTTTATCAAAATAAATGTCTGCCAAAATTGAATCAAAAGAGGCTCAATTTCCTAAACAATACATACATATACAGTTATCACACATTATCCCATACAGTTTGCCAAAAATCAATTGAGAGGCTACAAGTCTCCCCCGAATCCCTATGGTTCTGCTATTCTTCATAGGCCGATTTTTCCTTATATATTTATTATGTAAATCTTAAATCACATAATGTGGCCTCACACTACCCTGTCAATTAGTTATTTCATTCTACACTATTAAGTAAAGCTTGAAATCAAATAAGTTTTAACTAGTGATGGGCTGATTGTCGGTTGTTAGGAGCTCTTGGATGTGACTAATTGAATACAAAATAAATGTCACTGACATCAAGAACATAAAATATTATTGCAATACTTATTACCATATCCAAGTGCAAAGAGTTTTAAGAAATTTTGAATATTCAAAATATTGAAGGTATCCATTCCACATTGATATTTTTACACCATGATTGAATATATATCAGAAAATTGACCTATTACAAGGTTTTACTATACACGAGAAAGCCCTTTTAGTACAAGGCATCTGTAAACATAAGTATAATCAGGAATACAAGTTCAATTTCTGGATAACTGCTTTTAAAACTTGTAATTCCAAGAAATAAATACATGTAATGCAAGGTTGGACAAATATCAGTAATATTCCCATTCAATATATATAATGAGATTTTTTTTTAAAAAAATAATTGTATAAAATCTCATTCAATATATTTTAGAGATTTTTTTAAAGTAAAGAAATAATAATATCCACTGATTTAAACCAAAAATTAATAAACATTTTTGAATGTTATATTTAAATGATTTTTTTTGTAAAAGTCTGAACTTAAAAATCTGAATAATTATAAGTTTTTTATATTTATTTCATTAAAGTTAAAAAAATTGATTATAACCGATTATAATCTGATTTTTTCCACTTTCCCATCACTAGTTTCAAATCTTTTGACCCTTTGATTCTTAAAGAAGATTTTTAAAAGATGTCATTAATTTTTCACAAATTCTTATATATATATATATCCCTTTGGAAGTGATGATGATGGCCCAAAATTTTAATTCCTTTTATCCAAGGATGCTCTGATTAAATTTGGTTGAAAATGGCTAAGTTGTTTTTCATCAAAAGTTAAAAATGTGAAACGTTGACAGATAGGCTGAAGAAAGCAGGGCAAATTGTGGTCATAAATGCCCATTTGAGCCCTCTGCTCAGGTGAGCTAAAAACCAAAATCAGGGGCAGATAACCCAAAATTATAGCATTTAATACTTTTACAGTAACTTGTTTCCATTGTGCCCTTGACTGATAAAGCAGTTGAATGAAAGGCAAAAGAAGAGTAAAACTATAGTTGGTAGAGTAAAATTATGCTACAATAAAAAAATCAAAAGCTTCAGTGAAATACTGTATATTTATCTAGCTTGTGTGTATTATATCCCCTAGCAAACGACTAAGTATAAAACAAATAATTCTAAATATAGGAAGTCCTAAACATATTAGTAGCCATCACCACTTTATCGATAAAATCATGCATAAAATTGTAACTTAAAGTTAAATATTGAAAAGTAACTAGCTGCCTGGTAGCGATGGGAATTGAACCCATGTCATAGACTGCCGAAACACTACCCATATTTACTGGTTTAATTAGTACTTATTTTTTAGGAAGTTGCTTTAACACAGCTCAAGTAATTTGTAAAAAATAATAAATAAAAAAGGAAAAAAAAAACATAAGAAACAAAATTGAGATATTTTCTCTTGTTCGAAAAAAAGCAATTTAAAAAAAAATTGCTAGTTGTTGGTTTAGAAATTAGAATAAATTAAGTAATCATTTCTCATGTAGTATAATTAAGGAATATTTCAGGTTTTGTGTGAGTTATTGGTGTGTCAATCACACACAATTAATTGTCACATAGGCATATTTCATGACACTTTAATTTGTGATTAGATAAAACTGGAAATATGTTGATAGGACATAAATGCCTCGCCCAGGGTTTATTAATAATGCAACATGAAAATTTGTATTAGTGCAAGACTTTGTTGAAAATACCATAATGGTTTCTTTATAAGTTAGTTTAATACACAATAAAAAGTCAAGTCAAAGGTCATTGGGAAGTTCAGGATAAATAAAATGAACATAGTTGATATATTCTCACCAAATATTGTATCAGTGCAAAAACTTGCATAAAAAATATCTGGGATAGTTTTTTTGAGCAGAAAACAAATTTGAGAAAGGTGAGGTCATGATCAAAGGAAAGTTCAAGGTCAAAAAATGTTAATGCAGTTAAACAGCTCTCATCTAGTTTATATACAGTATAAGCATACAGATTTGATAAGATTTTAGTTTGGTTTTTTTTTAACTGAGAGCTGAGTCAGTAAAAAGGATATTTGAGACCATTAAGTCAGCATTAACAGTTGCAAGTACCAAATGAGATTATAGTTATTCCCTAATTTAAAGATATACATGCTATATAAATGCAACCTTTTTTTATAAGTGAAACAAAATGATTAAATGACTTGAGAAACATAGTGTGTAATAAAAAATAATACTTTACACAAAGATTTACTAAGTAAGTCATTATAATTACAAAACAATTAAGCAAGATCTGCAATTAAGAATTCAGCCTTTTCATGAATATTGATGAAAGAAGTGCGTAAACAGTATATAGACACGCATGTCTGCGGGAAATCATAGACGACGAGCTACGTTGCATTTTGACTACAATCATGAGTAAAAGGTCAATATCTGTCATTACAGAGTAGATGGTTAATACTAGTTGTTTTAAAGGATAAGTATCTTTAAGCATTACACATGTGTCATCCATTTCAAAAGTTATTTGTATACCAAACAGCCTACCTCGTTTTCTTGACGCCATTTTTGTTTATCGTTCTAAAAGTAGCGACAGTGTCACGTGATGCATGATTTTAAATATAGAGGCATTGCTTTGCTAGTAGGACAATAAATAATTATAATTTGAGATCTTTATAACACGTTCATTTTTAATTGTTTAATTTACAGTATTTTCGTAACTTTATTTGGCAAACAAAATAAATAACAACTTTATTTTTATCTGACGCAAGTTATAGCGTGTATATCTTTAAGAAAAGTGAGGTCAAAGTAAATGTCAAGGTCAAAAAATGTTGATGAAGTTGAATTGTTGTCATCAATTTGTATCAAGGACAGAAACTGCTGATGAACCAAAATGGCTTTTATCAATATATCAGTGTATGAAGTTTGAAAAGGTATCTTAAATAAATTCTTTGAAACTGAGCTAAATGCATAGTGACAGAAAGACATAAGGATGGAAGACAGACATGACAAACACTATGTGCCCTGTCTATATTCATGGCAGGGCATAGAAACAAAAGCAACTTTTCAAAACTTACTGAATTCTGAATGGGAGCTATCTCTTCTGGTTCCGGCTGTCCAGGTATGTGTATTCTGACTGGTTCCTAAAATCGAGTACTGATGCATGAAAACTTAGAAATTCACAAAAATATTAATTCTTGGTAGTTTATCACCCCAAAATTAATTTGTAATAAAATAAAAAACAAAAGCAACTTTTCAAAACTTACTGAATTCTGAATGGGAGGTATCTCTTCTGTTTCCGGCTGTCCAGGTATGTGTATTCTGACTGGTTCCTAAAATCGAGTACTGATGCATGAAAACTTAGAAATTCAATCAGATATAATTTTTCATAGTTTATCATTGCTTATTTCTACATTATAACCTGTCTTTAGCCTAATTTTAAAGAATGAATTTAACAGTTACCAAAGTTATATGAGTTTCTGCTTCAGAAACCAGAGGGCATTTATGTCTGAATTGTCACCATATTCAGAACAAAGATTGTAGTTTTATGTACCACTAAAAATATTACAATTATGGACTTTTTATATGGTTAATATCTTTGGTTATTCACCAGAAAATTATCAATATTGACTGAGGCAAAATGGAAAGAATTTGGTTATGGTATTGTATGTGACTGAGATTATTTGAAAGTTTTTTTACCCTGGCATTTTTATTATTTAGGCTGGAAATATACAAGTTGATAGACTTCCATAAGGCCAAAAATATTAAAAATAGTCTTGTTTCCTGCTACCCGACCGACCCATTTTTTTGCACCCGATCCTAAAGTTTTTTTTTGTTTTGGAAGAAAAAAAAAAATTGGGAATTCTGAAATTTCTTCGTTTTGTCACTGTAATCAGTTTCTGTGTTAATACAAAACAAGCATTTCATGAAATTCTCTGTTTTAAATATGGACTTTCATAAAATACCACTTGAGTTGTGCATGAAAAGACATGAAATTTAATTTTAAAAGACAATATTGACCTGTGATGTGTTTAATTATACCCGCACTTTCTAAAGAAAGTTCGGTATATTGTTGTTACTCATGTCTGTCCGTCCGTCCGTCCGTCTGTCACACTCTTCTTTCTTAAACTCCTCTTACATTTTACACAGTAGCCTAATCATCTTTTGGGAGATGGTTAGTGGTGTCATGTAGATGTGCAGTAAGGTTTCGGAATTTTCATTTTCACCCTAGGGGTCAAATGGGGGTCAAATTTTTTTTAAAAATATTTAACATGTTTAAATACCCTGGTTTCCAGAACCTCCCTTCTATTTTATGCATTAGCCTTAAATCATGATCATTTGGAAGATGATTGATTTTGTCCTGTAGATGTATAAAATGGTTTTAAAATTTGCATTTCCATGTGGATGGCAAATAGGGGCAGGAAAAAAATGGCCCCTCCCTAACCCATGGGGTCATGATTTGTAAAAACTTGAATCTATACTTCTTGAGAATGTTTTCATTTTAATCATGCTTTTGTTGTTCTTGAACATGTTGAAAAGAAGAATTTTGAAGATTTTTTTTCCCTTTTATTCCTATATAAAACTTTGATCCCTTATTGTGGCCTGACCCTATCCTCAGAGGTCATGATTTGAAAACTAGAAATATGTCCATAGGACATAAATGCCCCGCCAAATGTATGAAGTTTGATGAGAATATCTTGAATAGCTATAGTTTCTTTAAAATTGAAACTAAAATCTAAAAAAAAATTGGATATAGATGATAAATTCTCACCAAATTATGTATAAGTGCATGCTTACATAAAATATCTTAGATTGTTTCTTTAAAACTAAGCAAAATACAATTTGAAGAGAAGGTAGGTCTAAGGTCACAGGAAAGTGCAAGGTGGAAAGTTTTCGATGCAGTTGAATAGCTCTCACTAATACATGTCAGCATACTAGGTTTGATAAAAATATCTTGAATGATTTATTTAAATCTGAGCTTAACACTTATTTAAGAAAAGAGAGGTCAAGGTCAAAGGAAAGGTCAAGGTCTAAAAGATTGATGCAGTTGAAAAGCTTACATCAGTATGTATCAGCATATGACATTTAATTGAAGTCAGACATGACAAACACTATTTCATGGCAGGGCATAAAAAACTTGAATCTACACTATATGTTTCCATATCAAAATGACTAACAAGCAAATTCAAAGAATTGTGGTCCCCTACTTTCTGTGTCCTAGTGGATGGGATACCATTATTTATGACATATTGTTTCAAATATGCACGCCCTATTATATGTCATTCAAAAGTAATCACCAAAGTTAAAATTTTTGAAAATGAGGTAAAACATCAAGGTCAAGGGGTAAAGAATCATAGCATGCATGGAAACATATTGTTACAGATAACGTACATATCAAATATGAAAGTCCTATCTCTTCTCAATCAAAAGTTATTAAGAAATATAACATTTTTGAAAAATAGGTTAAACTTCAAGGTCAATGTCACAGAGTCAAAAGTCATGATATATTTAGAAAGATCTTGTCACAGGTAATATACATGTATAATATGAATGCCCTATCTTTTCTCTTTCAAAATGATCAATTTAAAATAATGTTAAATTTTTTGAAAAGTAGGTCAAACTTCAAGGTCATGGGCATGGGTTCAAAGATCATTGTATATTTAGAAAGTTCTTACAGGTTATGTACATGTGAAATATGAAAGCCCTATCTCTTATTATTCAAAAGTTATGATCAAGGTTAAATTTATTCAATATTATGACAGATGGACAGACTGACAAACAGACAGACTGACAGACAAATGAGATTTAATGTCCCCAAGATCCCTTTTGCGAAAACGGGGGACAATAATGCCATTGCTGTTCTTGAGAAGATTTATGATGGAAAAATTCCCCTGCATTTTTCTATGTAAATCTTTGGATCCCCATATGTGGCCCCACCCTACCCCAGTGGGTAATAATTTGAACAAAATTGAATCTACACTAAGTCTATGTAAAAGAAAGTTTCAACTTTTTGGGACCAGTCAGTGGTTCTTGAAAAGACTTTTTTGAAATGATATCACCAAATTTTCAGTAGTTCTTGATTATCCCCCCTTGAAAGTAGGTGTGACCCTTCATTTGAACAATCTTGAATCCCCTTTACCTGAAGATGCTTTGTGGCAAGGTTGGTTAAAATTGGCCCAGTGGTTCTAGTGAAGAAGACAAAAATGTGAAAAGTTTACAGACGGACAGATGGATGACAGACAAAATGTGATCAGAAAACCAGAAAAACTCAAGTGAGCTAAAAACTTATGATCACAAGTACTTGGAAAGAGTTACAGTATTTGAAAAGCAGTTTTTTTTTCATGCATTGTTTTAAGAAGCTGAAAATGTATGACTTGTATCCATGTTGAAAAAACTGCACATTTCAGAAAACAGTATGATTAAAAATAGTTAATCAATGTGCTTTGAGTAGCAAAATAAGCTAAACTGGTATAGCTAATTCAACCACAGAGCTTACTAGTCAATTTTAAGATGCACAACCTTTTCAACTCTTAATCAATCTTAAAATATTTATATCATCATTTCTGATTCAAGGGAGAACTAGATATATGACATATGGTTCATATAAAGCCAAAACAGTATGCACATTGATGCAAAGAAGTCTTTAAAAAACAAAAGAAAGTTGTTTTCTCAGATTTCTACTATTATTGTCAACTTGTATACTAGTATATTAATAATGTCACATCAAGTTTGAATTGCATCAAAACATGAAATGTAGTTTCTTTATATAAAGGAAACAAGAGGCCCAAGGGCCTTAATGGTCACTTGAGTATAATACAAGACTGTAAAGGGTCCATAAAAGTATAAAACAAAATTAACTAATAGATGAAGCAATGTTGCCCAAGAATTTTGAAAATCTGGTAAAATTACCCTTGCTTATTGTAACGTGATAGACCCGAGTGATCTTCTTAGGATCATACAATGCAAAATATACAAATAACAGTACTTATTATATACCCAAATATTTGTCACTCAGTTTAAATTATTGTTGAATTTATGCAATCACGTGACGATCCGATGTTCCGGATCACCACACTGTGGTTTTCTGAATCCATATATATCACCCCTCTCTGAAACTGATGACGTAGTACATGTACACAGATAAATGACGTTTTTATTCTCGAGCATCTAAAAGTTTCTTGACAAAATGGTTTGTTCAATGGATAAAAGTTATGGAATTGATCCAAAAAGTTTCCTTTTATTATATTTTGCTAGTTGTAAAGGGGTATATAATAAATTTATCATTATAACAGTAACTTGATCAGAAGGGCCATATCACGTCTCGTTGACAGGCGCGGATCATCAGATCAAACGCGACACTTCGTAGTTTCATATATAATGAACACTTGCCTATTGTGTAAGGTATTCAATATATACAGATATGTTTTTGTCACTTGCTTAGTGATACAATTCAGTACATATAGACTTGGTTATACAACATGGCTATTTGCCACTGTCACAAATTACAATAAGTCACCCTGACTCTCTGTGATTTTTTATTAACTTTGATAAAGTATAAAACAACTTCGTCAAGTCTCTTGTCAACCATGACTCTACCAGTGACAACAACTCATCTACTGTCAAACAGAACACCACAGTGTAAACATACTATGTACAATTACAATTTTTGCTAAATATATATAAATAATCTTTATGTCAATCTTTTATATTGCTTTCCAGGCAAGAATCTGACTTTGAGAATGCTTTACTCATTTAAACCAAACATTAATTTTTATTTCGTTTCTAAATATATAACATTCTTTCTTGTATTCTCATTCAATCAAATAACCTGTTAATTAAATTATATACAAGGATTTCTTGATTAACAACATCTAGCAAAGGAGAGTAACTCTCGTTTGCTTCACTTATTACAATTGTGTACTCTTTTTGCCTCCTAGATACTCAGAAGCAAAGAAAAGGCACATTTACTCATAATTTTATTTAATACATTTACACTGATATTATTCCATTTAGTTTGTTTGCTTAGTACTCAGGGGCAGAGGAAAAGATTTTCAAAGCATTAATGCATTTTTGCTAATTAATCAATAGACTCCCACCCAAGCACAAGAACCCTTGACCCTGGGGCCATGAAATTCACAATTTTAGAGAGGCACCCTTTCTCATCATAACTATGTACTTAGTTCATTTGCTAAATACCCAGGAGCAGAGAAGATTTTCAAAGAATTAATGCATTTTCACTATATAATCATTACAGCCCCGCCCTAGCACCAGAACCCCTGTCCCAGGGGCCATGAAATTCACAATTTTGAAAGGAGGCACTCTTCCTCATCATAACTATGTACTTAGTTCATTTGCTTACCCAGGAGCAGAGGAGAAGTTTTTCAAAGAATTGTATAATTATTAGAGCCCCGCCCTAGTGCCAGAACCCCTGACCCAGGGGCCATGAATTTCACAATTTTGGTAGAGGCTCAATGCTTATTACAATCATGCCAACAGTTTGACTACTTGACGTTCAGGAGTAAAGAAGAAGATTCTAAAAGATTGCATTAATTTAATGATGATTTTTGCCCCACTCTCAGGCCCCAGGGGGGCAGAAACCATGAAATTCACAAATTTGTTCCCCTTCACCCATAGATGCCATATGCTAAAATTGGCTGAAATTGGTTCAGCGGTTTCAGAGAAGAAGCTGAAAATATTCAAATGTTAACACAAGACAGATGAAGCACAACGGACAACTGAGGATGCACGACGACGGACGAAAACAAATAGCAATAGGTCACCTGAGTTACTCAGGTGACCTAAAAAGTTTGGAATGCATATTTAAATATATATGTCTTGTCTGACTGTATAAATTTGAAGCAACTTACTGGGACACCAAATTGACCTAAAGGGTCAAATCCATCCTCCATCATTCCATATATGGAATACATTGTCATCTGAAATTAAAAAAATGCAATATAGGAAATTGAGAAATGGAAACTCTAAAAATAAGCCTCGATTTTTAGCTGCCTACTAATAACTTGTCCCTTTCAGAGGTTGTAAAATAATTTTTTTTCGGATTATTTATGACAACTGGTTGTAAGTCAATCTATCAAAGGTTAAAACATGTCATTATAAGAATTGAAGTAAATTACTTATGTGTTATGTATATTATGAACATTCTTCCTTGTTTTTTTATTTAACTGTATTGCTTGGCCCATATGGGGTTTAATATGCTATAAAGATTAAATATAAAGAAATTCATATTTGCCTATAACATTTTCAAGTCCTTATCAGGTTCAAATAAAATGATTTAATCCCCCCCCCTTTCCTTGAAATCACCACTAGGCCTGAAATGCAAAAAACAACCACTAACTTAAGTATGAAATTAATATTAGATGAATCAGAAATTCTTATTATGAAGTTCTGGGGATGGGATAATTGAAAAAAGTAATTGTTATTGACCATAAATAATTACATTTTTTGAAGTAGTTGGATGTAATTTGTAATTCTAATGCAATTGTTTTGTAAAACACATTTTGATTGGCCGTTAATGCTGATTTAATGGTCATAAACATCTGTTTTACCAGCTCCGCTTACATGTGCCGGTAAAACTCAGTTTGCGACTGTTAAATCTGCATTAACAGTCACAAATACCAAATTAGAGGACAGTTATTCCCTAATTGAACAGATTTTCAATTTTGTACAACCTATCTATTTAGCTATGAAACATTTCATTCATTTTTGTTTGATCAATAATATTAATTCTAAAAGAATAGGACTGTGTGTGTCATTAAGATCTCTCTTTTTGGCTAGAGATAACTGCTGAAAATTGCAATCAAAACAAATCAACCCTAAAAAGAGACATTCAGTCCACGATTTGGAAGATAAGAACAATAGAGGTGGTTATTTAAATTAAAATTGCTCCACTAGCTTTAGAAAAGTATAACTTTCAATTCAATAATTATTTTATGAATAAAGTTTTGGAATTTGTATCTGAAAAAGTTACATCCAAATATTATACAGAAATAAAAATGTTCAACATTAAAAGCAAATTAGGAAGTTCAGATTATCTATAATTGAGCATAATCTGAGGAGTTTCAGTTACTCGTTTATTCATTTAAATCATTTACTCTAAATAAGTCTCACAAGGCATGCAATTTGTGTACATGTAGGTTTTTTGTGGAGGAAACAGTGTCTAACTGATCACAGGTAATTCTTGAATGTTTTGAAAATGAAAGTTATAACACCATAAAGATGCACAATTTCTAAAGTCATATTTACTTTTTGTATTGTTTGTACAGAGGCTGCATGAGCTTGTACAATGGTGTTTCGTACATCTATAATCATTCATAAGGATTTTGAAAAATTGAATAAAATAAAAATGTAATTTGTAATTAATTAATTACTCTTTCAAAGTAATTGTAATTAATTACATGTCTTATATCTTATAAAGCATGTAATTAAATTGTAATTTAATTGAAGAAAAAGTCAAAGCAATTGTAATTATTGACCCCATCCCTGATTATGAAGCCTTAAAAAAATAAAACTAAATGCCAGGGCTTTCAAAATGATTATAACATGCAACATCTACAAAGACGTGGACAAAAATAGGAGGCACCACATGGATGGGATTTAAGTTAAATATGTTACTGAATTTTTCTAAAAAGGAATACTTAGTTGGTACAATCCTGATATCAGCTGGCTAAAAGGTATAGGGTACTTGCAAATTTTTAGTGGCCTACCATTCCCACTTCCTTTCAGAAAAAAATCAATGTTATTTTCACAACATTTAAAAAAATATTTTAAATTGTAGTTCTCTCATAATTCCTTTTTTTAGGGGTGGGAGGGGGGCACAATCATATCTCATTCTACCAATTAAAAAATTCACTTGGTTGACCTGAAAAGTGTTGGTCTTTAAATTTTTCCATACAAAATTCAGTGGGTAATATTTTGAATTCATTGAATAACTTGATAGAAGCATGTATTGATAATAAGAACACTTTTCTCAAACACTTAAAATGTCTTTGTGAATAATTCAAACAATTTTTTTTTAATAGAACCGACTATTGACATTGACAGAGACAAAGTTGCATACAATGTCAAGCAATGACCTTGGGCAAATGGTGATTTCCAAACAAAGCTGATGTTAATTGCAGATATATGATTAAATATTGGAAAAAATATCATTTCTTATTATTTTAATTATATAAGGCACAAGCATAATGTTTAATGATAATATGAGGCCTACTTCATTCATTTCTGATAAAGCACCTTCACAGAGTACGGAGAAACTGCTCAATTGTTTGTGTTTTTTCAATGAATCATTAACTAAAGTTTGCAAAAAAATATCAAAGATGCATCCAAGTTTTATAATTTTTATCATATTTTAAGTACTGGGGAGAAAACTAAGCTTACCACAGCAAAAACAATACACCGAAGTGCAAAGCCGCATCTTCTTACAGCCATGTTGAAGTAAGAGGGTTTCCGCATTTCGCGCATGCGCAAACTTTCGGGATGTTTCGGTAGGCCAAAAGCTGCAAAAAGTCGCTTTCATTTTTATCATCCCCAGCAGCCGAACAAAAGTAAGGACCAAGCTTTGAACAGATTAAACGCACTTTAATTATTTAAGCCATAATATTTAAAGTACAACTAGTCCAATTTACCTTGTTATCAAACCGATACACAAATCTGAGGGTAGTTCATACGAAGCATAGTGAACAGTGTATTAAACGTTATTTTCTTCTATAACGTAACCAGTTGGCCGAACAGGATATCTACCAGGATTCGGGAAATAGATCTGGGTTATATAAATGTGAAACATTGGTAATTCCGGCCTTAATTTTTCGTTTATCTGTGTGACTCTCTGTGAAAGATCACCTGGTGTACTTCATTCTACAGGGATGGTTTAATTGATAAAAAGTAATTGTAATTGAATGTAATTTTATTTAAATTACATTTTTCAAAGTAGTTGGAAGTAATTTTTAATTTACCATTTTTTCAATTACTTGTAATTGTAATTTATTTATTACTCTGAAAAAAAAATCTCAATTACATTTTAATTAATTCACATAAAACATATATATGTTTTAATACGGAAATATTTCCATCACAGCTACATTTTACAGTCAAGATTGCAAATAACCACTTGCCCACTAGCGAATGTTGGTAATTTTGTCTGCTGGCGACCAACTCTTGAGGATGACAATGTAATCGCCCACATCCTTGGGTCAAGTAGATCAGGGGTTGAAATTTTCCTGGAAAACCCACTAGCCCAGGGGCTACTGATCAGTAAAAAATTACTATACCAAACATCAAACTAACTAGCCCGACAATTTTTTTAAGCAAAATGAAAGCATAAGTTAAAGTTTCAAATGCTTTGGCGACAGAAACAAATTAAACTAGTTCTCATTTGACAATCAAAAGCTGTATTTACCAAAACTATTTTGCGTCTTGAGCCTGTAGGTCACCTGTCATTCAATGAAAAATTCAGGCCCCCGGAGAAATAAGAAGGCCCCCTCAAGTACATGTAGTTCAATCATTATCTTCAATTTAAAGTGCTGTTTTATGAAAGAAATCTGCAGGAGTCTAGCTCTTCTGACTGAGTCCAGAGTGGAGTGACACACTTCATCATTTTTTTTTCATTTAATATCTTTTTGTATTAAATATTTTAAATGCATGTGTAAATATATTTTTGTATCTGAAATAACTCAAATAACACTTACTCTTTAGTTGATTGAGTAAATGAAAATAATGTAATGGCATATATCTTCATGTATTTCGTATGAACAGAGGTATGGAGGAAATTCGGATTAAGAAAAAAAAGATGATCATTTTTAGGTCATACAGCACTGCTAATTGTATTAGATGAAGGAGATTACCAACCAATGAAGTCATACAGCTTTAATTTTTTTAATTGGTTGGAAATTTTATAGCAAAAAATTGGGGAAAAAACATGCTTTTTAGCTTTAAAATTTGGGCCTTGAAAAAATCCTGCAGGACTTACTTGATTTTCAACTTTACTGGCCCCTAGCCAATTTTACTGGCCTCGAACCTGTGGATTTTGGTAATGACCGCGAAAGAAACCAGTCTACGTAGAAAAGCAAAAGTAAATCATATAACAAGATTTTTTTCTGTTATGCTAGTCTGACGGACTATCGTTACATTTAAATTAGCTAGCCTGAGTCTTAAAACGACTAGCCCTGGGCGTCGGGCTACCGTATATTTCAACCCCAGAGTAGATTCTAAATTGTTGAAATGAAGTAGCTGCAGATCTGAAGCTAGCTGGTCTGAAATAAAATTAGGATGGACGACCAGAGAGCTACAGTGCCACCCATTTAATAAAGTGTATATTTGTTGCGCACAAAAAGTGCGCTGTTCCTCTATTAATTTCTCCATATATTTAAACTGCCAACTCAGAATATTATAATCTGTGTGTTCCAAACATATTTTTTGCACTACTTCCACAACAAAATATTTCCCAAAACTGTTGGTTAAAAGCCCTCCTGGGCCTGAAATAGAGACCATTGAAAATTTTGTCTACCCATACTGCCATCTTGAGTGGCAATACAATTCGGTCAAACACACAGTTTTGTTGTGGAAGAAGTAAAAGAATATGTTAGGAACACAGGGTTGGCAACATTTTGATATATATGGAGAAATAAATCGAGAAACAGCACACTTTTTGTGCGCACTAAATATACTCTTTTTTTCAATGGATGGCACTGAAGCTCTCTGGTCGTCCATCCCATTTTTTTTTCAGACCAGGGAGCTACAGATCTGCAGCTAGAGATGAACGTTTTCTCAAGAACCACTAGGCCAGAAAAGGTGAAACTTATGTGAAAGCTTTCTGAGGAAGTGTAGATTCTGAATTGTTCAAATCATGACCTCTGGGTTAGGATTGGGCCACAAGAGGGGATCAAATTTTTACATTGAAATATTTTAAGAAAAATCATTAAAATTTTATTCTCAAGAACCACTCAGCCAGAAAAAGTTGAACTAATGTGGAAGCTTCATGAGGAGGTGAAGATTCTAAAATATAATGTTCAAATCATGACCCCTTGGCAGGGATCGACATTATCTTTTTTTCCTACTTGTCCATTCGGACAAGTGACCAAGACATTTACTTGTCCGAACTTCAACTTCACTTGTCCAAAAATTTTTCAATGAAGATCTAATACTGTCAACTTGAAAACTAAAAATAAAGTCCATTACACATGACATGTGCTTGATTGATTCGTGATGTTATAGATATTTACAACAGACACATAAAACGAAATTTTATTTAGGCTTTCTGTCCTGACAACAACATAAATGTCCACAAGTGAACCAAACTTCGTTACTTAAATTCGTTCAATGCCTTTTCAGTAGTATGTAATTAGTGAACTTCGATCCCGATCAAATGTGAACTCAATTAATAAGCGATCCCTATAGGGATTGAAGTTCGGTTTTTATGTACAGCTTCCGTCTTGAAACTACCGATTAACTTTCACAGTTGTTCTTTTCATTATTTAGAGACTCCTTTACATTAAAATGCACTTGTCCAATCGGACAAGTGCCCAGCAATATTCACTTGTCCGTAATTTTTTTTCATTGGTACTGGGCAAGTGGACAAGCGTTAATGTCGAGCCCTGCTTGGGTTAGGGTTGGGTCAAGAAAGGATCAAAAACAACATACAATTTTTTTTAATTATGATTAAAATGTTAATTGGGTGAAATTGGAAAAAATAGAAACAAATTCGAAATAAGTTTCCATTAACCATTAAAGAAGTCTTGACAAAAGTTATTTTCAAAGACGTAGTAACAATAAGAAATGGATTGATTAAGCGTTAAAATGGAAATACACATACAATGCAAACTAAATGTCAATATTCAAGTAAAGTAATAAACCATCAATATCATCATCTACATTACTTAAAAAAGACATTCTTACAAACTAGAATAACCAAAGCTTGTTTTTCAAAAGAAAATCTATTGATTGATTATTACATGAATAATAAATGGATATACTCAAGGAAACAACCAAAGCAGATCAATAAGGAATATAGTTACCTTTTGAAAAAGCATGCATGACCCATATATGTCCTAAGCTATTGGTTCATATGATTTGAATCTAATGCTAGTACAGTGTAATATAGTTTGTGACCTTTTTGTTTTGAAAAGTTTTTAAAAAACAACAAAGGATTGCTATTTTTTTTTTCATGATATTGATTAAAGTTACACAGTGAGTCAATATCATATGCATGTGTTTCGTTTAAGATAATTGTATCATAAAGCTAAAAATTGATGAGAAATATGAATAAGGCGAAGTTTTGAGATCTCAGCTGCACGGTATAAGCAAGAAAAGACTGCAAAACGTAAGTGCCGGAAAAAGGAAGAAGGGCGTGGTTGTTATCAATGTCAAGGTCATGTGTCTTTTATTTTTAGCATGAAACTTGTAAACAACATTGAATTTGGAGCAATCAAAAGTGAGGAATAAGTTCTGATCATCTTTTTTGAAGATTGTATCAAAATGATTAAATCTTTGGTTATCCACCATCTATATCTATGGAATTAATTGACACCATGGTAACTTCTTCAACTTTTCTGCGCATGCGTACCTGAAAGAGGAAGAAGTGAAGCAATATTTTCATGTTGAGGCAAACTAAAATTATTTTTACTTAAATATTTTTCTCCATAAAAGTAGATCTTTTAAGTTCTGAAACCTGTAATTTTCTGAAACCTAATACTTTCAAGAATTGAATAAAATTTGCATGTGTCTTGCAAAAATTCTACTTTTGTCAATTTTCCTGTTTTTCCGTCACAGTGTCTCTTTAAAGAAAAAGTTTCTGTAAGCCATGCAATTACATTTATCATTATCCTTATAAATTTATGATGTAATTTATATAATATATAAATGGTGCCTGTTTTGGAGGGTAACAGTTGAAATTGACATCCAATTAAAGGAAAACCATTGTCAACCGACGTGCAGCGGAGGTTAACAATGGTTTTCCAAGGGGTGTCACTTTCAACTGTTACCCTCCAAAACAGGCACCATTTATTTTATTATATTGAATGTCTTTTTGATTTAGTATGTCAGCAAAAAAAATTGTTGATGGTCTTAACATTCAAGTTTAGAAAGCTTTCAAACTCCCCATTTCTATTTTTCTCAATAAGAAGGCTTCAAAAAAGATTTACCAACCTCTTTATTGTTTGTTTGATACTGAAAGAATCTGTATCATCTTAAGTTTTGTTATTTCTGCACTCGCAAGCATTTTTCGTCTGTCGTTTGTTGTTATCAATTTAGTTAAATTGGACGAGAGGTTTGATTGACGTCAAGTTTACTCAGCTTCTTTCAAACGCACAGCTGACGTTTTGAGAATTCTACGGCAAACCGTACGTGCATGTTTTACACGCATGTGACATTTTGTTGTGTTACCCGTTGTCAAGTGTGTTGCTAACGCTGAGGGTAACATTACAGATTGTTAAATGCATCTTAACCAATCAGATTTTAGTATTTAACATGAAAGTATAATAATGATTTTATTTATCATGATTATACATAATTATAATGATCCTGGTCACGTGAAAAAAATAAAGAAATAGCAAAAATTGCTTAAAATGTTATCCTTGTGTGGTATATTGGTATAATGTTAGTTAATGTTACACCCTTATACTTACTACTGCCTACATAAAGTCTTGACTATCAACTCAAGTCTAGACTATCAACTAACTTACTAAATTATGGATCTTTTCATTTTATATGTTATGGGGGGGGTGCATTTGAAAGCTGATACATGTTTACATGAAGAAGGTTAACAATTAGATTAAAATGAGAGAAAACCCTCCTACATATTTTAGTTACTATTTTATAAACAGAAGTTTTGTTTTCTAAATTTTTCCCACAAATTTAAGCAAGGGTAATCAAAAATGTAATTTTTTTTTTATATTAACTACAGTTGAACTTCGGTATCTCGAACACTGATATCTTGAATACCATGGATATGTCGAAGTGATTTTGAAGTCCCAAGCACTTATTTCTTAAGTATTTTACCCTGGATATCTCGAATCCTCGGATATCTCGTCGTATTTTCTTGGTCCCTTGAAGTTCAAGATAACGAGGTTTGACTGTATTGACTTATTTTTGACAAGTCCAGTTAAAAAATATGAACACTGAAATTTATAGCTGTTCTGTCTTTCTTGCAGAACCATTTTTCATAAGGTGTCAGAAAATGGAGACTTGGTACTGGAACTCTTGCTTGCCAACTCCCAGCTGTCTATGGTGTACAGGGGTCAGGCTGGCATTGCTACAGTTACCTGTCGAGAAAAGATTCCTCAGAGAACATGGATTCACCTTGCCATTCAGGTACAAGAAATCAAATTAACAATTTTAATCTGCTTTCAGTCAATCATTCTATCATTCCATCATTGATTGTTTTCCAAAACTTTTTTTTTTTGCTATACTTATCTTGATATTGGTGACTTATAGAACAAGTTCAAGTTTCCTATTGATTTACCCATTTTTTCAAAAGTTATGGCTCTTAGACTTTGAAAATTTCTAATAATTCACTAGTTGTTTTCTGGACTTTTTAGGTTATATGCTTGTAATGAGTTTAATTTTGTAATTGATGACTTACAGATCAAGTTTGCATGAGTTTTGTTTTGATTGACCCAATTGTATGAAAGATGTGGCCCCTAGACTCTGAAATTTCTAGGAATTCACTGTTTTCCAGACTTTTTTTACTCTGCTTGTAGGTATTGAGTTAATTTTTGGTATGTCTCTTGATATTGATGACTTACAAATAAACTTTGAGTTTTGTGATGATTGATTAATTTTTACAGAGTTATTGCCCTTAGACTTTGAAAGTTCTCTACTTCACATTCTTCTGTATTTTTTTTATTCATTTATATATTTTTTTTTTGCTGTGCTTGTAGATAATGGATCTTTGATTTGTTTCTTTATTTTGACTTACAGATCAGATATGAGTTTCGTTTCGATTGACCCATTTTTATGAAAATTATGGCCCTTAGAATTTGAAAATTTCAAAGTGTTCACTGTTTTTGGCCTTTTTAGCTCACCTGAGCCGAAGGCTCAAGTGAGCTTTTCTGATCGAAATTTGTCCCTTGTCTGTCATTTGTTGTCGTTGTCATAAACTTTTCACATTTTTACCTTCTTCTCCAGAACTACTGGGCCAATTTCAATCATACTTGACACAAAGTATCCTTGGGTGAAGGGGATTCAAGTTTGTTCAAATGAAGGGCCACGCCCTCCTCCAAGGGGAGATAATTACGAAATAGCAAAAAATTAATGGCATTATTGAAAAATCTTCTCCTCAAGAACCAATGGGCCAGGAAAGATAAAACTCATGTGGAATTATTGTCAGGTAGTGTAGATTCAAGTTTGTTCAAATCATGACCCCGGGGGGTAGGGTGGGGCCACAATGGACGATCAAAGTTTTACATAGGAATATATAGGAAAAATCTTCAAAAATCTTCTTCTCAAGAACAGCAAAGCTATGATTGGTCATATTTATATGGATGCATCCTCAGGTGGTGTAGAATCAAGTTTGTTCAAATCATGACCCCCAGGGGCAGGGTGGGGCCACAATGGACGATCAAAGTTTAACATAGGTGTATATAGGAAAAATCTTTTAAAATCTTCTCAAGAACAGCAAAGCCACTGTTTGTCATATTTATATGGAAGCATCCTCAGATAGTGTAGATTCAAGTTTGTTCAAATCATGACCTCCAGGGGTAGGGTGGGGCCACAATGAAAGTTCAAACTTGTAGAGAAAAATGCCACAGTTAGTCAAAAAATTATGTAAGCATCATTAGTAAGTGTAGATTTAATTTTGTTCAAATCATACCCCCAAACCCTTTTCGGAGTAGGTTGGGACCACTTATGCATTTAAGCTTTTCAATACTAAACTGATTTTTTTTCTTTTTTCCTAGCCACAGTGCTCAGGTGAGCGATGTGGCCCCTGGGCCTCTTGTTTGTTGTTTGTTGCTTAGCTTGTAATTGATCACATACCATTTCACACAGCTTAAGTACATTGTACTTGTACTTAATGATTGATTCCAGAAAGCAAAAGCAGCAATATTATATGATATTTTACTTTTGTGCCATTTTCACCATTGTTATTTTCACACTAATAAGCTTTCACATATTTAAACTGGCATGTACATCTAGATTTCTTATTTAGTTGTTGTTTTCAAGATAGGGACCTCCTTTTTCTTTAGTAAGCATACTGTCCTATTTGTTTGTTTGAATTATTTTATATCAGAGTTATTGGATTAATGCTATACAAACAATGAAACTGTCAATATTTGATGTGTATAATTAATTTTTTATTTGTTTTTCCTCAATTTTTTGATAACCTCTCCACATTAAGCAAACAAATCAAACACTTATAGTCTTTATGGGATGTATGTGTGCGAGAGAGCTGGGGGGGGGGGGGGGACTGACAAACCAATATTGACAGATGGTTCCTGTTTGATATTTTTTTTTAGGTTTATAAAACCAGTTTGAGTTTTTATATCAATGGGGTCCAGCCAGGCTTTATACCTGTGGAGACACTTGTCCTTGCCAGTCAGGTCAAGGACAGTGTTCAAGGTCAAAGCAGAATAGGACAAAGCATCACAGGTAAATCATTTGTAACGAAAAATAAACATCAAAATAAATTATGGCTGAAAATTGTGGTTTTGGAAAATTTCATTTGTTTATATTGTATATTTTCTGTAGTAATTTGTTCTGTTAATAATTTGCATTTTTCAAAGGCATTTGATATCATAGCAAATTTTCATCAGTGGTGGAAAATTATTTAAGGAATGAATTTAATAGCTTCCCAGTTTATACAGTATAAAGTGGGTTGGGGCAGTTTATGCTTTATAAACCACGAAGCAGTTTATAAAAAAGTGTAAACTGTTCCAACCCACTTTATACCGTATAAATTGGGTAGCTATTAAATTCATTCCTTATAATTTAATCTTCATTCATTTAGTGTAAGAAAAAAGAGGATTGCCCTTAAAAAATGACTTCAAATTGTACAAAATTTAAATGTAAAGTCAGGCGGATCGATACGTTTTTGACGCAAGACATTGTGACGTAGGCAGCCCAATTTATGCGATATAAAGTAAATTTTTTATCCAATCAAATAGCGCATTATGATCAGAATTAAATTATTTTCAGGTACAAATCAGTTTTTAGGACGGCTCCAGGATATCAAGTTTTTTGCAGGGACACTGACTAACAGGTAAACTGTATCATGAAGAAAGTACACTGAACATTTAAAACTGACTAATCATTTGCTTACTAGTACACTTTCAAAGATTTGATTCATACGAATGTCTCTTTCCATTGTGCAAGGGCCATAACTCTGTAAGAGATGAGTTTAAAGCTAATACTTTGGCACAATAGTGTCTTATAACCAGTGTATTTCATAACTTTGAACCAAAGTCATTTGTTTAAAGGCAAGGTTTTCATCATCATTATTATAGCTTGTAGTCAATTAAACGTGATATTTTAATGCCCATTTAATAAGTACCAGGAAAAAGTGAGTTCACAAAACATAAGTAATATTCACTTCTATTTGATACTGGGTGTTATGTCTTTCAAGAGAAATTCAAGAGGTGTACAGTGGAAGCCTTCCAAGTGTCCGAGTTCAGTCTGAATGTAGGTGTCAGGCCTCACACCCCAGAATCAAGCCCCAAATGGAGCACTACTGCATTGCTAATGGAGTGGATGATGCCGATAACAACGCTGTGCTCCGACTCAACTCGGAGGCTCATAATCTCGAGTTCCTGAATGACGGAGACAGTAACACATACTGGATCTCACAGTTCCAGAACAATATAGAGCTCACCATTGACTTGGAAGATGATTTTCAGGTGTTAATTTCAAGGTCATAAATTAGGACACATTCTGCTCTTGCATTTCGAAAATATATCTAAATATACTGAGTATTCAATATGTACAGATCTGTTTTATATTCAGTTTCATTGAATCTGAGGCTATTAAGGATGGAATACCTTAATTCAAATGAAATAAAAATTAGTTTGTTTTAATGCAAGAGTTTTAATTGATTAGAATATATTTTATAGTGATAGAAAAAAGGATCAGAAACAAGTTCTTACAACTTTTAAACTTTTAAAGTTCTTTTAAAATTAAAATTTTTTAACCATACTTTCAGGTGTTCTTCCTCAATCTCCAATTCTACAGTCCCTTCCCCAGGGCAGTCCTTATTTCCCGTGAATTGGAGGGGAGTTGGGAAGCATGGCAGATGTATGCGACAAATTGTCAGGAATACTTTGGTCAGACAGACAATGGCCCTCTCCCCCAGCCCGACTCGGTCAACTGTCTCAAGTTCAAAAGGTAAGTTATATCACATTTATTGTTTTTCTTGCGTGCATTTAGGGAAATACCCTGTGATAGGTAATTAATGAAATAACATGTTCTTCAAGTTTTGGATATCATTATTTTAGCTGATAATATAACCAGTTTGATCTTAAAGGAAATGCACTTTAAAAAAAAATAATGAAGATAATAAACCAATCTTCCTACAGTTTTCTTCCTGATGAAAGCTATTTTCAATGAAAATGTACACTAAAGCATGAATCTATTTTTTTTACTTTTGATTGGTTTTTAACTTTACTTTTGCATCATTTCTTCTTCAGAGATACAGAGAACACACACTACTCCAAGGGGAACATTACATTCAGCCTCCTAGCAGCTGAGCCAGTACAAAGACCAGGGAAGGATGACTTTTATGGTACCCCAAAACTGAAGGAATTCATACGAGCCTCAAAAGTCCGAGTCAAACTGCAGGATCATCAGCTGGTGACCAATCTTCGACACGAGTACTTTGGTGTTTTTGAATTCATCATTAAAGGAAGGTTTGTGCATGTTTTTTAATTTTCTTTTCAATTAAAATTCTTTCTAAGAATTTGTTGAAGAGCTAATAGAGCCCATTTACCATGTACTTCTGTGTTTTCAGATTACTGTACATATGCTTTGGGTACAGTTGAACTTCGGTATCTCGTACACTGATATTTCGAATACCATGGATATGTAGAAGTGATTTAGAAGTCCCAACCACTTATTCTTTAAGTATTTTACCCCTGATATCTTGAATCCTCAGATATCTTGAAGTTTTTTTCTTGGTTCCAGTTTGAGATAACAAGGTTTGACTGTACATATTTAAAAAAATTCTCACCTTATTGCCCTAAAAATAAATGGATCAGTTTAAAACTTGCTGATCTTTGTGGGGGTAAGAAACTCAATTTTGTAACTATCTTGTGAATTTTAAATAAGATTGAATAGTTTTTTTAGCTCACCTGAGCCGAAGACTCAAGTGAGCTTTTCTGATCAAAATTTGTCCATTGTCTGATGTTGTCGTCTTAGTTGTAATCTTTTCACAATTTCATCTTCTTCTCCAGAACCACTAGGCCAATTTCAACCAAACTTGCCACAAAACATCCTTGGGTGAAGGGGATTCAAATTGTTCAAATGAGGGGCTATGCCCTCATTCAAGGGGGGATAATTCAGATATAGTGAAAATTTGGTGGCATGTTTCAAAAATCTTCATCTCAAGAACCACTGGGCCAAAAAAGTTGAAACTTATGTGAAACCTTCTTTACATAGTGTAGATTCAAGTTTGTTCAAATGATGACCCCTGGGGGTAGGATGGGGCCACAATGGTGGATCAAAGTTTTACAGAAGAATATATACAGTGTATAAGAATAAATCTTTAAAAATCATCTTCTCAAGAACAGCAAAGCTATGATTGGTCATATTGATATGGAAGCATCCTCAGGTAGTGTAGATTCAGATTTGTTCAAATGATGATCCCCGGGGGTACGGTGGGGCCACAATGGAGGATCAAAGTTTTAATTAGGAATATATATAGAAAAAATCTTCTTTTCAAGAACAGAAAAGCCATGTTTAGTCATATTGATGTGGAAGCATTCTCAAGTAGTGTAGATTCAGTTTTCTTCAAATCATGACCCTCCCCCCCCCCCCCCCCCCCCAGCAAAGCAGCAAAAAAGCCATTTGTTATATTGATATGGAAGCATCTTCAGGAAGTTTAAAATTCAAGTCCCCCCCCCCCCCCCCATGTAAACTTTTCAATACTGAACTGATTTGTGCTTTTCCCTAGCCAATGTGTTGAGGTGAGCAGTGTGGCCCATGGGCCTCTTGTTTATGCAATTTGGGTAAAACTAACTTTAGGGGAAACTTTGCCATTATAAATGTATATAATAAGAAGTTTACATCTGTTTTGTAGATGTAACTGTCATGGCCATGCCTTTACCTGTGATAGTATCACTAGACCCTACAACTGTAGCTGTCTACCAGAGAGTTTTACACAGGGAAACAAGGTAGGGAAAAACCCCAGATCCTTTGGATCATGTATTATTCATTGTAGGAAATAAATTGGTGATATAAGTTAAACATGTTTGATGTTTTATTAAATATGCCATTGCTTACTTCACTCTGCAAATGTATTATTAGCTCACCTGAGCTGAAGGCTCAAGAGGGCTTTTCTAGACTTGATTGATGGTGTTTCTGTGCATGTCTGTCTGTCAGCTTTTCACGTGTACCAGGTACTTCTTCCTCTCGAGAACCATTAGGTCAATTTCAACCAAACTTGCCTCATAGCATCCTTGAGTGATGGATTCTAGTTTTGTCAACTAAAGTAGGGGAGATAATTAAGAAATATAGAAATTAGGCTGGGATCATGTAAACTTCTTAAGAACCACTTGGCCAGAAATGACAAACTTTTTATGAATTAGTATAGTTTCATTAATTGCACATATTTACAAGTACTATTTCATTTTTCAAAAATGGAGAATGGTAGCTATGTTTTGGGATCTTGAACTTCAAGAGCAAGCACATATATTTCCAGTGTCTTAAAACCTTCTAGCATTAGATCTGATGCAAAAGCTAGTTTTATGTCATAATTATTGTAAACTTTATTGAAGTAAAGAAATTAATACTGGAATAAAATATCAAAAACTTTTTTAAAAAATCAAATAAATTGGACATTAAGACAAAGGATTTACACAAAAAAATTTTTGTAGTGCCCCCTCCTTTCCCTGAATTTTTAAGCTTTTGATGGGCCCTTCCATTTGTTAGACTATAGAAATCAACACATATGTATTTGTTACCAAAACTGTTCCAAACTCTATTTTGCTCTTATTTGAATTTTAAGTGTGAGGAGTGCCAGCCGCTTTATAACAACAAGCCATATCGTGATGGTGACCTAGTTAACTCTTTTGACTGCAAGCCATGTGAATGTCACAATCACTCAGACAGCTGTGTCTACAATGGGACCCTTGACCTCTTCCCAGATGACCATGACCTGGGTGGAGGAGGAGTTTGTGTAAACTGTCAGGACTTTACCAGTGGTCAGTTCTGTGAAACCTGTGTCCCCTTATACTACAGACCTAAGGGTAGGAGTAAATATGACCCTGATGTTTGTGTTCCTTGTTTATGTAGTGAAGCAGGGGTTGCAGGAGGAGAGCTGGATTGTAAAAAGGTTTGTGTTAGACTGGCTATACTCATGTTTGATATTATTCAGATGTGTAAATTAGGTGCAAATCGGTCTTGTAGTACAGTTGTAACACTGTTTGTTTAACCTATTTGAAGTGCATAAGGAGGTATTTTAGTAATTTGTAAACAGCTAACCATGATCTGAGAAGTAAAACATTGGTGCCATAATTGCTATCCAGTGAAAGCATAAAGATACTACATTTCAAGTTTTTGTAGTATATGCTTGATATAAATGATGAGTACAAGATATGAGAATTTTTTAAAAAGAGATTTATGTTTCTTTTTCCTATGTTTCTTTTTTCTTTCATTGCATGCTGACAGCAGTGTCATTTGTAAGTTTTGACTTTTAAACTACAATGTTCATATGTTATTGACTTTACAGGATGGAGGACAATGTCAGTGTAAGGCCAACACAGGAGGTCGGCAGTGTGATCTCTGTTTGCCAGGCTTCTTTAACCTTCTGACCTCTAACCCTGATGGATGTGAAAACTGCTCCTGTAACACAGATGGCACACTCAATGGAGATGTGTCATGTGACACCAAAACAGGCACCTGCAACTGTAAACAAAACACCAGAGGTAAATAATCGAAATGCTAGAGGTTATTTAAAGCCGTTGGAATAAGAGGGAAAAAATGTATAATTTTGTTCATGTCCTTTAACACAAGAGGTCAATTTACTGGAATGGGCATCTTAAAGTCCAAGTAAAATATGTGTAAATGAAATGTATGAGATGTAAACTATGGTACATAAATTGTAACTAAATAGTTAATATGAAATGTGCAGACATTAACTAATGAAAACTGAAAAGTAACTGCTTATTGCTTAGTCCTTTTCAATCTGACTTTAGTTACTGGATGCAGTATAAACACATCTAAAAGTCAAAATCACTGCTAAGGATAGAAAATGTAAATGTCTACACTGAAATACCGGTACTTTTTTTGAAGGTGCCAAATGTGCAGATTGTGAGCATGGGTACTTCAACCTGACTGCAGACAATCCTGTTGGCTGTTCTCCCTGTGAGTGTAACCCCCAGGGCTCCACCTCCCAGTTCTGTGACCCTGTCACAGGTCAGTGTCAATGTAAGGACCATGTAACAGGACGCAAGTGTGACCAGTGTACAGACAACTACCAAAACTTTGAATTCGGCTGCAAAGAGTGCACATGTAACTCTCTTGGCACAGTTCCGGGTACAGTGTGTGACAAAAGAACAGGCCAATGTGTTTGTAAAGAAAATGTCCAGGGGCTGGCTTGTGATGAGTGCAAAGACGGGAGTTTTGGATTTGGAGGATCAGCAACCAAAGGATGCTATGGATGTATCTGTAATTTGGCCGGAACGATTAACAGTTCCCTGGTTTGTGACAAAATCTCCGGAAAGTGTGTGTGTAAGGAGAATGTTGTAGGGACTAGCTGTAATCAGTGCAGTGGGAACACATTTGGACTCAGTATGAACATTACAGAGGGATGTGAACCCTGTAATTGTGATCCCACTGGGACAAAGGGAGGTAACTCCAGTCATCCTGATGATTTGTCATGTGACCAGAACACTGGAGACTGTACTTGCCTGGCTAACAGGATAGGGAGACGATGTGACGACTGTGCACAAGGTACTGATCAACTTTTATCAAATAACTTAAACTGATTTTAGACAACAGTTCTATGCACAATGCACAAAGAGTATACAAAAGATTTCATGAATCCAATTATGTAATTTCAATACAAATAGCAACAGACTTTTTAAAGAAAAAAATCTTCAAATTGTATAATGCATTCATTGCTTTGGATCTATTCTACCCTTTCAAGTCCATCTTTAATCGCATAAGCAGATGACATCCTATTCCCTACCTCTTTATTCTACCGGTAATTTAGTTCTAGTAATGTTTAACAAGTAATACAATTCAGACTTGGCTGCCACTGGGGACATTCATCATTATAATCATATTATTTTTTGCTCTTTTTTTTTAGGATATTTTACCAGACTGGAGCCAGGTGGTGGATGTCAGGAGTGTGGGTGTCACTATGCCAGTACATACGAGCAAACATCATGTGACTCACTGACTGGACAGTGTCAGTGCAGGCAGAGCAACTCGGGGATCACAGGGCGAACCTGTGAGGAGTGTCAGGAGGGATTCTACGGCTTTAACTCAAGATTAGGGACGTATGTAGACAATAACAACTGTAGATTAGGAACGTATGTAGACAATAATAACTCTAGATTAGGGACGTATGTTGACAATAACAACTCTAGATTAGGGATGTATGTAGACATAACAGCTCGAGATTAGGGACGTATGTAGACAATAACAATTCAGATTAGGGATGTATGTAGACAATAATTACTCAAGATTCGGGACGTATGAAGACAATAATAACTCAAGATTTGGGATGTTTGTAGACAATAATAACTCAAGATTTGGGATGTATGTAGACAATAATAACTCTAGATTAAGGACGTATGTAAACAATAAAAACTCTAGATTGAATACATATGTAGACAACTCTATATCGGGGCATATGTAGACAATAATAACTCTAGATTAGGGACATATGTAGACAATGATACTCTAGATTAGGGATGTATGTAGACAATAATAACTCTCGATTAAGGATGTTATGTAGACAATAAAACTCTAAATTAGGGACGTTATGTAGACTATAATAACTCTAGATTAGGAAAGTATGTAGGCAATAATAACTCTAGATCAGGAGCATATATGTATGTAGAAAATAATAAAACTCTACATTAGGGAAGTATGTAGACAATATTAACTCTAGATTAGGAGCATATGTTGACAACTATTGTATTGTTACATAGCAGTAATAGAACTGGACAAGCAATAGTTAGGAAAAGGTTTAAGAAAATGTGAGCTGCTGATGTTATGAGCCCTGAAAAATGCTTAGTGGTTTTGTGAGTTTGAAAAGTTGCTTGTTCAAAATCTCAATTGTTCTTAAAGTTAGAAATTGTATACCTGAACTAGGCACTTTATCAGCATTTAAACCAACTATTATTCGTGTTATTTTATTTTATTGACGATTTATCAGTTTTAAACTTATTCGCGATGATAAGTAAGTAAGTTTTGCTGCTGACGAAATATTCTACATGAATACACAATGACATAAAAAGTTCGTGGTAAGAAATATTCACGATTAAAGCAAGGTTGGGAAACTCAAGAATATTTCTTGCACGTGATTAAAAATTGGTTTACAGTATGTAAGTCTACAATATTCTGATTGAGTAAAGGTTTGTTAATGGGGTTAAATTCTCATGGGGATTAACAAATCATGGACTAGGAACTGGGTTATGCTGATAGTACCCCTGTAATGAACTTTGTTCTGGCTTGTGCTGGGGTTAACGTCTGTAATGGACTGGGGACTGGCTTATGAAGAAGGTTTTTATGCTGACGATTATACATGATGGTTGAGTGTCCAGGGAGAATCAGTAGTTCTTATTTATTAGAATACTACTGTTTTAGGTGCAGTGCCTGTGAGTGTGAGATGGCAGGCAGCTTGAACTCCACTTGTGATGTCATCACAGGGAAATGCTTCTGTAAACAGTTTGTGGAAGGTCGGAGGTGCGACACTTGTATACCTGGAGCCAGTTACATCAGCAGTGAAAACCCTTATGGTTGTAGTAAAGGTGAGAAAATAGAAAACAGACTAAACTAAAGTCTTATGTTCAGCCATTGAAATGGTTGTTGGGGAGAGATTGGATTAAAAGTGATCCTATATTGGCTTACCTCTCTATCTGTTGAACTAGTTTGAATTGTAACTTGATGAAGATGAGGTTTAAAATGTTGTAAACTAGCTTGCCTCTGTTATTGCATTACAGCATTTGTGTCCCTTTTACACCTCACCCAGGACAATGACTCCTTTCTATTTGATTTGTGTGTGTGCCTGTGGGGGGTGGTAGGGGTTAGCTACAATGTTGTGAATTCATGGAGAGAGGGGTCAGTACAATGTTGTGAATTCTGCTTTGTAATATACATTTGAAATTCTAGAACCAGCACAACAACCTCCACCAGAGCACCAACAGAACAGTTCAACTGTACTGTGGCTCACTTGGAAGGAACCAGATTACCCTAATGGTGTCATCAAAGAATACAGACTCTTCAGAAATGGAACACTGATCTTCACAGGCAACTCTTCTAGTAAGTACAATGAGAAAAAAGTCTGACTTGATATGTAATTTTGTGCCTACCATGTGTATTACAACTTTTCTAGATGTGGACATTGATTACTGGTTTCTAAAATTAATTGGGTACCAATTTGGAAATGTCGTCAAAATTTCATTATTACAGTATTGGTATATTTTTCTCTTTTATTTCAGAAAACTTATTTTTAATCTTTTCTTTTTTCTCTATCAAGTTATTACATTCTCATTCATTTAACCAAGCCTTTAGGTGCATATCCTTTGCAAGGCCTTTGCTGACTGGTCAGTTTTCCAGTTTAAAAAAAGAAATTAAAATGCTTGCCAATTTTTGCCAGCCCAGATGGTAGCTGACTCACTTTGTACAAACATGATCAAATTTATACTAGTAGTCAGGTTTTGGATTGCTTCTTTTTGCAATCACCACACTGGAACTATCTTTATTATTTTTAGATATTATCTATGAAGATTCCGGATTGTCACCTTACACAAGATACACCTACATTGTGGAGGCGACCAATGATTTTGGATCCGTCCGCAGTTCTCCAGTGACCTTCCGAACTTTACCAGGTCCCCCCACAGGTATTGTCTATGTGACTGTTAAGGAAATTCAAGCAAGAACAGCTAAATTGGCCTGGATTTTTCCCGCAAAATTGAATGGACCATTGGCCAACTTCAGTGTGGTCACTTTGAAACCAAGTCAACCCACTGTCCGAGAGCGACACTGGATGGGGCTAGATAATAAGACCACAATCACAGGACTGGTACCTTTTACTAACTATACTGTGTATGTTGTGAGTTGCAGTGAAGGAGGGTGTTTGGACAGTTGGCCTGTGGTATTTAGCACTAAGTCAGCCCTTCCAACAGGAATGGAAGCACCTAATGTTACTATGCTTTCATCATCCAAACTAAATGTCACATGGAAACCACCTGCTCAAGCAAATGGTACATGTAGTAATTTTTCATATGACTAATCATATTCATGTTAAGTGTATGAGGATTTAAGAAGCAAATTAAGAAATTCTGAACAAGTAAACTCCATAAATCAGAATTATTCAATTCAAATCTCTGTTTCTTACAACTGGAGATACTGGTACATGTACTGGTAATTGTATTCTGATGGTATTATAGGAATTATAATATTTTATGAGCTGTGGATGAGAGGATCATTGAAAAATGATGGAACTAGGGATCCGCAGGAGAAGAGGATATTCCACCCTAGTGGACAGTATAATCCCCGCCCAACTCGGTCCCCTCAGGAAATAGCCCTACCCCCTCCAGATACAAACTTCTTGGTGCAGGGTCTGGAACCTTATGCAGTGTATGAGTTTCAGGTATGGCAGTAGGATAACTCTCTTCAGCTTAGGATTCAGTTTCCACTTACTAAATGGTCAGCTTGGCAAGGTTTACATTGACAGTACATTATTTTACACGAGAGAAAAGGTCTCTAGATTCATACATTTTAATGAAAACTCCTGGTCTGCAAAAACTTTTAGATTTGTATTCAGTTGAGAAATTTCTTCAATAGGTTCTTGCAGAGAATGATATAGGGAAGACAGCAAGTCCCTGGGTGTCCCAGAGAACTGGAGAAGCCACACCTGTTTCTACTCCCATCCCCACAGTCTACTCTGTCAGTCACTCACAACTGGAGCTACAGTGGGAGCCTCCCTCAGAGGAGCAGGCCCGCGGAATCATTACAACCTACAGGGTGTATTTCTACAGCAAGAATGACCTCAGTAAAGATCCCTTTGCTCCACAATACATGTGGAAGGTAGGAAAATTTGTGGTAGCATTGAAATGATAGGTTGATTTACTTGATCAGAAGTTTCTTACAGATATACATAAATGTAATCTCTCTGAGACTAGAGACTGCAGTTCTGTGAACAAAGAAACCTAGGCAAAGTTTAAATCAGTGATTGCCATAATGCCACTAATTGACTGTTACTTGGAAATTTACTTCTTCATTTTTGTTTTTGTTTTTTTGGTTTTGCAGCTAGTTAGTGTCTCTGGTGGTGCCTCGAGGACCCATATGATAGGGGGACTTGATGCATACCAGAACTACACTTTTAAGCTAGGAGCATGTAACTCTGAGGGGTGTGTCAACTCTTCAGAGTCCTCTGGAACTACTCAGGAAGATGGTATATACACTTTTTTTCTACTTCACAATTATCTGTCCATCAATCTGATTAAAATCAGATCTTTGTCCCGCTACGAAATTTTGATAGTCACTTTGTACAGCAAGTATAAGAATTTCGGAATGTAACAAAGATTTGATTTTAATCAGATTATGGGTCCATAAGATCAAAGATCATGGGGGAAAGGGGGGGGGCATATTGTTGTTGTTTGTCCTACAAGGTAGAAATTTAGATCAAGGTCATGACAGTCAAATGGGATTTTATTTCTCTGTGAATGACTGTGTGTTCCATAAACAAATTTTATCACCATATTCTACATCCAACATTGTATGTGATTATTACTAGTATAAAGTTTTTTATTTTACATGATCCCTTTGATTTATGACTAAATGTAGACTTTGAGATTGACTCTGTTGATACATTTTCTTGACTTTTTAGTACCAGCTGGTCTGTTTAAACCCAAGTTCTTCAGTGTGAATTCCAGCATGATCCGCTTGACATGGCCGGAGCCTGCTGACCCCAATGGCCCCTCCCCTCTGTACTCTGTGGAGAAAACTGTACCCTCCTTAAGCTTCCCTCCTTTGGTAGTGCAGGGAACCAGATTTCCAGGAGGAGGATACTACCTATTTCCTCCTGAAATTATTCCACCTAATGTAGCATTTACAGGTCAGTTCTTATAAGTTTCCATTCAAAAACTTGCAGATCATGTTGTCAAGTAAACTTGTCCATTGTGTACAGTGTACTGTTGTACAATTTTGTTTAATGGAGTATAATGGCTTCTTTTTTTCTCATCTTTAATCTCTCTTTATAAGTAAAATTAATTGCACTGTCAAAATGCAGAATATTAAAGAATTACAATTTATACAGGGATCAGATTTAAATTCAAAACAAAGCGGAAAAATGGTCTCCTACTATTTGCTGCATCAGCTGGGAGACAAGATGAGTTCCTGGCTATTCAGTTCAAGTCAGGAAGGCCCTGGTTTGTGTTCGATCCACAAGGCAAGTTACATACATTAAGCATTATATTTGACTTTTGTGGTTTAGTGATCTTCAAGAACAACAGCAACTATTTTGATATTTATACAGATTGATGGTTTTGTATAGTCTGAAATACACAAAATAACTTCCTTGCAAGGTCACTTGTTCTTAAGTATACCTAAGCATAGGTATGTAATATAGTGAGTTAACAAAATTAGGAAATATGCTTTCATGTATCTCAAAAAAGATGGTTAGATTTCCTCCTGCAGCATAAAACAGTTTGATTAAAATATCCACAACAAAATTTAAAAAAAAACATAAAAACCCCAGCTGGGATCTTTGGGTTCATTTCATAGACCTTTATAGACTACTTCAGACTGAAGCATGAAACAAATAACACTCATGACTGGTATATGAATATAGTGTGTTATGCATATGATTATATAAAATGAATTACCTGGAAACCAGAATATTTTAAATCAGGAATAGACATAACAGGTAGATATTTTAGCCAATAAGGTGTCTATGCAAATATCTTTGATATCCTGATATCCTTTGATATCCTGACAAATATGGTTAAAAATATGAAATACGTAGCTACTTCTTATTTCCCAGTATTTCCTGGGAAATACCAGTAATTACCGAGAATTACCAGTATTTCCCACTGTCCTGGGAAATATGAGTATTTCCCTTTTTTTTTTTTTGCCAACCCTGCAACAAATTTTTCATACTTTAAGAATCCATATGGTTGCTGTGGTTATCAAAGTTCACTTTATTGCAAATGTCCACTAGTATTATTATGTAGATTGTATTTTATGTGTTATATGTAGATGATTAAGTTTTTTTTAATAAGTCTTCATCTCATTTGAAAATAGAAGGAAGTTTTTATATAAATTTTGAATTGTATGTGTCTTATAGCTAGAATCTTAATCCTAATGTATGTCTATAAATTGCTCTACTCCAAACCACATACAAGCCTAGTTTTAACCAAAATGAGCACAAGGCCTCAATTGAGAAAGGGAATGAAAATTGCTCAGGGGATATAATTTAAAAGTGAAAGGTAGGGTGTTGGAGTCATTAAAATTTTTCTCAATCTCCTCAGTATTAAACAGAACTAATGATTGTGCAAACTTTTAGAACAACTGTGTGCATTGCATTGTAGCTTTTTTTCACAGGGGTTGCTGTAAAAACAGTGACATGTTGTAGGATAAACAACTGGGTGTTAATGTTTAATCAATTTTAAAAAATTTTTCAATCTTTGACTGAAATCTTCCTGTTGAGACAGATTGTCCGAGCTATGTGGAGATAAGCCCTTATACCGATAACGACCGTTCATATGACGATGACAAATGGCATAGTCTGATTGCAATACGAGATAATGAGCTGTCGAGAATTGAGATCGACCAATACAAAGGTCAGGTCAAGGTTGAAGTGTAACGCACAAGTTTGGGCAGCATGCGTTTGAAGCCTTGCTGGGTGGTGTGGATTTAGTTAGCAAGAACAGGTGGAGGTCGCAGTGAAAATTAAAATTAATTATTATAGATCACCAAATGTTCGTGATGTGATATTTTCACAAGATGGTCATTTGGTATCATGCAAAAATAAAGTTCTTGCAAATAAATAGTGATTTACAGTATATGTAAAAAGTTTAGGTTGGTATAAGGGATTAAAAAGTTTATTTGAAAAAAATTATTATCAAAAGGTGTCCTTCATTTGTTCTTAGCATGAAACAAAGTACTGGATATTAGCGGAATGCTGATATATCAAAGCGCATGCGACTTGCAGTTTGGCGAAGATTACTCATTATCTAATGGAAACTGGGAATGTGTCATTACATGTACAGACATTGGAATCTACTTTTGGCAGTGAATTTTAATCGGCATTTCAGTGACTCTTTTAGTTGACATTTCTTTTTACCAATTTATTTATCTCTATAAGAAACACAGTAGTTTTCCCAGTTTCCAAATTCTTTTGTCCTGTGTGTGAACTAGATAAAAATTGTCACTTTGTTTTTGATTTGCTGCACTGTTTGTGGCAGGGTGTCCCTCGTTTGTGACTCCGACCAATGATGAAGGACTACTATATAGCGACTACCGCTGGCATGAGTTGATCGCCACACGTGATGAGCGAACGGCCTATCTCTCTATTGATTCTATTTGGAGAGGTTTGACACTCTTATTTCTTTCCTTTTTCTTTTTCCTTTTTTTTTTTGTAAAAGTATAGTGTTCACATTGTGAACCCTTCACATTTTTTGAAAACTTGTACAAGGGTTAGAATTTTACTGTATGATCCCACTTTTAATCAATATGTATTTGGCTGCATGCACATAACCCACTCTGTGTTATATGAAAGATTGAATTCAGCATCTGCAAATACAGTGTTATCTGGAATTTGGTTTTTAAAAGGTGAGTAAAAGCTTCATTCCCTCTGTGTTACCCATATAAATGAATCCTAGCTTTTTAAAACCTCCTTTTCATCACCCATTGTCAATACTTTTTTATATGCTTTAAAATTTTCCCAATTTAGGATAGAAAATCCTATATGGTGCAGAAAAGTGTGTGTAGATTAAAGTTATGATTAAGTAAATTATTTAAAGATCAGAAAATAGGGACCCTACTGGATTATCAGAGTTTAACATAGGATTATACAGGGAAAAAAATCAGCTAATGAAGAACAGCAGGGCCATAGTGACTCAGGTGAGCATTGTGGTCTTTGGACCTCTAGTTTTATCAATACACTAGATTTCCTATAATGTGATCAAACAAGTTAAATCAACAATATCCAGAAAATCTAGAAGGAAACTTTTAGGGTGTTTCAATTAGTTGATGTTTCTTTCAATGTAGATAAAATAGCATAGATTTTGGCGAGTATGCAAGACAGAGAGTGGCTTTATAGGAAAAATTCTTGATAAATATGTTTTAGTAATAATAAAGAATACCTTCCATTTTAACTTAATCAATTCCATTTAATCAAAATCTCTGTATAGTTGTTAAATACAAAAAGAAAACTAAAATTTATGCATATTTTAAACATTTTATTTTCCAATTCTAAATAAATGCCATTAAGGCTATTAAATAAAAGTATAAAAATTGTGACAAGTCTTAACAACTGTTAAGAACACCAATGTACAAATTTGAAAGACAAAATAAAATTATGCTAGACCCAACTTATATTGAGTAGATTCAAGAATGTTAAAGGCATACCCAGGATTAGGGGCCCATTTTATCAGATCAAGATTTGCTGATTTGTGGGTCACTTCAAACATTGATGTGGTAAATCACTTGCATGTGAAACATCAGTACCTGCATAACAATATAAGTACCTGCAAGACACTAGTAACTGCATGTCATTTAGTACACTTACATGTACTATGATACATTAGTACAATTGTACCTGGCTTTTAAGTTCAAAATTCAAAATAATCAGAATGTCCAAGTTTGAAAGGTTTTTAAAAAATCAATCATAACACATTTGAAGATATATTACTGATTTGTATTATTTGATTAGATATATTTAGAAATTTGATGATATCTTTATAAATTAAGTGTGGTATCTTACACTTTTACAATAACCAAATCTTGAATGTAAAACAGCTTTAGTATGTACTGTTCAATTTGTTTAAGAATCAAATTATCCAACAACTATTTACTTTTGAGGAAATGGGAGGGGATAAAAAGTACAATATGTCCTTTGAGAAAAATTACAAATATTAATAAGTTTTGGTCATTATAGGCACCAGAAGGAGTAGTTGTACCATGGGGACAGTCATCGGTCCCAGTACTGGGGTCTACATTGGGGGACTACCCACAGAATTTGTCATTCGACGGACGGAGACAGACAGCCGCCTCAGCGTCACACGAGAGTCTTTCCAAGGTTGTATTAAAGATATCCAGATCTTACAGCAGATGTATCCAAAGGAGGTGTGGAAAACACTAGATTGGGGACAGGCCAAGGCCAATGAGCAGACCTTTCTAAACTGGGAAGGGTGTCCAATTAACTTGGAGCAAGGTTACCATTTTATGGGTCAAGGTAGGAATATTATTCAGTGCTCATAGTTATCAAATTAAAAATAAAACAGATATGTAGGAGACGAAGGCAAATTTCTTAAGGTGTAATTTGTCAGCATAACAATTTTCATGTTAATCAAAGAGGGAGGATACATCTCCAATATGTGGCTAAGGAAGAACTTAGATTAAAACTTTGTCAGTAACATAAAGCTGGATAAGACTACCATGGTTTTAAATATGCTTTCCATTGAATGAATGGTGGAAATTATGTAGACCTAGTTGTCATATTTTACAGTAAAAATTACATTCTTAATTTGTTTTACAAAAAAAAGTTTATGAAAGACATGCTTTAAGGCACAAAGTTTGATAACTATTTTCTTTTCAAGGTTATATGTCCATGCCAAGTGATAGATGGAAAATAAACAATCAATTCATCCTGGAATTCCACTTTCGTACAGACCTTGCAAGTGGGATACTGTTCTTCACCCACGAAGGGGAGGGGATGTACTACTATATAGCACTTATTCAAAACAGCCTCTACTTTGAGTTTTCCAATGGCATTGCGACAGGTGGCGTAACCTTTCAGCGACCTGATGTCAAGTTTTGTGATGGAAACTGGTATCGTGTGGAAGTTACAAAAACTGGTCAACAGGCTTCAATTGCTGTCCATGGTTATGGAAATGAGACGAGTGGAAATGCCTCCCATCCTCTCAGGGTGGCTGTTTCTGGAGACGTGTTTATTGGCGGTGTGCCAGAGGCATCTGATGCTCGACATTTCATAGAAAGGAACAAGCTTAATATTCCCACAGAAGGTCTGTGCCTTGTTCAAAATAATACATAATGGAAGCATTTCTTAATGTTTTGAAAAATAACAATGATATGATTAAGTTTGACAAGTTTGAAAAGTTTACAATAAATTGTCTAGTATTCCATCAGTGCCAGCATTTCATGTTACATTTCCAGCAGAACTGAGTAAGAGTTTTTTTTATTCTCTCGGAAACACAGTTTGATCTATTTTAGCACATTTTACATATTTTTCTGCAAATGAATTCAGTACAATGACATTCTTTTTTTAAGTTTTGAAAGGGGGGAACATAAATAATCTTGAACAGAATATACATGACATGAACAATTTGTTTTATAGGTTTTGGAGGCTGTATTGCAAACATTGTGTTGACTTGGTTTTCACCAATTTACTACAATTTTGCACTGAAAGTGCTCGAAGAATTGAAGAATTTAGAAAATGTCAACTTGGATGGGTGTACACCCTTCAATCTGCCAGAGGACACATGTAAACGTGATATTGTAGGAAATGTTTACAATGGAACTGAGAGAGAATTCATAGACACTGAGCTTCAGCCTTACTCTGGTGAGTTGTCAACAAGTCAACAAGTTGTCCCCTTAAGGAGGAATGAACTATATTCTGGTGACTTGTTTACATGTCAGAGTTATGTGCCCTTTAAGGAGGAATGAGCTATACTCTGGTGACTTGATTACATGTTAAAGTTATGCCCTTTAAAGAGAAATGAACTATACCCTGGTGACTTGTTTTCAAGTTAGAGTTACACCCCTTAAAGTGGAATGAACTATATTTTGGTGACTTGTTTACATGTCAGAGTTATGCCCCTTAAGGAGGAATGAGCTATGCTCTGGTGACTTGTTTACATGTTAGAGTTATGCCCTTAAGGAGGAATGAGCTATACACTAGTGATTTGTTTACATCTCAGAGTTATGTGTCCCTTATAGAGGAATGAGCTATATGCTGATGACTTGTATACATCTCATAGTTATGTGCCCCTTAAAGAGGAATGTTCATACTCTGGTGTCACTTACTATCAATTGAATGAATCCAAGAAGTAGCTGGATAAAAATCCTATCTAATCACAAACCAAGGGGATCCATATTTCTCATGGTGAATTTAGTTCAAGAGCCTATCAGTAAACCTTGGATAAATTTACAAACTCTGCAAGTTTGTTTTAAAATTTGGGGTAGTGGACTGTCTGGATTAGAACAAAATTGAGGCAACATATAATTTTCAATTTTTGTGTTTAGTAACGGAATATGTTGGAACATATTGGATTAGGAATCAAAAAGCTGTAGTGGTATAAACAATGAACACCTTACAGATGTATATTTTTGGGTTTCAGACTACCTGTATCGAGTGCTGGCAAGTAACGATGCTGGAACAGGACTTAGTCCGTGGGTCTATGGCAAAACAAAAGAAGGAGGTAAAAACATGTTTTGAAAAGTATTTTTTTATGTCCATTCATACTAACAGTTAGTCCTGAATCAAATATCAGAGCCTCTGTTTCTATTTAAATAAACCTTTTTGAATTTGGCATGTATTTTGTGAACTGAAATATATGTGTATGTTTTATGTACTGAAAATCCTAAGCTACTATACAAGACAAAGATTTTTGTGTTAGCATTTTGGGAAGGGAAGGGGAGGGGGGTTAAATGTGGCTTTTATTCTGCCTTAATAATAGTTATATATTTTTCTCATATGGTTTCAACTGAATTTCATGTCCTGTCATTTATATCTTAAACATTTTTCTTGCAGCCCCCATTGGAGTGAGGCCCCCTTATAATGTGAAGGTTCTGAGTGGGTTTGAGATTTCAGCCTCCTGGTATTCTCCTCAGTCTTCAGCAGGGCTCCTCTCCAAGTACATACTAAGGGCCCACAACATAGACAAGCCACAGGAACCCCCTGTGGAAGCAGTCTTTACTAATACAGGTGTCTATAGTGGTACGTATTGTAAACATGGAAATTTTCAAATGCTGAGAAGGAACATTTCAATGCATATTTTCCCTCATATAGCAACTGATCATTGACCAGAAAGTGTTTTTTCTGTCTTTGTATTTCTAGCTGTCTGTTTGTCTTTAAACAATTTTTCAAATCTCTACTCCTGCAGTTATACCCGTAGTTCAGTTTGAATAAAACTTGATCCAAATTTATTCTCTATTCTTTGCAGTAATTTTTTTTTTATGAACAATGTTGCCATGGTCATTAAATATAAAATTTTGCATTCTTTCAAAACTCTCCTCCTATAATCTGTCCATCTGTTTGTCTGTCTCTCCATCCATCTGTTTAAGTTGTCCTGATAAGTAGAAAAAGAAGGGGGGCTGGTTAAACTAGACTTTTATTGTCCTTACACATGTTCTCTCACTCCACAGGTAAAATTACAACAGCCATACCTTACACCAACTACACAGTCAAGATTGCCATATGTACAGGAGGGGGATGTACAGAGAGCTCGGAGGGTGTCAAAGTCACTACATCTGAAGAAGGTTAGTTTTATGAGGAGGGGGTGGGGAAGCACAGTAGTATTCAGGTAAAGGTGTCTTAAAATAGGAAGAAGCAATTTCTGTACAAAAACTTTGATTTTTCATGTAACTGTACATGTAGATTCTAAAGTAAACTTCAAGTGCTAATCAGATGTTTTGAACAGATTATCTTTTATTCATTTTGTATACCAGTAATTTTTTATTGTGTCATTTAAATCAATGTATCTTGAAGATTGTAAAATCTATATCAACTTCCTTAATGTTTATTAGCTCCTGGAGAAGTACCTGCTCCAACTGCAGAAACAGGTACATCATACCTGCTAGTGAGATGGAAACCTCCGGGCATGCCCAATGGTATAGTGACTGGCTATTTCCTGTATAAAGATGGAGTAGAGGTTTACAGTGGAGGAGGCTACTTCTATAACATCACAGGCCTCCAGGTTTTATTTCTGAGAAAAATTCTTTGCACACAATTATACAATATACTTAAATAATTACCCTGTCAACAAAGTAGCCTGTTTGATTATGCACAGTATGTGCTGTCTGTAGATGCACATACCCCCATATAAGTATATATACATAAAGTAAAACATGATTATAACAAAGTGTCAGGGGCAGACAATGTTGCCGCATTATAAACATAATTTGTTATATCTGTTAAGTTCACAATATATTTTAAAGCCATGGAAGATGAGAATTGCTTTGCTTTAAGCATCAATTCATTATAAGCGTGTTCCCTATAAGCATGTTTTACTGTCAGTAATGTTAATATTTCAATTTTGATGGTATCACTGAAGAAAAACAGTTTTATTTTAAACTTATTTTTATTTTTAGGTGTATACAGGATACCAGGTAACATTGCGAGCTTGCACCAGGGCAGGATGTAGTGATGGACCCACTACTATGCTGAGTACCGCCCAGCTCCCTCCTTCCTTTATGGAGGCCCCTACACTAGTAGTCCTTGGTGAGCTCAACACTGATAACATATTGCTCTTTAACATCATACAGAACTTCACAAATTCTACATTAAACTAGATTTATCAGATAATAAACCATAAAGTGGCTAATTATAATATTCTGCTATGCACCATATGTAATTTTGTTTTAATTATGATTCATAAGCAATTTGTGGGTTTGTTTTTTTTTTAAATGAATTTGATTCTTATTGAGTCTGTTAAAAATATAAATAGGTAATACAAGAGTTGAAGCTCGATGGACTGAGCCTACTCAATTGAATGGAGTTCTACAGAGGTACCTGTTATATGTCTCAGTTGACAACTCGAGTGTGGGCGAGATTGTATATAACAACTCAGACTTTTTTATGGACTACATCATTCCAGATCTTGCAGCAGGAACTCAATACTTCATCAGAGTTGGTGTAAGTCAACTGCTGTTTCCATATCTGTTAAAAAGGGGCTTGTAATAAGAAAGTTTGAAAGCATTTGAGCATGTGTGTAAATTAGAAGGGAAAGGGAACTCTGAATTTAGAATTGGATTGAAACAAATTTTTCTGCAGAAAACATGAAATGATTTAGGAAGTACAAGTTGTACACAGTATTGATCTGTACAGTCACTGAATTTGCCATAATATGGAATATTGTAGTAATTGAGTATGTAATTTGTAGGCATGCACCCTAGGAGGTTGCACCTTGAGCAAGCCCAGCACCGTGACTACGGAGGAGAGTGCCCCAGAGAGAGTCCCTGACCCAGAGATTTCCTCCCCCTCCCCACACTCCCTCATCATTACATGGGACATTCCAGGGCTCCCAAATGGTCAGACTCTACAGATTATTTATTTTCTATGTATACTTTAACTCATTGTGTGGTTTAGACTTTTAAAAGAAATCGTTAATTTTTTAATTTTAGGCCATATAATATCATATCATCTCTACCATAATGAAGTCAAGGTATACAGTGGTCTGACTCGATCCTACACAATAGAGAACTTGGCCCCCTACAGTCTTCAGGCTGTGAGGGTGTCAGCTTGTACCGTCAGAGGGTGTGGATCTAGTGAGATGGTGAAGGGGCGGACAATGGAAGCCCCTCCCACTGGTTACATTGTGATGAATGCAGAGGTCGTGGATGCTAGAACTATCAAAGTTTACTGGAATGCACCAGCTGAGGCCAATGGAGTCATGTACTATGATATTTTTGCTGAGGGGGAATTTTATGCTGATAGAGGTAAGGAGGATATAGACAAATATATTGTAAGATTATTTAAATATGTGTTGTGAATTTCAAACATTGTTGGTTAGAGAAATTAGTTAAAGATTATCAATGTTGCTTTTCATTTGCTAGTGTATTCATTGGGGGTTTTCAGAGTTTTTATTACTTCTGATGATTTCTTTTTTTAGGTCACCTGAGTTACTCAGGTGACCTATTGCTATCTGTTTTCGTCCGTCGTCGTGCATTAACTTTTGAACATTTTTAACTTCTTCTCTAGAACCGCTCAACCAATTTCAACCAAATTTGGTATATAGCATCTATGGGTGAAGGGGAACAAAAATTGTGAATTTCATGGTCCCTGCCCCCCCCCCCCCCCCGGGGCCTGAGGGGTGGGGCTAAAACCACCAAAAATAATGCAATCTTTAAAAATCTTCTTCTTTACTCCTGGACATGAAGCAGTCAAACTGTTGGCATCATTGTAATAAGCATTGAGCCCTCTACCAAAATTGTGAAATTCATGGCCCCAGGGTCAGGGGTTCTGGCCCCAGGGTGGGGCTATATAGATCATATAGTGAAAGTGCATTAATTCTTTGAAAATCTTTTTCTCTGCTCCTGGGTATTAAATAAAGGAACTAAGCACATAGTTATGATGAGCAAGAGTGCCTCTTCCAAAATTGTGAAATTCATGGCCCCAGGGTCAGGGGTTCTGGTGTTAGGGCGGGGCTCTATTGATTATATAGTGAAAATGCATTAATTCTTTGAAAATCTTCTTCTCTGCTCCTGGGTATTAAATAAAGAAACTAAGTACATCGTTATGATGAGCAAGAGTGCCTCTTCCAAAATTGTGAAATTCATGGCCCCAGGATCAGGGGTTCTTGCCCCAGGGTGGGGCTATATAGATCATATAGTGAAAATGCATTAATTCTTTGAAAATCTTCTTCTCTGCTCCTGGGTATTAAATAAAGGAACAAAGTACATAGTTATGATGAGCAAGATTGCCTCTTCCAAAATTGTGAAATTCATGGCCCCAGGGTCAGGGGTTCTGGTGTTAGGGCGGGGCTCTATTGATTATATAGTGAAAATACATTAATTCTTTGAAAATCTTCTTCTCTGCTCCTGGGTATTAAATAAAGGAACTAAGTACATAGTTATGATGAGCAAGAGTGCCTTTCCAAAATTGTGAAATTCATGGCCCCAGGGTCAGGGGTTCTGGTGTTAGGGCGGGGCTCTATAAATTATATAGTGAAAAAGCATTAATTCTTTGAAAATCTTCTTCTCTGCTCCTGGGTATTTAATAAAGTAACTAAGTACATCGTTATGATGAGGAGGTGGCCCTCTTCCAGAATTGTGAAAGCCATGGCCCCTGGGTCAGGGGTTCTGGTGTTAGGGCGGGGCTCTATTGATTATATAGTGAAAATGCTTTAATTCTTTGAAAATCTTCTTCTCTGCTCCTGGGTATTTTTTAAACAAATTAAGTGCATGGTTATGATGCATAAGGATGCCTTTTCAAAAATTGTGAATTTCATGGCCCCAGGGTCAGGGGTTCTGGTGTTAGGGTGGGGCTCTATTGATTATATAGTGAAAATGCATTGATTCTTTGAAAATCTTCTTCTCTGCTACTGGAGACTATTTAAACAAACTAAGTGCATGGTTATGATGCATAAGGATGCCTTTTAAAAAATTGTGAATTTCATGGCCCCAGGGTCAGGGGTTCTGGTGTTAGGGAGGGCTCTATTGATTATATAGTGAAAATGCATTGATCCTTTGAAAATCTTCTTCTCTGCTAATGGAGATTATCTAAACAAACTAAGTGCATGATTATGATATACAAGGATGCCTCTTCCAAAATTTTTAAATATATGGCCTCAGTTTTTGGGGTTCTTGAGGAGGGGGGGGGGGGGGGCTAGGGCAACAATGCTTCATCTATCAGTGTATTTAACTTCTAAATTGTTGTATTATACTCAGGTGACCATTAAGGCCCTTGGGCCTCTTGTTTATCATTATTTTTCACTTAAATACAAAATGTAATAGTCTAAAGACTATTGAGGAACATTATTAATTGCTCTTCTCTGATTCTCATTGTTAAAAACTTGATTTTCATAATCTTTAAAATATTTTGTGAACTTTATAACAAAGCAAAACATCTGTCCCTGGCACTTTGTTTTAAGAGTGTTTTACTGTACCTATTTAACTGATTTGTGGATTCATTCCCTGTAGACTCCAACAACTACACTCTGGTACAGGAGAGGAGAAGCTTGTTCCATGGCCTTAATGTTTCGGAGTGGATTGAGGTGTTTCCACTTATCCCCCTGTCAAAGTTTGTTGTCCAGGTCAATGCTTCCAACACAGCTGGTTTCATCCTTAGTAATACCCTTTCAATGGACATGCCCCCAGGAAGTAAGGATTTTAAGCTTTTTAAATAGAGTGAAAACTTTCTAATACAACACCTGTGCAATCTGTTTCACTGTAAATTCAGACCTTTATTCTTATTCCCATTTTACTGTTTTCTATGTTCCTTACAGTGTGCAATCCAACACCCTGTCTATTCTGACTCAATTTTGTCTCCCAATGCATGTTTGATTAGACAGGTTTCACTGTATTTTGTCTTGAATTTTTTTGTCTCCAGATTTCAAGAGTCAATGCATGCTATACCTTATTAAAACTGATTAAATTCATCAAAACTTATCAAAGAAACTGGATAGTGGGCTATACTATAATGACTCATCTTTTTTACTCAAAGTTTGAAGTGAAATTTATGTTATATATGCCAGAATTTTGAATTATTTTGAATTAATTTCTAGCGCCTGATGGAGTTATGCCCCCTGATTTGGTATCAGAGACACCCACATCTATGAAGGTAACCTGGCAGCCAGTAGGAAGAACTAATTCTTATGAGCAGCCTCAGTATATCCTACAGTTCAGAGATCTCATCAACAATGGAACCACAATTTATGAGTAAGTCCGACATGAAGTACGCTCAGTTTTACATAAGTAAAGCATATCAATGCACAGATCTCTGAGCTTTTACAAATTTAAACAATTTTGTAGAGAAAAATGTAAAACTTGGAAAAAGAATCTTTCAATTCCAAATATAACTTTTCTTCAAGGTTGTTATAAGCTCAAACCAGTGGAGCTAGTCTCCTTAGATACTTTTGCTTGTATATTGGTATGTTATGGACATGAATGCAATTTCTCTGCACCTGACAAAGAGGCATTTCAGAATACTTGAATAATTTCCTAGTTGAGATTTTTGAGTAAAATTTCAGATGATGATTATATTTTCAGTATATTTGGACCTACAACAACTTTCCTTCACACAAAGCAAAACTTGGTTCCTTTCACACCATATGAATTCAGGGTTGTGGCAAAGAATACACATGGAGAAACCAAATCAAGCTGGAGTAAACAGACCACACGTCAAGACAGTTAGTTTCATTAACAATACTCATTCAATTCTTAATTGTAATGAAAAATATGGTAAAGATTCTTTGATGGAGAAACCCAATGCAGTGAAATTGCTATTTCTAGGGGAGGTAATTGAAAGTAGAAAATTACTGCAATGTTCATTCCTGACATACATGTATTGGCCTAGCAAGCTTCTTTCCTGTCTTAACTGATGTCTCTCTGTTTTTCGATAGAGCCAAGAAGTATAGATCCTCCCCTGATCACGTCTATCGGTTCTCGCCATGTGGATATAGTATGGCAGCCACCCCTGGTACCTAATGGTGTGGTGATGGAGTACAGAGTTTATCAAAATGATCATCTTATTGCTGCTGTAAGTATATTAATGGAAGTTTATTGAAAATTAGGGAATTTAGTAACAATGAGATTACCAATACACATTTCTCATTGTAAAATGAATTTGATTGATGAATTCATTAGAAAGAATGTCTGTGTATTTAAAAATTTTCGTTAAAAGTTTTACTCATGACAACTGTTTTTTGAACCATGTGGAAGTACTGGTGTGCTGTTAACTTTTACAAAACATAAGTTGAGAAAAAAACACATAGAATGGCTCACTGAAAAACACCCAAGATAACCAACAAGACTAATGGACCTGTTCATTTTCATCATGCTAGGTTGATGGTGTGACAACTAAGAGAAGGATGGACACTTTGAGACCCTTCACTTCATACATCTTCAATGTAGAAGCCTGTACATCAGGGGGGTGTCAAAAAAGTTCAAGTTCCACTACTGTCAGGACCTTACAGGATGGTAATACATTTAGTTTTATTCTCTTGCATTGCATATATATGTAAAAATTCATTATTGAAGTAAATTTTTAGCAATTTCTTTTTTAGCTCTTCAGCACATCAGAGGTTTTCAGATTTGTAATTTATGAGAGAGAGAGAGAGAGAGAGTTCAGACAATTTAACATTAAAATTTGTTATTTGTTATGACATGCACATTTTGTCAATACAGTTCCAGAAGATCTTGCACCCCCAGGACTGCTCTCACTGACCCCCACCTCAGTTCAAGTGGACTGGGAACCTCCTGGAAACCCCAATGGTTTGATTTCACATTATCAAATTGAGCGTCGTGTGAATGGAACTTCCAACATCACCGTGGTCACAAAGATTCTTCCTGATGCCAAGCAGCAGTATGTGGATGACATGTCTGAATTATCTCCCTTTATGGTGTATGATTATAGAATTATAGTGGTCAATGGAGCAGGGAGTCTAACCTCAGAATGGAACACCACCATCACAAAGTCATCTAGTGAGATTTTATATATAGATTACTCATTTTTGCAGTTTATATGATTTACAGCAATTTTTTGAATCTAAATTTTTAATTTAAAAATGCAAAATGTCCCTTTGTATTATTTTTCCAATATCCTAGAAAAGTATGTCCAATTTTAAATTGAACATTTGTACAAATATTGTTGCACACAATGTGACAAGTTTGTTGTCCTCCATATGGCAAGGTTATTTCCATGATATATGATATGATAACACTTCAGTCCTTCATCCATGGGTCAAATAATCCAGCTGAATTCTATGCACTTCATGTAGAACATTTATGTGTTTATTGTAACACCACAAAAATTGGAATGATACAGTCGACTGATTTCATTTCAATTGTAGAACCCACAGGTGTGATGCCTCCTGTTGTAAAAGTAAACAGCCCGTCCTCTCTAACGCTGTCTTGGGATAAACCAGTGAGAGCAAATGGCATCCTGGAGTACTACATTATACGTCTGAATGAGGAGCAGCATGAAATAAGAAACATCAGTGTACAGAGTCTGAGAGTGGACACACTACAACCATACACTAACTACTCAGTGACACTCACTGTGTGTTCAGGTAGGATGTATGGTCAGGGAAAAAGTTGATACCATAAAATATTAAATAAATCAATTTTGGAAATTTATTCATAAACCTGGATGCATATATGTCAGGTCAGAGTATATCTTTGAAGGATGTATTCATTTTATTCATAAACCTGGATGCATATATGTCAGGTCAGAGTATATGTTTGAAGGACGTATCCATTTTATTCATAAACCTGGAGGCATATATGTCAGGTCAGAGTATATGTTTGAAGGATGTATTCATTTTATTCATAAACCTGGAGGCATATATGTCAGGTCAGAGTATATGTTTGAAGGACATATTCATTTTATTCATAAACCTGGAGGCATATATGTCAGGTCAGAGTATATGTTTGAAGGATGTATTCATTTTATTCATAGACCTGGATGCATATATGTCAGGTCAGAGTATATGTTTGAAGGACATATTCATTTTATTCATAAACCTGGATGCGTATATGTCAGGTCAGAGTATGAGTTTGAAGGGTGTACTCATTTTTTTAAAAACAAGTTTTTCTTAAAAATGCTTTTTATTTTTGAACATGTTTTTCTGTATTTAAGTAGAGAAAATCATTAGAATACCAATATTAAAGCAAGTTGTAGATTGGATTTATCTTCTTCAGGCATTTTACTTTCAAATGGTACCTGGACAAAAATTTTATATGTAAAACCCCTCACTGCATTGTCAATGGACCTGATTATAGAAATTCTATATATATAGCCTATAATTTTTGTAATAATTTTTGCTTATAAACAAAATTGCAGACTGAAAAAATATGCACTGAATATCATCAAAGAGCAAAATTTTATGCACTTCTTTCATAAAGTAATCAAAAAGTAATCATCAATTACACGACTTTTTTTTCAGAGTAATTGATTAAATTGCAATTACTTGTAATCACGAAAATGGATGATTACTGATTACTTATGATAACACAGCAAACTGTAATCGATTGCAGCTGATTACGATTCCCCATCCCTAACAGACATACATATATATGATAAAGCGCATGTCTATTGTTTAAGAAGGAACACAAACTTAATAATCTGAATTTGATTTTTTTTTGGTGTGTAGATGGGGGATGTACAGAGAGTGCCACTATCTCAGTTCAAACCCAGGCAACTATTCCTGAGGGTCAGAATCCTCCCATCCCCACCCCCATATCTCAGAATCTGATCACTGTGACATGGGAAAATCCCCAGAGGGCCAATGGACCAAACGTTCACTTTGAGCTAATGAGAAAGATGCTTCGCCAACCATTAGAAGGTAAAGCTGTTGCTAATGAAAAAAATCTTAAAAGTTTTGTAACAGAAACATGCGAGGATGCTCCATTCACATCTGATAATAAAGGACATATTTACCCCAATTTCTTTTCTCTTATTCTCAATTTTCCTCAATTTAAAATGTTGCTGATTGGAACACATAACCTTGAAGTAGAAAAATGAAGCTGAATTGTATTTTGGTGCATTGGAGCAAATATGAAAGGGGGGAGAGTGTGATTTGAGGGTCCAGTATACAATCAGCTTTATCTAACTAGCAACTAAAATTATTAAACACCTTGATTTGGACACTATATACACTGAATTATTAACATTTACATTGTTTATTTACATTGTAGAGACAATTATAAATCCCTCCTGGCTTAGCATTTACTCGGGAACTTCCCATTACTTTGAGGACAGGGGCCTGTCATTATTTACTACATACATCTACAAGGTGACCGTGTACAACAGTGTAGGTCAGCTGACCAGCAAAGATTCAGTGGAGGCCACTACTTATGGAGGATTTCCCAGGCAGGCTGCAGTCATTAATGTTTTACCTATGAATCATGTGACATTACAGGTCTCATGGGTTACTCCAGGTAAGTCATTTTCTGTCCTCAATTTATGTCTTTTTTATTTTTTTTTAGACATAAAAAAGGCACTTGTATCTATGAGAATTGCTTCAAAAACTCATCTGTTTCTAGTTAATTTTTCGGAAATCAAATTATGCCAGCAGGTTTAAGATAAACATATTTGCATATAAATAAAGAGATTTATTTCTTGAAAACATATTTAAGTTAAAAAGTATTTAAAGAAAATCAAAATATCTGAATTAATTTTCTATAGATGTGGTAGAACTCCAGGGCTCTGTGACAGAGTTCACCCTGAAAGCTTACAGTGAGAGACACAATGTGACAGAATTCTATGACCCGGGGACCAGCAGTGTCCTGGTCAAGAATCTCCACCCGAACACTCTGTACACTGTCTATCTGACCATCACAATACATGGAGGACAGTCCATTACAAGCGATCCAATGTCAGCCAAAACGTTAGATGGAGGTTCGAGTTTTATGGTTGCTTTTAATGTTTATTATTATGAGGCCACATAGTTTTGAGTTTTTGATTCATTTACAGTAGGGATGTCAACGAATATTCGAGTACTCGACTATCGTTCGATCATACCGACTATCGACTAAAATTTCTTTAGTCGGTTATTCGTTAAAAATGTGTTACCTAATAGGAATTTTAAATTAAAGATAATAAACTTGGATCCGCCCATTTCATTTATTTACAGATCAAAGTTCTCGTAAGTAAAACCCAGGGTAAAATTTAACTGTTCAAAGGAAATTATTTATTTGCCGATTTGTGTTCGGTAAACATGCCTCCAAAATCTACAGTTTTGGCCTACTTTAAATGATGTCAGGATGAAAAAAAATAATAAAAGTACGTTATCAGGGCTATGTGAAACTGAACTTTTATTCTGCAGTGGAACATCAACTATTATGTATAATAAGCCGAATTCGTCAAACATATCCACAGTCTTCAAGTGAAATTTTCCTAGAAAGTTCTCCTCAAAAATGCCAAGAAAGCAGAGCCGGAAAGAAAAAGGTTGCTATCACAAATATGAATATCAAGGATTTTCTACCTCTTATTGTTCTAAATGGAAAGGGAGTTCAAGAATTGTTTGGATTTGTAGATTCAAATTATAAAGTTTCAACCTGCAACTCCATAAGATCTGACCTAATGCAACAAATCATAAAGAATAATTAAACAGCTGTTACAAAATTATAAATATATGTAAATTGGGGGACAGCTACGAGCGTAATTAAATGGTGTTTCTTTCTTATATTCATATCATACAGTCATTTTAAGATTGTATTGATTGTTTGCACAAAATCTCATAATTAAAATTTATCGCAAGCTCTCTCTGCTTTTATAAGAACTAGATTTAATTGTTTACCAGTCACAGGTCACTGACACGACAGAAATGGCTTCAATTAACGGGTACGTGTACTAGCGTTATGAAAAGAAAGGACAAATGCGAGCGTTTGATATCCTGCATTTAGATATTAAATGTGCAGTAAATATTATATTTGAAATCAAATACATTGGATACATGTAGATGTATTTATTGTACTACGTAAATGTTTACGAATAAGAAATTCGTAGTATAATGGTGATAGCGTAGATCAAACATTCCACAACTAGTCTATAAAAAGACAAATAGTGAAAATGACATGAAAAATTAATTTCAATTTCAACGAATATTCGACTATCGTTCGACTAAAGCCTCCGACTATTCGACTAAGCTGTCCGAATAAAATTGACATCCCTAGTTTACAGTGTAGATGTATTTTTGCTTTTTTTTCCCAAAGAACATTGGAATTTACTGGCCATATATTCTAATTTTAATAGAAAAAAAATGAAACCTTTGATATTACATGTATGTCATTTCTTTGAATTGAAATCTCTTCTACTTGCAATTAATTTTGCATATTGTGCAAGGGCAGGGTAGGGGTGTAACGATATACTGATATACCGGTATACCACAATACCCCAAAAAAATTGTACTGTATCATGGTACAAAAACCAGATACATATGTATCAGAATGCACATTTTAAGCAATGTATGTTATGCTTTTTAGTATAACCTGTTGAAAAAGATTTCTTTCATTTACTTATTCAGTTTTTATTGTGATCAAAGCTTATAAAATGTTATATAATGTATTTGTGAAACTGGTGAAGGAATCTACAACTTTTATCCTTTCACATTGTAATAGAGAGTTTCTCATTTAAGAACAGAGACATACAAATTATATTAAAAAATATGAAATATGTGAAATATTGCAATATGTATCATGATACCGTCCTGGTATATCATGATATATCATGATATGCTTTAGTCATATTGGTTCACCCCTAGGGCAGGGACTATGCAAAGAATTTTGGCTCTCAGTACTGCATGCAATTAATATGTTTGACTGTTTTTTCTAGCTCCACTGGGAATGGCAGCTCCAATGATTTTTGTTGTCAGTGATACAATTCTTAGAGTAACCTGGTCAGAACCAGAGACACCAAATGGAGAGGTCACAGGATACTATATCTACCTCAATGACAGAAGATTCAGTACTAACTCAGCCAAGGCAGGCTCCTTCATTCTCACTGACCTCCTACCATATACTGTCTACAGGATTCAGGTATCTTGTAAAGTTCTCAGAATCAGTAGTTAGTAAACTTCAACTTCAATATCTCAAACATGGACATTTCAAAAAACCTTGGCTATGTTGTAATGAGTTGGATGTCCCAGGCATTTTTTCTGTCTGTCATTTAACTTCAAAATCTCAGATATGTATCTTAAACACAGTCAAGTTCCAAATAATGAGGATTGACTGTATAAGTTTTAGGAAAATATTGCTATATAGTATTGAATGTATATGAAAATTTTCATTTATAGATGGAAGTTTGCACTACCTATGATTGTACGAGGAGTCCGGAGATCAGAGTCACCACCAGGGAATCCTTGCCACAAGGTGTGGTACCACCTAAAGTGGTTCCTCTTTCCCCCACTGAGATCAACATCACATGGATCGAACCCACCAAACCAAACGGGATCATCCTTAGATATGACTTGAACAGGAGAACAATTGTTCCTTGTACATCCATGTAAGGATTTTGATTATAAAATACATGTACATAAAAATTCTTTAATGAAGCCCTCATAGACTTACAACTTATTGTGCTGCATACTTCTATTTTGCTGCCTGAGTAATTCAAGCTACTTATATGTATAACAATCTGGGTTTTTTTTTTAACTTTGTGTGTTGTGCTTTGTCCCTCATGGATAAACTTAATTTTTACTTCCTCTAAAGAACTGAGTCAATTTATATTGGAAGCATTTAAAATGAAACATGTAATGTTTATACTTGGATTGGATTGCAGTCCGCCCAGCACAGTTTATCCAGAGCACACAAAGTGTACATACCTGGAATGTAGCATTCACCAGAAAATCTGTGGGTCTGTCTGTTACAGTGGACCAAAGGTAAGTAAAGGTCACATTTCATCTTTTCTCTCACAAACATTGTACATGTGATGTGTATGTGCTAGCTTAATTTATACATTTTGAATTAATAGTATTAAGGTGTTCATTGATTGGGTATATTTTGCCTGTATAGATGTATTCTCCATTTAAATTGTTAAATTCTATTTCATAAGTTTTTTTTTTCCATTTGGCTTCTATTTTATCTTAAGAGCTGAGCGTATAATGGAACTAGTGACTATACACTATAACTCTATACAGTCAATGACTCCATACACTCTATACTGTATACAGGGTTATTGTTTGCCCTTTCACACTTGCAGATAATTTTGCCCCGTTTTAAATTCACCTAATCACAGTTCTGTTCAAGAATTTTTTTTTTAAATTCGCCTCCGTTTTAAATTTGCCCTCCTGTGAGTAGGGCGAAAGGGGCGAAAATAAAACGGGGGCAAAAATTTCCCTGTATACAGTAACTCCGTACATTCTATAATTCCATACACTCTATAACTCTTTACACTTACTCTGTATAGGTTTGCTGTGATGGAGTGATACACACCAGTAAGCCAGACTTTGAATGTTGTGGGAAGTCCTACTTGTACAAATCTTCTGCTGATGCAGTTTGTTGTGGAGAGAAGTTCCATACACCTATAAACAATTACACCTGTTGTGGCACTAGGTAAAAGCCAAATTAAAAAAAAAATGATGGAAACAATTCAGTTTATCAGTTTTATTTTGAAGATTTCAGGAAATCTTTAAAAATTTTAGATAAAATTTTTTTTTTACAAATACCTAAATATTTCACATTGTAAGTGGTAACCCATTTTAGTTTCAAACTCAACACAGTTGAATCCGTAAAGACTTATTTTCTTGACCTTATTCTTGTACCAAAATTCAAGCCAATGTAAAGCTTCATGGATAAAAAGTTCCTACAAAAGGTGAAAATGACAATTTTTCCACATTTGACAGGTATTTAGAAGTCTTACCAGAACGTACCTGCTGTGAGGATGACAATGAAGACCGTGTCAGTGTGGGTCTGGGAAACTCTTGTTGTGGGGACATTCCATACCTCAACAACAGTGCCCAAATGTGCTGTGATGGTGTGTCTCTTTATCATAAATATATAGCTGACAAATATCTCTCTGTCTTTTGAACATTATGAATAAATAATTCCTCTATCCATTCTTCAAAGAGTGCTTTTAGACATTTTCCCTTCCTAGGTGTTTACCATTGTAGTATACACCATTTTATACTGTGTATGTATTAGGTATGAGAAAGTCTATTCCATATGTTCAGGTGAGCTTCATGCTGCTCTGGATCAAGTCTGCTGTGGTGGGCAGGTCTATGAGGGTCGTGTGATCTGCTGTGGTGACCATGTGACAGGAAGTGCCTACCAGATTCAGCCTGGGATGATGTGTTGTGGACAGGACTATGTTTTGACCAATAAGAGTCTGTGCTGCACTAGTGACACGGGACACCAACAGGTTAGAAAATTAGCATAAGGTAGTCTAGAGCTATCAAATTTTTATGATTATTTTAAAAGTGAGGATTATTTTCAATTTTTGGTTTAATGATATATAAAGTAAACAAATTCATGGGGTATTTTTATCATGTCTTCAGGCTTTTGTGTATGGCAGTGCCCTGGAGAAGACTGCTGCCAATGAAGTGTGCTGTGGATTAAACAAGATCTCTAAAGGACTCGGTTGTTGTAATTATCAAGGATACAATCCCTACACTCATGTCTGTGCTGATTTCTCCAGCATGGAAAATGGTAAAGTTTTAGTTTTGGTGTTTACATGTATTTTTGAGCTAAGCATGGTATTCTGAATAATAAAAGTTTCTCCTGTTTTGGATTTTCTGTGATAAAATATAAGCATTTACAGGTTGTGGTGTTGGAAAAACTTGCAACATGGCCGATTCTAACACTTCATTCTGTGACCGCTGCAATTTCAACAAGAACTCCCTTATTTGTGGTTCATGGAGTGGCAGTCACATGACCTCTACACCAAAAGCAGAGCCCTCTGGTGACTGCATGCTAAGAGAGGAGACTGTATTCAGTGGATTAAATGACGCATTCATAGGTTGATATTTTTTAACTGTTTACTTGTGTTCTTCGATGTTTTACTTTTGTTGAAATGCCTTTTTTCTCAGAAGGATAGACAGACAAATTGATTTCTAGTGTATGTTATATTCTACAGGCAATCACAAAAAAGTATTATGTCAGGGGAGTCTTTTTTAGATCTGCTAAGAAGATTTAAAAGCTTAACATACATGTATATTAAAAGAGGCAAAGGATAAATGCCCTTCTCTGTGTCAATTATCTGTTTACTTCTTTTCCTTCAAAAATTTTATCTAATTTGATATACAATCTGATGTTTATATCATGTGCTATGCTGGATATTTTCTTTCTTACAAACTTCAGTTTTCAGTACATATTGTGAATTGAGCAATTGTTAGACAAAAACACATAAAGATCATTCAAATAGTCTAAGGTATTTAAAAAAAATGAAAACATTTTACAAATTTGCTTTAGAGAAAGGCAGCTATGGATTTCAGGGTCACTTGGTCTAAGGTTATGATAAAGATTTGAGCATATGAAATACTACTACATGTAGAATACTTGATAGCTCACTTTAGGATAAAGTGAGCTCTTTTGATGAGAGAGTGTCTAGCATTCTTCTCCAGTTGTATGTCATCAGTAAACCCTTACTTCCCCATTTTCAACTTCTGCATAGCCACTTGGCCAATTTCAAACTTTGCAGATGGTATCTTCAGTTAGAGGGGAATTTAAGTTTCTTCAAATGGAGGTATACACCCTTTTTTCAGGGAGAGAGGGTGACACTATGGAAGCTAGGGTGGGGTCATATATTTCAAAATCCAAAAAAAGGACAAAATTTAGGTAATGTTTATTTTTTTGATTGAAGATTGGAATTTAATTATATGACCCTTGGGACTGGGTTGGGGCTGCAATTATAGATCAAGATGGACAAATCAATATACATTAGATCAAATAAGCTTACTAGGGGCCCTTTCAATTTTCAAGTCGGAAATTCGTGTGTATTTTTAGCTAATCCCCTTAATTACTTAATATTTTTTAACAGATAACAACTTACAGCCATACTCTGTATATGAATACGTACTGGAAGTTGTGAACAGTGCAGGAGGTACTGGCAGCAGTGTGGTAAAAACAAGGACTTTGGCAGCTGCCCCCAGTGGAGTAGTTCCCCCTGCAGCTACTGTGGACCCCTCCCAAGTCTATGTCATTTATCTCACTTGGGACATGCCACAGAGACCAAATGGTGAATAAGAGCAGTTTACTTTCAGTTGTGAAAATATTTTGAAAACTTGTCCAATTTTCGTTATGTTTTAGGTAGTAAATATAGTGATAGGAAAAATATCTTTATTTCGTTCACAAATACACATGTTAAGTCTATAGAATTCTTGTTAAATAATTGCATTGATATATTTAATGAATGTGATGTACATGTATGTTGTTTTATAGGGGAGATAGCCCATTTTATCCTTTACCGTGATGGCCTGGAGCTCTATAGGGGCCCTAATTTTGAGTTTACTGATGACAAGGCTATTCTACCATACCAGTCCTATGTCTACAAGCTTACAGTTTGTAACGATGCAGGCTGCACAGACAGTCAAGAAGTAAGTCTGGATTTTCTTGTTAACTACATCTGAAGTGATGAGGATATGATATTTCATTAATATGAATATGAAATATAACCTGATCACAATATTAAAAATAGCCTGATTATGGTAAAATATCCTGATTGGGTTTTGATTCCACAGTGATAATGTATCCTTGACTTGTTCAAATCTTTGAATACATATGTGCTTTGAATTTCAGATTTTTCATTTGGTGAACTTAACATTTCTCTTCCAACAAAATATCTAAAGTGTCAATATCATTTATCTCAAATAGTGTATTTTCTTAATTCTGGTGGACAATTTTTACCTTCTTTTAATTGGCCTTTGTATTCTATACAGGTGATGGTAGCAACAGCTGAGGGTGTCCCCGAGAGAATGGATCCTCCCGTTCTCCTCCAGATCCAGTCCGAGAGTGCTGAGGTATCCTGGAAACCTCCATCCAAACCTAATGGTATTATCACCCACTACATTCTCTCAGTGTCAGATGGGCGGACCATTAGAACCATGCAGTTGTCAATCATACTTAGAGGTGAGTACAGGTGTACCTTGTTCATTATAAGATTGATGTGCATGTACTGACTTGTCTTATCTTTAATGCAGTAACAACAAATAATCTTTAAGAACTGCATATGTTTTTCTATCATCTCAAACAAATTATTTCTTCATAGCCACAAATCCCCCCCCCTTTCCCAAAAGAAAAAAGCGAAAAATTACACAATTTCATATGTACATGTATTTTGTAAACAAACAATGAGGCAAACATGAATAAAAAATAAAACACTTTCAATCTCATTTCAAAAAGTAGTAAAAAATACCACCAGAAAGTTAACGTCAAGTAAAATAGGAATGTTGACATGAGAGGAAAGTTTTCAATATCTCAATGGATGATAAAATTTAGCTACATTAGAAATGAACAGATTTTATATCTGGCTTCAGTATAAGAAATATACATAGTGTTTTTATGGATTATGAAAATTTTTATGAGTGGAAAGTCTTCAAACCAGAAAGACCATAGGTGGAAAATCTGAATGGTACTCTACCACTACTAGATGCTGCTTTCTTAAGGGTTCTTAAGGATTCCCCCTCAAATACAGGTAGACATTGAATTCTCTAAAATCTACTTTGCTGAGGTTGGCTTATTTTACAGGCATGAAGCCCTATACCAACTACAGTGTTCGTATTGAAGTCTGCACAAGAGTGGGTTGCACTAGCAGTAAGGAGGTCTCTTTTCAAACCCTACATGCTTTACCGGAAGGTAACGACAATATCAAAATGATTTCTGTGATATTGTAAAACAATGTTCATTTGCTCTTTTATCTCACATATGTGTAATAAATGGTTTCTGATCGTTAACAGGTGTTCTTCCCCCAAGGATTGTCGCTCTCACCACTTCTTCAGTCCTGATTTTCTGGGATCCTCCACTGTCCATTAATGGCCTCCTCAAGTTTTACTCTGTGATGAGAATCTCGTTCAGAGGAGCTAAAAATGTGTATTTTGGTAAGGGCTTGTCCTCATCCGACTCTGGACTGGTGCCTGGAAGTACATACAGTTACTACCTGATAGTGGGGACAAGTGAAGGGAACACCAGCAGTGCCATTAAATCAGTATCCATGCCAACAAATATCCCTGACAACATTCCAGCCCTGAAAACGGTCACTGTACAGAGCAGTTCCCAGATCTTTATGGAGTGGGATCCAATCGTCACATCCTCTGGAACCATTGATCAGTATGGTGTTATACTCAATGCTGGACAACCAACGGAGATTGAGAAGAGAGTCGGTCTAAATTTTTCCACTGTAGTCACTGGATTGAAACCTCATTTTGAATATGACGTTCGATTGGTTGCTTGCTTGGCTGGTGAACCCAATGCATGTGGTATAGGGGCTGGGACGAAGGTTACAACTGAAGAGGCCCCACCCTCTGACATGCAGCCACCAATTTTGACAGCAAAAGGCCCAAACATGGTAGACATAAAATGGACACCTCCACTCTTTCCTAATGGTGATATTATCCAGTATTTGATTTATTACCGGAAATTGGGTTCTCTCATTGAATTCTTGATCAACAGAGTGGAGCCTGAGATTCTACAGATCACCCATGCTGGGAATGACCTCAAACCATACACCCGGTATCAGTACAAAGTTGTGGCTGGGAACAAGAAAGGGGATGCCTCTAGTGGTTGGGCTTTGGTTCGAACTCTTGAGGCACCACCCATAGGACTAAAACGACCAGATATCAGTGCCACCAGTGCTTTTGGTTTCATGATTCAATGGAGTCCTCCTACAAATCCTAATGGGGTTATTTTGGAGTACAGAGTTGTACACAAAGAAATAAAAATAAGTCCAGGGAATCACACAGTGGAGTATCTGTCTATTTCTCCAGATATCTTTAAGACATTGATTAGTGGACTGAAACCTTATTCAAACTATGAGGTTCATTTACAAGTTCTTAACAAAGCTGGAAATGCTTCTTCAGAAACAGTTATTGTACAAACAGATCAGTCTTCTCCAGCCGGTATGCCTGTTGTAAAAGCTGAGAAAATTGCTTCTGGTACTGCTTTGATTTTAAGTTGGGATCCGCCAGCCAAGCCAAATGGAATTATTTCTATATATAGACTGTACGAACTTGGTTCATTAGTAGCTCTCTTTCAAGGTATCAATCGTGAGTTTGAAATGAGGAGACTTCAGCCTTTTACAATGTACACAGTCCAGCTTGAGGCTTGTACAAAGGCAGGTTGTACCAAAGGTGTGTTTCAGAACTTCTTAACTGCAGAAGCTGCCCCCACAAATCAGCCAACACCCAAACCATTGGAAGTTAATGCCACATCAGCCATGATTTCTTGGGCAAGACCTCTTGAACCTAATGGAGTTATTTTAATGTATGAAGTACTGAGGCGTGAGCAGAAAAGACTGACAAAGAGAGAACTCTCCAATCCTGTTGTTGTATATTCTACAAATGATACTCTCAGCTCCTCCTTTACATACACTGATGTGGGTCTACACCCTTACACTGAGTATCAGTACAGTGTCAGATCAACCAATGCCATCAGTTCAGTTCAAAGTCCATGGCAAACTATCTTTACTGAACAGGCTCCACCCCAAGGAGTGGCTTCTCCTATTGTAAAGTATATCCCTGATGTGATTGACAGCTTAAAGATAACTTGGACTCCTCCCTCTGAGGCTAATGGAGTAATCCAGAGTTATCAGTTACAAAGAAATGATAGTGTGCCACTCAGTTTTGACAAAAGTGACAAGTTCGAGTATGTGGACACAAACTTGCTTCCCTATACATTTTATAGTTACAAAATAATTGTTTGCACTGCAGGTGGATGTACCACAAGCACTCCAACCATAATAAGAACAGTAGAATCTCCACCAGTAAAAGTAGAACCTCCTAATCTCGAGGCCATTAGCTCCTCTGCCATAAAAGCTACATGGGCACCCTTAAGTCAAGAAAGTGGCCAAGTCACAAAGTATCAACTTACAATGGATGGGAATAGTGTCTACAGTGGACTCAGCACTGAGCATACTCAAACAGGACTCACGCCATACAAATTATACTCATTCTCTCTAATAATCTGCACTCGAGGTGGATGTACACAAAGTGGAGAAGTGAGTGGGAGGCCACTGGATGATGCTCCCTCTGGTTTACAGAAGCCCACACTAAATGTCCTCAGTTCTCAGTCAATAGAAGTGATGTGGAAAGCTCCATTGAATCCACACGGGATCATCACCTCTTATGATGTCAGAAGAGATGGAGCATTGATCTACACACAAAGTCTCTCCATTTCAGGAAATCTGGTGACCACCTTTACAGACTATGGACTGAGTCCTGGAACAAGTTATTCCTATGTTGTAATAGCAAGAAATAGGAAGGGGAGTGTGGAAAGTCCATCTGCTATTGCCACAACCTATTCTTCTTCTCCAGCTGGTCTTAGTCCTCCTGTTCTAAAGCCTTTGTCCTCCACTTCAATACAGGCTTCCTGGGATCAGCCTGCAAAACCAAATGGACAAATTCAGAACTACACCCTCTTATTGGATGGACAAGTTATCTACACTGGAGGAGCCTCTATGCTCAGTTACACCGTACCTGGTCTTCTTTTCTGGACAGAGTACACCTTCAGGGTGCAGGCTTGCACCAGCAGGGGATGTGAGCTTAGTGAGGGGTCTAAGGCCAGGACCCTGGAAGCAGTCCCAGAGGAACAGCCCACCCCATCTCTACTGGCCCTGGCAGATGACAAAGGGGTGCATGCTGGAGTTTTGGTGACATGGGACCCACCTCTGAAGCCAAATGGAGTCATTATACAGTACAGAGTGTATAGGAGGAAACCAGTATCAGAAATTATAGGTATATTGAAATTAACCTCACATACAGTGCCGTAATGCCATAACTATTATAGCATTTGAATCTTACTGCTTCTTGAGGCCACATTTAAATTTATTATTCAGTAATTCTTTTCTCAAACAAACATTCAAAATAGGGTATCCGTACATTAATTTTCATCCTTCTTTAAATTCCTTGGACATTTTTTGTTTACAGGCGTGTCTTACACAGGGAGGGTATCAGTATACAATGGTACTAAAACAAGAACTAGTGATTTCAACACATTACCTTTCACAACATATCAGTACATGGTGATGTCACTCAACAGTGTAGGTGGGACAGAGAGTGAGTGGTCCAGTGTTAGCACAAAGGAGGCCCCACCCACTGGACTCAGCCCACCTGTTGTTCAGGTAAGCAGGACAAAGAATTTGTATCAACTGATATAACTTTTGTTGAAATATTTTTAGAAAGACTGATTTTGTGTGGCATTAATTTTGAATTTGGACTTTTAGAGTAAAACACACCAGATGATAACTGTTCAATTGAGTCCCCCTACAAACCCCAATGGAGTCATCATCATGTACAGTATTATTGTTAATGGAACAGTGGTATGTTTGCTTTTACTCATAAAGCTCAGAGAGAGAGAGAGAGAGAGAGAGAGAGACAGATGATCTGAAAACTATGTAATTTGCCATTAAATTGAATATAATTTATGGGAGTAAAATTTTAAAAGCACGTGCAATACAACTATTGGGGCCAAATTTGGACAGTTAGTAAATTTATTGATCATTTAAAATGCAGAGAAGCAGTGGTAACATCCTTGTGCACACTGTTGGACAAACAAACTCTCTCCTGCCATTCACCTGGTACTCTCTCCAGGGGCGAGCCTGTACCCAAGGGGGATGTACTGACACTCAAGCCATCCTGGTCCAGACCAAAGCTGCTAAACCTGTGGGACAGGATCCTGTCCTGGTCAGCTTTGCCAATAGTACTACACTCCAGGTGACATGGAACTACCCCAGGGAACCCAATGGAGAAATCATTAAGTAATATTCTCTGTAGAATATTTTATTTATCAATATATGGATAATTGTATAAGTTCAATGAATGCATGTATTTTATGTAGAAATATTTACATGTATTAATGACTTGGATTCCTGTATTCGTTGGGGTTGGATGGTACTGACTGGCCAACATTCTTATTGTCTTTTTAATGTGACATTTATGTTTATGTGCTTCGTGCATATATTTAATCTGTTGACTACAATGAAAACATTTTACCACTCATGTTTAAATTTGCACTACTTGCTCTCAACAGATTTGTACTGAAGCAAAGGTCTAGTTGCCCTTTGACCTGGCAGCCATTTACCACTTCCTGTGTTCTTGGTGAGGTAGTGCGCGTGCACGAAGGCCTGGTTCTTGAGCGGACAATCAGGGGGTTACACCCCTACACTGCTTACGATTTTCAGGTTCTGTCTTTTAACAGTGCTGGAGGGGTAGAAGATGTGAGCTGGACTAGAGCGGAAACTCTACAAACAAGTGAATGCTTTATATTATCATTGATTTAGTTACTGTTAAAATAATTTATTCAATTACAATTAAGGTTACTAGTGGTATGAGAGAAAGATTGGTTTATGACAATGTTTAATTGCTACGTTTTCTCCAAGTGCATTTTTCTACTATGGTTATGCATAAATACATGTAATTAACACTAATTTTTTTTACCAGAACTAATAAATATGCATTTAAAAAAAAAAGATAAACTCCAAAAGTCAGTTGGTAATTTACTAAATGTTTATGTTTTTCAGATCCAGTGTACATAAGGTATCCTCACCACTCCAGGAATGGGAGCCAAGTGTATATTGACTGGACTGATAGTTTTGAGCTGAATGGCAAACTGCGAGAATTTGTCCTGGTCATTAATGACCAGGTAACATTCCGTGGTGTAGGATTCAACAGTTTTCTAGATGAAGAAACCTCTAAAAAGGGTGAGGCTATAAATCTGTGTATCTATTCTGTAGAAACAGTTTTTTTTTTAATTGCATTTCTTGAATTTTTAGCATCTTTTTCAGACATAATGTTTTCCATCACTGCCGTGACTGAGGTAGGACAGGCAGCATCTCCTGCCATAGAGATTCAGTCTCCAGGTAAAATATAATTACTCTAATCATCTTATGAATTTAATAGTTAACTTGGTTTGTTCTTTCACATTCAATTAAGAAGATGAGCAATGCTGTACCAATTTGTATGTAGCATTGTTAAGTTTATTAGGTACTGTTAACATACATGTACTTTTTTCCATGGAGTGAAAATTTCACTGAATCACTATTTCTGTTCAATCCATAGGTAGAAAATTACACTGATTTCATGGATTGCCACTGTATGTCTTAATTGCACTTTAACTATGCTGTGACAAACTTCCGCAGAAAATTTGTGACCTTGTACATAGCGTAAATTAATACCACATGGAAAAAAGTATGTCAACATTTTATTTTATGTGATGTTCTCAATCTTTCTTTCAATAAATGAGCTAAACATTGGTGTACTATTTCTTAGCTGTCCTGTTACTTCAGTTAAGATATATCCTTCAAGATGACTTGTCCTTAAACTGGCATTTTTCAATACACACACATATGCTTTAAACAGAACTATACAGAGAATCCGTATTGAAATTCACCAATTCTCTCATAATATAAACTATTTATTTATGGTGATTTGGAAAAAAAAGGTCAAAAGCATTGATTCATTTCTCTATTAAAGTATTAATTAAATAGGTCATCTCAATGCCTGTTCATGTACTAACTAGTTTAAGGATAAATAACACAAACACAAAAATTTATTTATGGATTGGTATATATTTTTTGAATGATTTTGAATAGAAATGACATAATTAGTAAATTCCCAGGCTATAAAGAAGTTTTCTTTTTTGGTGTTCAAAAATGCAACTTTGTGCCATAAAGTTTTGCACACATGACATTTCTACAGACTTTTGCAAAATTTCTACTATAATTACTCTGGATAACATTATTCAAGTTATATACATGAACTTAAAGCTGTTAGGCTTCTTGCTGATTTCTGAAAAAAGTTTGTGATATTTATCCTTAACTTTAAAGTTTCTGTTACCAGAAATTATTGCGAAGATAACATGTGCTACCCATAGTTAAAACGGTAGTGTTTCTTTATCAGAAACCATAGCCAGGATTACACAAACTCAGACAACATCTGAGGAGTTTTACAAGGAGGTGTGGTTTATGGCACTGATGATTGTGATTGGCCTGATCCTCCTCTTGGTCACGGTTGTCCTGTGTATGAGGTGTGTCCTGTCGTCCAGACCATACATACGTGAAAAGTCCCCCCTCAGAAAGAGAAGGGGAAAATCCAGGGAGGGGTACTCAGACGAAGACACTTCCAGTGGGAGTGTATTTGGAACTGTAAGTTAATAATGGATATTCCTATTGACATTGCTTAGATTTTACAAAATACAGTTAAACCTGTTTATAGTGAAGTGCCAGAGATAAACAATTTTGATTTGTTTAAAACATAATTTGTAATATTCAATAAGATTCATAGAAGGTTTTAAAAGTATGTGGAATGAAAAAATCCCTTCATTGTAAGCATGAATTCATTATAAGTGTCTTCACTGTAATTGTGTTTTACTGTATGTGACAATATAAAAGAAAGAATAATAAAAAAGAAACGAAAAAATTTCCATTATTTCCTTGTAACAGTAAAGTTAGCGTGTCCTTTGAGAGAGACTATGATAACATTGAATTTTGAAATTTAATCAATGTAATACATCAGTTTGAAATGAAGTGTATATTCTGTAATCATGCTTTAGTAATAATGTCTATGGCTATGAGCACTTTCGTACCTATCTGTAAAACTAATGTTACTAAACTTACTGACAGTATTTTTCTACTAATTTGTGATCACAGGAGATGTCACGTCAGTTGTATGGTAGGCGGGGCCATGTTAACCCTGCTCACTCCTACGAGTTTGACTTCACCTCATCTTCAGCCAGCCCTAACTATGATGATGATGATGATGATGGAGATGACTTTATTAATGATGATGACTTCTTCTGGAAAAGAACACTGGACAGTGGATTGGTTGGGCTTTTTTCTCTTCTTACTGAATTTATCAACAAATAAATTTTCTTGATGGTAAAAACGAAGAATTCAATTTTGCTCAAATGAAGAATCATTACCCATTTAAATGGAATTAGGATGAACATTGAGGGAAATTGAACAAATTTCTGCCAAAATTGCTTTTTAGAATCCTTATGTAAATTTCTTCATTTATTGTTGGAAAATACATTCATTTTAATGGAGATCATACAGAAATTAAAGTAGTATTAGCCTGTTGTATTGAATAGCGACCTGTTGTGGTCTATGCAGTGCCCATTCAGGATACATTCTTCATAATCTTTTGGATATTTTATAACTTCTTCAGCTTTTATCATTTTAACTTGCAGAGTTCTCTCAAACATATGGGATTTCTAATAAAAATGTACTCTTGTAAATTGAAATAAGAAGTAAAGAGAAGAGGGTGTTGTCCTTTTAAAATGTTGAATATTTTCATTTCTATAGTAAACACTAGCAAATCCATGCATTGCATAATTGTTTTAGTTTAGACCCTGTATGTTTTTCTGAACTGTTGCTTTATGTTTTTAATAGTTTGATGACATGATGTCACAGGGACCCAGTTACAGCTTCTCCAAGTCACAGAGTGTATTTACTGACACCCATGTGTAATAACGGAGATAGTATTGGGAGGAGATACACCCTCTCCAAGTCACAGAGTGTATTTACCGACACCCATTGTGTGATACCTGGATCTCTAGTATTGGGAGGAGATTGTAAAGTCATCCTCACCTGCTACATCATGGACAAACTCTGTGATTATCAGGGCTGTGAATTCATTCATGCCAAGAAGAGTTCTTGCATGACCCATTGTAAACTTGGTATATACTAGACAAGTTTTTGGGAGCAATTTGTAACATTTAAGATAACTTAATTGCCTTTACAATTGTATTTTTTCTATACTACGTGCAAGTATTTTTGTGAGACTGTAATAAATGGATCATTTGCATTTTAATTACCATTGGATGTTTTATTATTTTTTTTCTGTGCAGCATTGAAATCTTTTTAATGTTATTTCTGATGAATTGGAATGTATTGATCAAATAAATACTCTTGTACATATGTCCTTATATTACTGAAATATTTCAGAATCCTATCATAATCAATTTCAACAAATGCATTAAAAAGGCGATTGAAAAAAAGAACAAAAAATATGTTGAAGTACTTTTGACAGCATCAATTCCCGTTGTTTATATATAGGAGAACCTTTCCACTTCTCACTCTCAACTCACCAATAGCATCCAAAGATAACATCTACAACAGTTTTGAAATAAAAAAAAGCAATTTAAAAAACATCAATAGTGGATTTTTTCCTTTATATAAATGAGACCTTATATCATTTGTTTAAAATCAGATTTTTTCTTTCTTTTTTTTTTTACATAGACCAATTAACATGAAATATACTTGTAGGAGATTGGATTAGTTTTTTTAAAAAATGTGTTTGATATAGTTATCCTGGACATAACTGTCATTGATGTTATCATATATTAAAACAACAGGAGCCTAGGCATCATCTACATTTGTATAAATTAATGGATGCTTTACAGAGTATTGTCCAAGTTTTTCTCATCAAACTTGAGTGTTAGCTAGGGTTCCATCCAAATATGCTACATGTACCAGCATTTTAGCTTCCGCATCCCACAATGCTTCCAATGACCTGCCCAAGAACAGTATATAATTTGCCTGATCATGACAAGGAGGCTGAAGGAGCACATGGCGGGTGTGACCGGTAGACAAGGGATGCTTACTCCTCCATGATACCTGATCCCACCTATGATGTTTTAGAGGTCCATGTTTGTTCTGCTCCCAATTTGTATTGTTTTAATGGACTTAAGAGATTGATTACTGTTTGTTAATAACAAATTGTTATCTTCATATTTCATTTTGACTCATCTCGAAATTGAAAATCATGTAATTACTGCTTTAAGAATGCAGCCCAACAAATATCATTTTTTTAATTGTCAGGAAATCATAAATTGAATGCTTCCATGTGTGTATTGTCAAAAACTAGAAAAAATTTCTTTTAAAACATAAATTGTATGTGAATTTGTATAATAAAAGCACAGACACTTGATGATATATATTTTTCTTATTAAAACAAGCATTCTGAGAGTATTGCATTAGCAATACTAGTCCCCTACCGGCAAGTGTAATCTGGTTCCGTTCCCGTTAAGAATTGAAAATGCCATAATTCCGTCAAAAATTAATGAAGCGGGATGAAATGCAAACTTGATCTATAACTAATCAAGGTGAAGCCACATACCAAAAATCAGCTCAATATCTACAAGCGTTTAGAAGAAAATTGCGGAAAACCCGTAAAAATTGAAAAGGCCGTAATTCCGTCAAAAATCAATGAAGCGGAACGAAATGCAAACTTGATCTGTAACTCATCAAGATACACTCACATACCAAAAATCAGCTCAATATCTGCAAGCGTTTAGGAAAAAAGTGCGGAAAACCAAGTGGGACAGACTGACAGACAGACAGAGGGACAGACAGACAGACGGACAGACAGACAGACAGACGGACGGACAGACTCAGAGGAAACCTATAGTCCCCTCCGGTTTCACCGGTAGGGGACTAAAAAATATATATATAATCCCATACTTAATTAGGAATGGGGTTATATTTTTTTAATAAGAAAAATATTTAACATCAAGTGCCTGTGAATGAAAAGGGGAGTTCCATAATCATTGGTGACAACAATTTTGATTGATGGACAGGATCTGTTATTAAAAATGTTGAAATTGTTGTTCTGTCATAAAAAAATGGACCCATTTACTGGATACCAGTAATCCTCATTTATTTGAAGGTGAAGATTTTTAGAATAAATATTTAGAAACAAAAAGTAATTGTTTATGAAGCTTTGTGGGCTTTAATTTCTATCATTCCAACAATACAAATAGTCATAGAACTACCTTATATTTTGGTCTTGCAATGAGTAGTAAAAAAATAGATGATATGTTGCATTAATATTATATACATTATATAATATGTGCATAGGAATGTTTTCATCTATCGGATTTTTTTCATATGTTTTGAAGGTGGTAAGGTTACTCTGAAAAAAGTGAAATCATTTCTTCATCATAAATTTTTTATGTGTTGCTCCTTGCAATTTTTTTTTGTATGAAAAGCAATGGTATTCTTTCAATTTTCAAAAGGTCATTCCTATAAATACATATGATACTAAATATATAACAATACTTGTTAAAATCATATAGAATACATTGGGGATATGATAAATGTCATATGTATGTTTGTCCTTGACCTATAGCTGAAGATATCTGTACACATAGACAGTAGAGTTGTAGAGATTATTCTGAGATCCAATCCAGAGATCTTGTTGATCGTCAGTACAGAGAGCATATAGATTCCTTGGACACTGATCTGGATCAAATAGGAGGGCAACAAACTGCCCATCAGCATTCAACAGATGAACGTTGGAGAAACTGCACACCAGGATGTGTCCCAGAATATCTGTACAGATTCCAGTTGGTGAAAAGGCATATTGAGATCGACCGGTGTAAGAAAATCGACGCTCTCCAGACTGGGTCATTCCCTCTACCTTCCTGTTGTTTACTATACAAATATCACCATTGATGTTCTCCGTGATGAATACATTGGGGATATGATAAATGTCATATGTATGTTTGTCCTTGACCTATAGCTGAAGATATCTGTACACATAGACAGTAGAGTTGTAGAGATTATTCTGAGATCCAATCCAGAGATCTTGTTGATCGTCAGTACAGAGAGCATATAGATTCCTTGGACACTGATCTGGATCAAATAGGAGGGCAACAAACTGCCCATCAGCATTCAACAGATGAACGTTGGAGAAACTGCACACCAGGATGTGTCCCAGAATATCTGTACAGATTCCAGTTGGTGAAAAGGCATATTGAGATCGACCGGTGTAAGAAAATCGACGCTCTCCAGACTGGGTCATTCCCTCTACCTTCCTGTTGTTTACTATACAAATATCACCATTGATGTTCTCCGTGATGAACTTTATGTAGGAAACATCATCAATCCCATGTAGTTGAGGTGAATTTTGCTTTTTGTTTTTCCTCTGATAGGACTGGAGGTCCTGGAGCTTTTCTCCTTCCTTGCTGTACCTGGTGAATTTACATGTATTGCCTTTCATCATCCCTACCAGAATATCTCCATTAAGACGAGAGGAGTGGATGGAGTAGGGTCCCCAGTCAGCTGTGGTAAGAAAAGTTGTGGTTTTCTTGGCACTGCTGACTCTGTAGATGGCTCTATGAACAGTATCTGTGTATAGTAATTCCCCTTCTGAAGTCATTGTATGGTAACCATTGTTATTTGAATTGGTGGATATTTTCTGGAGGATATTTCCCTGCATGTCAGCCTGGATTAGGTTTCCTTTGTCATCGCTTGCCCAGAACTTTTGAAATGGTGAAGGAGATAAATAACAGAGAGAACTCAATTGAGAACGAATATTTATCTCCTTTTCTTTTTTAACATTGATGGCAATTTTTCCCGTTGTCTGACTTACCGTTGTCGAGACTGGTGGTAGTGTGATTTGTACACTTTCTTTTTCTTCTCTTTTTTGGATTTTTTGTTTACTCTGACTAATTTTTCCAAATTGCTTTTCTATCTCTGCCTTTCTGATTGTACCTTTTGTAAACTCTATTGAAACAGGTTGGTGTGCTTCTGGAATCTTTAAAATTGGAACATTGGCCATTTCTTTACAAAATTTGATAACATCTGATGGTTTACTTGATAGCATTTCTCTGTCATAATCCTTGATAAGTTTCTGTAAATAGGAAATGTAGTCTTCTGATTTCTTTTCTTGTTCTTCCATTTCATCCAATATAAATTTCTCCATTGTATCAAGTTTAGCATTATTATCAGCCAATATGGTATCCAAAGTCACCTTAATTTCATCTGCACTTTTCTTCATGGATAGTCTTGTTTGTGCTATTTTCTTTCTGATGTCTTCCACCCTTTCTCTCTGACACTTTAGATTTTCTACAGATTGAGGGAAGACATTATCTCGAATCTTGATTAACTCTTTCTGACTTTGTTGTAGACTTTCATTGTAGACGAGCTCAAGGTCACGTACTTGGTGACCATTGTGATCTGTTGTAAAGCATTTCGAACAGATAGGAACTTGGCAATCACTACAAAAGAGCTCCAAGACCCTTGTGGGGTGAACACTGCATTTTTCAGAAGGTAATTCTTTTATTCTATCCTGGTAAAGTACAACTTCATGTTTTCTATGTACCCTTTCCTTGAGATGGTTGTCTCTGCATTGCTCACACATCCGCTGGTGACAGGTGTTGCAGTAGAAGCCTGAATAATTGTAGCAAATGGCACATTCTACATAGTGTTGACCTGTGCCTTTACTGGTACTTTGGCTCATACTGGCAGAAGACACTTATCTAAAAATACATCAGAGTACAGTCAAACCTGTGTGTACTTCAAAGATCAACATTGTAGCTAATAAATTCAGCTCTGGTCCAATTTTCAAAAGCTAAAATCTAGAATGGACTTGATAATTTATTTCAGTTATTTTTTATTGAAGTTTCAATTACAGAGTTCCAACTTTTTTATTTTACAATATTCATGTATATTAAAACTTAATGATTTTTAATCTAAGAAAACAATTTAGGCAAAGATTTGTCATTCATCACGGTGTTTGTGGATTCAGTCAAATCTGTTTGAATTAGTCCCCAAAGGTGAAAGGGAACCTGCTCATAATTCAGTCTGGAAACACCCCCCCCCCCCCCAATCCTCACAGTGATAAATCAATAAAATTCTGTTGTGCAAAAATCTATGCCAGGTTTACATGCACTCACCAAATCAAACTATATCCATCTTTGTTATGATGTTTTCACTACATATGATGATTTAATATCTTCACTGTTGTTATAGTCAGCCATGTGTAAATAAATCTTCATTTCTGTCTAAGGTGGTTGTTTGTTATGTTTAGATTAATGCTTGACTTAACAACACTTTCAGTTGTTCTGTTAAATGTCTGATGCAAATTACAAAACTCAGAACCCACCATATTCTTGTACTACAATTAATTAATCTTATGCTTCCATCTGGATTTCTGTAAAAGTCTCACCATCACATTTTCTTAATTTAAAAATAGCAAATTATTAAATTTCTAGTTACAAATTTCTAATTAAAAAATTTTAAAGTTGATATTATTAAAATTTATTAGTTTGAAACCACAAATTAGTTCCTTTTTTTTTATTATAAATTAGTCCTTTGTTATAAATAAGTTCGCTTCTGATTATCATTTCTTTTCAAACATGCCTAGATATAAGGAAGAAATTATCCTAAGATAAAAGTTCTTATGCTTAGAGGGAATGGATTGAGCTTATATAGTAAAGTTATAGTTATTATAAATTATTTATTTATTTTTTTTGTTTGTCCTTTTTTTTTAGAGAGAAAGAAGGCAATAAATTACGAAAGCCTATTAGGATCAATCTTTGGAGAGAAAAAAATTAAAAGGCGTTATAACTTGATGAGATCTAAAATCGTGGAATTTTTTTAACCTATGCAGCGAAATGTAAAAGAACGAGTTGCTAGATACGTATATAACTCTTCTGTTACTAAGGTAAGAACAGTGTCCTTTTATTTGGAAATGGCTACCTCGAATGTTGATTACTACGCTCGACAAAAAGAATTGCAAGATGTCATCCATGAACAGTATGTATCTGCATATACTTAGTAGGATTTCCAAAATACAGATCATAAAATTTCCTACTGGCTTGTAATTTTGAAGAGCTCGATATAAATGCCCGTGATTTAATTCAACCGCCACTGAAGAGCTTGTTCACACATGATATTCTGATATACCCCACTGGATGAAAATATTTTTGGGATTGAAGATTACTTAATTTGTTTGCATATTTCCTAAAACTGTCAGAATTTAAACATTTTTTACGTTTACAGAGAAAGGAAGCGAGAACAACTAGAACGACAGCTTCAATTATTATGCAGGAAAGACGATAGACTGTAAGTTCAAGAGATACCGTGTTTTATTTCACTGCCAGTCTGATGGCTTATATTGTCAGTGTTCTGTAATCTGACAGCTGATAATGTCAATTGTCAAAGTAAACATTTAATATGACAAATGTGGTGTTTAACAGTTTAGTCATTTAGTAAAATTAATTTTTTCTTCATGTAATACAGGTCCAGTACACTCTCTTGATATAGCTTGAATTAGCCATATAGCTTTATCAGGGACCTATATACTAACGGGATAGGCAACTCTCGCAAGTCTCGCGATAGCTCGTAAGTTGCGGGATTTCGTTAGTCACTTTTAATTAAATATATTTCTTTAGCTATCAAATATTTCAGAATAAAATCTTAATTTATCTATCAAAAAATTATTCAAGATTTGTTGTTAGCACTGTTTTTATTCCTTATCTTAGTAGTAATTACATTTATTTAAAAATCAGTACGGACCCCTGATCGGCCGTATTTCTGCGAAATCGCCGATTTTGGTAGTTGTTTACTTAATATCTAATTTATTTTATAATATGTGCTTTAAAATTTATTAAATATCCATTCTGATACACAAAAAGAACAGATTACATTAATCAGAAAACAAGCTTTTTACTGGGAAAAAACGTAGTTTGAAAAACTTGCAGTGTTGTGTGTGCCGTTTTGGGTAAATAAACATGACGCTAAAGGAGTTGCCTATCCCGTTAGTATATAGGTCCCTGGCTTTATTAAGCTATTCAGAATAGCTTGATTTATCTATTTTATCTCACTTTTTTCTTAAATGTGTTATTTTTTCAGCATGTACAAAAAGTTGCACCTAGGTGCAGTGATATGTTCAACCTTAAATTGTTCTGAAAATAGTGCATGTAAAAATTGTTCATCAAATTGTGTCTCCTTGAGAGACTTTGTACTCAAAGTTTTAAAAGTTCTGGGGCTATATAAAGCAATTGATTTGTGACCACACAGTTATTTCTTGAACGAAATTATAAAGGAGGTCAATTTAATATGGTCAACAAGATAATTGATAAATCAAGAGATTATACTGGACCTGATTAATACAGAGGAGAATCTATCTTATATGATATTCTTATATAACTTATTCAATTTATTTTCTAGACTACAAACTTGTCTCAAATTGAATATATTGTAATGTGTGGAAATCTCATATAAATTAAAAAAAAACAGTTATAAATACATTTTATCAACAATTATATGATTTTTCCTCCAAAATTTATATATCTGAATAGATAAAAAATAGAAGTTTTTTGACAAATTATCATTTGATTAAACAGGTAGATTGATTACTTTCTACTTGCTATCACAGTCGACGAGTTAGTAAAATGCAGGGAACAACTTGTACCAAACCAAACCAGATATCGGCAAAGTAATTTTGTGTGTGTGCCTCTTGCACAAAATATCAAGAATTATCATTCACTGGAGCATTATTTTCATGATCGAGACTTTCATAAACAACATATCTCCACACAAACATTTCATTCATAGTCACAATTTCTTTTTGCAAACATTCTATTGAATTATTGCACATTATTTAAGACTGCATACATTTATTAGGTATCCATTTCTAATTAACACTGTCTCTTTGAGCTTTTGGGAAGGTATGAAGGATTTTTTTTACTCAACAGATAATGGTGATCTGTCTTATTCATGAACTACCACTTGCTTATATAAATGCACAGATATATCTTTTTCAGGACTGGATTTTGTGTGATAGTTGATGAGCATTTGCATATTAATTCAGAAGAAAATAAGATAATGATCAATACATATTTTTGACATAGAAAACATTTCTTGTTGAATCATATTAATGTTTCATCAATCTAACTTTACAAATTTGTTTGTTGTTCAACCCTTCCTCTTTTTGAAGGAAAACAGTGGTATTTTTCTTTGCTTATATCATGCGTATCTACTTAGTTTACTATACAATGCATATATAACATATTATTTGCAAATGCAAATAAACACTGTCTTCTTTCTGAGGGGTTTTACGCAAATGCAAGTAATCTACCTTTATTATCTGGGAAAATATAATTTTTTGCAGAGCAAAGCTTAGAGCAAGCAAGCTTCAAGCTTACTGGAAAAGAGTATGCGAGGATCAACGGAGAAGTCAACAAAGAAACCAAAATATCATACGGGAATTCTCTCGCATTGACTCCCATCTCACGACTGTGTCTGCTAAAACAGAAAGGCTACGATTGTTAAAGGTGAATAGAAACATACACTGTTACATTCAAATCATGGTCAATGGCGAATAAGAATATGCATGTTTTTGAACACTGGCCTTACTAAGTTTTTTCACCAAGTTATGTAATTAACAGCTATTTAATTTTGGATGTTCCATTAAATAAATAATGAAATGGCGGAAATAATTATGAAAAAAAGTCAGTAAAACATGCCTTTTCTGTGACAGTATCTTTTTGAAACTGAAACTGAAACAAATATAAGAAATGTAGTCTGAAACTGTTGTGAACATGATTTCTTATTTCTTAAAATTTGCCTTTTTTTTAAGTTCAAAAAACAAATTTAAAGTTTTTGACCAGAAACTCATTCTTGAATTTGACCTTCACTTTATTGCAAATAATCCTCTCTGACACCAAATGAATGACAGTTTTTTAAAAAGTTTATTTCTTTAAATTTTATTTTTTTTTGAAAAGTTTAACTTGTTTTGAGATTTGAAAGAAATCTGGCCTGAAACTTGTTGATAGGCAGACATACAGAATGTTGTTACAATAGAGCAAAAACATAAGGATGGATGAAGCAAAGGTTTAATGCCTTGCCCATTTCATGTCAGTGGCAAAGTAACACTTAACAATTTTCATTGCTTTATGAAACACAGGTATTAATTTTTCATTTTAACTTTGTTTTAGAAACAATATGAGGAATACATAGAGAGGACATACCCTCTCTGGAAAGAACGAGTCAGTGGGAAGGGAAGAGAAGGCTTGGTACAGGAGCATGTGTCCCCTCAACAGGTTTCTTTATCTTTATTTTAGTGAATACAATCCAAAATACTTGAATGTACTTCTGTGTTTATTCATTTAAAGGGGGCATTAAAGAAAAAAAAATGTTGGCATTTTAGTGATAGGATAAAACTCTGGGAGAGCAAGTACAAATGTACAAAGGCATTCCTGCCTGCCATTTAATCTTTTTTTTTTCATTTGGAAATGAGATATTTTGAATTATAAAACCTCAATACTGTAAAGACACTTTTTTCCACGTGGTCACTATTCTGCTAAATCACAATTTCTTCTGTTTAATCAGCATACAGAAAATTATGCAGATTTCTTGGATTGCCTTTGTATGCCTTAAATGCAGTTTAAGCACGCTGTTACAAATTTCTGTGGAAAATTTGTCATCGAGTACATAGTGTAAATTAAACCCATGAAATAAGTATGTCTTAGTTAGATTTTAATCACTGGGGAAATGTATTGGGTAACCATAATTGCTCTTTTGAAAGAGCTATAAAGAAAGCATAAACTTGTAAAAAAAAATTTGAAGCACACTGAATTCATCCTCTTTTTTATGCCCCGCCATGAATATGGCCGGGGCATATAGTGTTTGTCATGTCCGTCTTCCGTCCTTCCGTCCTTCTGTCCTTCCGTCTGTCCTTCCGTCACACTTTGCGTTTAGCTCTGTTCAAAGCTCAGTTTCAAAGAAACTATCCAAGATATTTTTATCAAACTTCATATGCTGATAGATATTGATGAGGGCTATGCAACTGCATCAACATTTTTTGACCTTGACCTTTCCTTTGACCTTGACCTCACTTTTCTTAAATTAGTGTTTAGCTCAGTTTTAAAGATACCATTCAAGATAGTGTAATCAAACTTCATATGTTGATACATACTGATGTAAGCTATTCAATTGCATCAACATTTTTTTGACCTTGACCTTTATTTTGACCTTGACCTCACTTTTCTTAAATTAATGTTTAGCTCTGTTTTAATGAAACCATTCAAGATATTTTTAACAAACTTCATATGCTGATACATACTGATGAGAGCTATTCAACTGCATCAATATTTTTTACCTTGACCTTTCCTTTGACCTTGACCTCACTTTTCTTAAATAAGTTTTTAGCTCAGTTTTAAAGATACCATTCAAGATAGTGTTATCAAACTTCATATGCTGATACATACTGATGAGAGCTATTCAACTGCATCAACATTTTTTGACCTTGACCTTTCCTTTGACCTTGACCTCACTTTTCTTAAATTAGTGTCAAACTTCATATGCTGATACATACTGATGAGAGCTATTCAACTGCATCAATATTTTTTGACCTTGACCTTTCCTTTGACCTTGACCTCACTTTTCTTAAATTAGTGTTTAGCTCAGTTTTAAAGAAACCATTCATAATATTTTCATCAAACTTCATATGCTAATACATACTGATGTAACCTTTTCAACTGCATCAACATTTTTTGACCTTGACCTTTCCTTTGACCTTGACCTCACTTTTCTTAAATTAGTGTCAAACTTCATATGCTGATACATACTGATGAGAGCTATTCAACTGCATCAATATTTTTTGACCTTGACCTTTCCTTTGACCTTGACCTCACTTTTCTTAAATTAGTGTTTAGCTCAGTTTTAAAGAAACCATTCATAATATTTTCATCAAACTTCATATGCTAATACATACTGATGTAACCTTTTCAACTACATCAACATTTTTTGATCTTGACCTTTCCTTTGATCTTGACCTCACTTTTCTTAAATTAGTTTCTGAATCAAACGTCATATGCTGATACATACTGATGTAAGCTATTCAACTGCAGCAATATTTTTTGACCTTGACCTTTCCTTTGACCTTGACCTCACTTTTCTCAATTTGTGTTAAAATGTTGCATTACTAATATACCCTTGGCGGGGCATTCATGTCCTATGGACATATTTCTAGTGTATAACATATCTCCAGATTCCAAGAGATGAGTACTTTGATACTGGAATGGAGGGTGACCCAATGTCACATCGCTCGTATTACATGGAGGGCCCAGAGGAACATGGGAGAGGACCAACCATGACCCCTACCAAACCTACCTCAGGCATGAAGGTAAAGAATCTTTGTGTGCTATTAATGATTGTTGGGGAAAAAAAAAATGATGATTAATAATTTTGTACAAGATTTCATAAAATCCAAACTTATATGAAAAGATGTATGCTGGAGACATAGAAAATGTTGCCCTTATCAAATATATATTTACTTGTCTATTCAGGAGGCATCTGATTATGCAAATCTAAAAGAAGTGAACAAGAAAGACCAATCACAAGCAAGACAGGTTAATCAAGGTGAAAGGGAGCAAGAGACAATGGACAGGCACAGAGAAGTGCAGGCCTCTAGAATATCCTCATCCTCACAACTTCCTCGAACTGCCCCCTCGGGATCTCAAGTCCCTCCCTCCCCTCAAAATATGAGACAGGCAGAATCCTCCCCACAAATGTTACGATCCTCTCAGATCTCTACACAGCAGGTGCCCCCTGCTGATGTCAGTGCAGAAGAGATGGAGGAAATGATGTCACAACCCATACAGAGTGTGACAGTCAAAGGCATTGAGGGGAGACCATTAGAACCAAGGAATACTGAGTCACCAGGAGGTATATGTGATATTTAATTATACAAGAAGAAAAGAACAGGAGACAAATTGTAAAACATCAGTCACCAACTGAATTTATCATATAAGTTTTCATTTTTTTGTACTTAATGAATTCCATTTCCACATACATATCTTTATCATATTTATAATTTTAGAAATACTGTCAACCAATTTTATTCATGTGCATTCATGTTCTAATATATTTACAAGGTTAACAAATGACATACAAATCTGTATGTTGGTTTTTTTTTGTCTTGAACCATTAATTTTTGGATATTAATAGTGCAAGATGACTCATTCTCAATTGTTAAGAAGTCACAGTTTTCTCAAAGGTGATTCACAAATGATGTTGTTAATATTAGATTAGTTTTATAAATTGTCATTTTAACTGTTAAATGGTTTTTAGGTATTTCTCATTCATCAGGAGGTATGGACCCAGGTCAGGATGAGGAAGATAGTGAATTTGGGTCAGAGGTGGATCTCCCTGTGGCTGATGAGCACCACCCACCAGCTCCTCAACAGGTGGCTCCAGACAACATATCAGAGCAAAGCTCACCTGATGAAGAGGTGGCACCACCAATCAAAGCATCTGTACAGCCCAAACGGGACAGGTAAAAATACATTTGTCTGAGGGAAAATTCTGAGGTCATTTTAATTTGATATTTTATGCTGTAGAATCAGAAATGTATAATATACTTGTGATTTATTTACATTATATGTTTTATAAAACTGAATACAAAACCAAAAGGGCATCATGTCAAAAAAGAAATCAGTTGAATATTAGGTAGAGGATATAAATAAAAACTTCAAATTTTTTTTAGACTTGCTCCAACACCTGAGTTGACAGTCCATGGTCTGATAAAGCTGTTGAAGTTTATTCAGTCAGATTTTCAGCATGCCTTGTCTTTAGAAGGATACTATAGATCTCATCCAGCATCTCCAGCAGACAGGCAGAACATAATACAGTAAGTAGCCAATGAAATCACAAATCATATTATTACTAACCAATGAAAACACAGATTATATTTGTAAATAACCAATGAAAACACTGATCATATTGTAAAAAAAAAAAAAAAAAAAAAAAAACAGATCATACAGTAAATAATTTTAAAAGAAAACACCTTTTTTTTAGTAAACTTACATGTACATGTAAGTAACATTGTTTATCATTGTTGATGGTTTACAGATTTATATGGAGGATTACCATTACTGGAATTTTTTTTTTCTCGTTTTTATTTGTTCAAGTGTGTAGAAGTCTTCTTTAGCCTACATTAGAAATCTTTACTGTTATTTAGGAGGGCAAACACTGGATCAGATCTCTCAGGATTGGACAGTGAGCTGGTCTCCATGGTGATACTGGAGCAGATGACTTTGGTCATTAGAAGTTTGAGAACTCCATGTCTGTTGCCAGACTCCATTTTGATGGGGAATATTGACACTATAAGCCAAACTCAGATCAGGTAGGATTTTAATCTAAAGTCTGGAGCTTACATAATGCTGAAAATGCATACAAATAGGCATGGGTATTCGATATATCACAATTTTTTCCCAAGAATATCACCTTTCCATTTTTACACATAATTCTTATTATGATTTTAAGTGAATATCTTTAATTTTTCTACCAAATATGATGTGAAAATGTAACTTGACTTTTTTCATTTGTATTTATTAGAGACATTTTCTTTGATGAAAATGATTTGAGAGTAAACAAAATTTTAGGGTGATGTTAAGAGATGATGCCCAGCCTCTGTGGGATAGCCTGTTTGAACACTTAGTCCAGCTAGTCATTTGTAAGGTCATGACCCCTAATGAAGTTGCAGCTGTGTTTGTGCCATGTATGGTCTCTGATAAATCTCCATACCAAGATAAGGTAAATTTCTGATGCCAGCAAAAATATATTTTTGTGTGTGTGTGTGTGTTTTTCTCAGTGAAAAATTAGATAAACAAATCTGTCCTTTCCAAGCAATGCATTACTCTTAGGCATGCAAATTCAGAGAGAAATTTATGTACTACAAGTTTTTACTTTTAAAAGATAAAGAAATGTGCACTGACCAGGAGTTGTGAAAGGAAAAAATTGAACACACACAAATTTTTTGAAATATATGAGTACATTCTGTTCTAGATTTTGAAAAACATCTCAGTAGGGATAAAATTGATGAAAGTCAGGGAATTGGTTAAAAAGAAGCTATATACATGTATAATCCATTGTAAATTATTTGTATCACTTTTTTGATCATTTTTTAAACTCTGTTTTAAGGCATTTGAGCTTCTGATGAAGTTGTTGAGGAGTCAGGTGGATGGGAAGCCAGATATGGGGTCCCCCAGGGATGGAATGGACAGTCTAACTAGTAGAAATATCTCAGGAGGTGAGACCTCAATAGTCTTAAAGCTTTCTTTGCTAAAACTGTTTCATGGAAGTTTTGGAAAACTCTTAAGTGGGTTGTTACATAATGAATGATTAAATATGTTCTTCGTATGCATTTTTAAATGATACAGTTAATAACTTTTGTTTATATTGAGAAAATTATTTGACGTAAATATATATTTTTCTTTCTTATTTAGCTTAGGTTATTGTGATTCATATTATTGCAAAATTCAAAACCGCAGACCTTTCTGTAATAAGAAAGGGAAAATAAAGAAAACTTCTTAATTTTTAATGTGTCAACCTTAATTATGTGCCTGAATTTCAGCTGAGATAGGGCCAGATGGTAAAGTAACAGGTACATTGTGTGTCTAATATTAATATCACATACATCTCATCATAGCCAGGGCATGTTGGAAAAAGTTTATGTCCATTTTTTTTAATGTTTTTAAAGGCCAAGCAGAAAAAAAAAGAAAGAAAAGCCCACAAACACTTACACAAGCACAAAACAAAATCTAAAAAATAAATAAATAAAATAAAAAGAAAGAAAGGCAAATTTCACAACTGTGGCTAATTACATGTATCATGTTTTTTTTACAAGTTGCCTTTAATATTCACTGGGAAATCCTGATAACAAAGCACTTTTAAAAGTCTGCAATTCAGGAAATCATTTTGTTCTACATACGTGTATCATCTGTTTGTCTGACAGTTAACCAGTTTGGCTAGTACATGTATATTTTGTATTTAAAAGGTTTGCTTTCATGTAATGGGACATATTAAAAAAAACACTATCTTAGGCTCATTTTGTGTTGCAAAAAGTGGTGTGGATTTAGATGTGTTAGTAATGGATTCTTGGTTTCAATGGTCAATCAAATTTAAAGTTAGAAAAAAACAACATTTTTTGCTTTGTTGTATAAAACTTATTCCATATTGTAATGTATTTGTATTTGTGACAGTTCCGCCCCTGAAATTCCCTGGAAGTTTGATTGACAGATCCCAGACTTACAACAGTGATGATGATACAAGTGTTATCACACAGAGTGTCACAAGCTCAAAGATCCCCCTCAATGGTATGGTTATTTTCTATTCATAGTCATTTCAGATACCACCTTATATCTTAAGTCAACCTTTATTAAACAATTTTATGGTGAAATGTATGGTGTTGGGTTCTTAAAATTGTGTGGGTACATATACAGTAAAACTTTGATATCTTGAACATGGATATACTAAAAGCAGAATTATATTCTATTGAATTACTGATCCCAATCCTTTAATGAAATTTAAAAAAGAATTTTAAATTCTATATCTCAGACTCTCAGATACATGTATTTCAAATTAATATATCAATCTTTTCAATACTTTTCCATTTGTTTCTGTTCCCACAAACCCTTGGCAGATTATGCCACTAAAAATGTCAACGATATTTCATTGTATGAAAAAACTTTGCCGTCTCACAAAATTTGAGATATTAAGGTGTGACTGTATGTAAAGCCTTAAAAATACAAAGCCTTAAAATATTTTCTTGGATGTGGGTAGTTGTTGGATAAAACCTTCTTTACATTCAAGTGATTTCAGTAATACATACATCCTAACATTATGAAGTGCAATATTAAAAGGAAAACAATTGCAACAATCTCAATTTAACAGAAAAGTAACAATTTTGTGAAAAAAGTAGGTTTAATACTTCCTTTTAAAATAATCACCAAAGTAAAATTGCTAACCTAAGCTGATGATGTGTTACACTGTAATTTTATTGGGTAAACATTGGTATATGTGTGTCTTGTCTATAATTATTCAGTACCATTTAAAGGCAAACGAGGTGAGTAGGTCACAATGTTGATGTTGGCAATTTCTTGTACACCTCATAGAGAAATTCATTGTCATCCAAGTCATAATATGATGATACTGGGTACCTCTGAGTGAACATCAACAGTATTTTATGGTGCTTAGTGCCGCAAAGAGCATTATCTGATGATGCTTGGCACCTAAAAGAGAGAGAAAGCATAATCCTTATCTGGTGGTGCTTGGCACCTCAGAGAGAGCATTATCATTCTTTAATGGTGCTAAGCACCTCAAAGAGCATTATCTAATGATCTTGGCACCTCAAAAGAGAGAGAGAGAGAGAGCATAATTCTTATCTGGTGGTACTTGGTGCCTCATACAGAGCATTATTGTTATCTGATGATGTTGAGTACTGCAAAAAGAGCATTATTATCTAAAAAAAACTTGGCACCTGAGACTGCAATATTATTATCCGATGATGCTTAGAACTCAGGGAGAGCATCATCTGATGATACCCAGCACCCAAGAGAGAGTATTATCGTATCATCTGATGATACCCAGCACCTCAGAGAGAGTATTATCATATCATCTGATGATACCCAGCACCTCAGAGAGAGGATCATCATATCATCTGATGATACCCAGCACCTCAGAGAGAGTATTATCATATCATCTGATGATACTTGGCACTTCGTACCTAAGAGATAAAGCATCATCATCATCTTTTAACTCATTATCTGATGATGCTTTGCACACCAGAGAGCTGTATCATTGTCTGACAATATTTTAGGATCTCTGAGAGAGCATATATTATCATTCATTATCTGATGAAATGCGTTCTGTATGTGTGGAAAGATGATGTGGCTTAGTTAAATTTACTGATCAATGTATATGTATCTAGTGAAAAAAAAAAAGATTTGCAGTGGCTCAGTTTATCACAACTCATGCATTCTTGAATTTTCATTTGCAAGCTTTGAAGTTCATGTATATCTGTATATACAAATGTATGTAAAAAGTTAAGAATTAAGAATGGTATAACTATTGACTACTTGTTTGCAAAATTGGAAATGAAATTTTAATTAGTGAAGATAAAACATATATTCATAATTAGATAATTAAACTGTTTTCATTTACCAAATTTCACATTCATGATCATTTGACACTTTGAATTTTGTTGTTACATTTTTTTTCTCATTAACTTTTCTGATTTGAGCTGTTATTAATTAATTCAAACTTGTTGTTTTTCTTGAGATATACAAAAGAACTGATGACTAAATAAAATAAGATATAGCATTTATTTAAAAATGTTTTTTTAAAAAATATTTTCTTCACTGAAAAAAAAAATTCAATACAAAATCCGTGAATAAAATCCAGGTAGGTTTGCCATACAGTCATTTAGGGAGGGGAAATGTACAAAGGGTTAATGACCCTACCCCCATGATGAGGAAGCTGAAATGAAAGCAATGAAATATGTTAATGAATTAGCTATACATTGATAAAAAAAAATATGTATTATTACATATAATTGGATATGTATAAATATAGAAAACAAGAAATTGTACAGAAATAATTTTTTCATTCTGTTCGAAAATTTGTCCTCCACACCCTTTTGTCATCTGATGCTTTGTCCCTACAGCTACAGATGCCTATAAGAACATGCTGTCAGGATCACTGCCCCAGCAACAGCGGCAGGTGATGACAGATGACGACGAAGAAGGTGACACAGATGATGATGTCGAAAAACAGTTTGCATCTGCCTTGTCTCCCAGAGAACAGTAAGACCCCCTCTAATGTACATGTATATAACTTAGTACATGTTGTCTCCTATCCTGCAGAGAACACTAGGATCTAGTCCTCTAATGTACATGTATATAACTTAGTACCGGGGTAGTCTCCTATCCTCCAGAGAACAGTAAGATCCCCGATATATATAACTTAATAACCTCCAGTCCTGGAAAATCTTTGAGGTGCTTCCCCCCCGCAAAGAGCTTTGTCAACTCACTTCAGATATAACTAACTTCCAGAAACCTGACATTCTTTCTTCTAGAAATACATTCCAAAGATGTGATATTTAGCACTAAGAAGTTTGTCCTTTTTTTCAGAAATGTTGCAGCAACTATACCCACTGGTACTTCAAAAATGATGGAACCAGATGTTTTGTCAGATGAAAGTTCTACTGTGGCCTCTCCCCTCTATGTCCCAACTGCTGTGACAGCAAGGTATGTGTGATAAATTTTATTTTGGAGTCAAAGATTTTATTCTGATTCATAACAGTAACTAGTCTAATATTCTCTCCAACAGATTTAACATACAGTGTATTATTTAATCAGATACAACTTATGCAATCTTTAAATTTACCACTATGTAAAACGTGTTCCGTAGTGGTGTAAAAAAAAAACATTCGGCAAACATAGGATTTTCATGTTATTCAAAGTGATGCCATTTAATGTAGCACCTCCCCATGCTGTAAATGCATTTACTGTATACAAGATTATTTTTCCCCCATATTATTTTTGTCTTTTCACTCTTGAAAACAATTTTGCCCCTTTAAATTTGCCATACACAATTGTAATTAAAAGACAACGCTGTTTTCTTTGAATTGCCCCCATTTTAAATTCGCCCTCTTGTGACCAGGGTGAAAGTAAAACGAGGGCTAAAATTTCTCTGTATACAGTAAATACATGTACTGAATACTGTCTGACTGCACAAGAATGTTGATAAACTTGAATCAACCTATTCTGATGGTGTAAACGACTTTCATTTGATGTAAGCATTGACCTAAAGTTTGCCTTATTTCTGTCAGCAGTAAACCTACAAAGACAGGCATGACAACACCCAGGTCTACAGGGCTCTCCCAGTCTGGCCCAAGACGACCAGGTAAGGTTGAAAATTCAAAATCCATTGAAAAACTGCATTCTGTAAAGGGGGATAACTCCTTAGCATACATATAATTCTAGTCAGAATGAATAATATACAGTAAAGTGTTACCATCGAAGCACATAATAAATACATGTATATTGCATGAAATTCTTTTCCAGGAATACAATTCCAGTCTGACCTTGACACGGATACAGAAATAGACATCCTCCAGAAAAAAGAGGGTGACAAAGACAAAGAAGACGAAGATTTTTACGATTTTTATGGATAATGCAAACTGTTACCTTGTTGTTAGAATATCATAGTAACATTAACTTGTTATTTTATATAGGACCAAAAAATCTAGCAGCAGTAATCAAATTCATGCTCAGTGAGAGACCTTTAATTGTCCATGTACTTTTCACAAAGATATTATTTTAGTTACTTTGTAACAACTTGTAAAATATAAATGCCATAAAGAAAAGACAGTAATTCAAATTTTTGTTATGTCTTTTATATTTAGAAACAAATTCATGCATTAAAATAACACATCCAATGTTTTTAACTTTACTGATATCAGAATGTACAAAGTGCAGTGTTTGACCACAAATTTTGAACGACTCTATTTTTGAGAGTCTGTCAATTAGAATGAAGATGATATAATTTCCACACTTTCAAGTTCACTATTGAAAGCTGTCTCTACATATCTGAAGTTACAGATCTGTGTCAGTTAGATATGACAATCATAGGTTAGAAAAGTCCTAAAATTTCTATAAAGTGACAAAATTTTGCGTATGCCACAAAGACAGGAGTGGGAGATAAACATTCTTGTAAATCCATAATACCAGTACATTTCAGATAAAAATTTGGTATAGAAATTGAATTCCAGGATTACATAAATGTTATGAGTAAGAAATAGCATAGTATGACAGATGTAACATTGAATTTGTTTTCAAATCAAAATCAGATCTCTTACATCTATAATCAGTGATAAGTGAGGGCATTTCATCTTGGATTATTTTTCAAATATTTCATTTTCATGGAGTACGGTAATAAAAAAAAAACAGGCTTGGAGGAATGTCTCCTTAATGAAAGGTTGTCTATTGATGAATATCCATCCATTGAGGTTGTAAATTTGTTTGAAGAAGCACCCTCAAAATCAACGAAAACATAACCCGTACAAAAATATAATGATTTCACAATAAGTGATAAATCCAGTGCTGTAAGTCCTCCAATTATAACATGATGGTTTAGGTAGTATCCCTATTGGTTTGTGTGTCATCTCATGTGTCCTCAGCACTATCATCATCACTTTCTTTATCCCAGTCCTTCATTTTTGCCCCCATCATGAAATCATCTCTTAGAGCACTCCATTTCTCTTCTTTCTTAATTTCAACCTGTAAAATTATTTAAATGTCAATCTAAAGTACTGTAAACATGATTATATTGAGGAGTTGAATTACTGTAAACATGGTTATATTGAGGAGTTGAAGTACTGTAAACATAGTTATATTGAGAGACTGAAGTACTATAAACATGGTTATATTGAGGGGTTGAAGTACTGTAAACATGATTATATGAGGAGTTGAAGTACTGTAAACATGGTTACATTGAGGGGTTGAAGAACTGTAAACATGGTTATATTGAGGGGGTTGAAAGTTTGACGATTCTGATATTTTAGAGATATGGCGAGTGGAAATTTGACTACAGTAAAACTTGATTATAAGGAAGTCACTGAGACTTCAAATTTTGCTTCCTTATAACCGGATTCTTTAAATCTGTACATGAAAAATAATGAAAAAAAATTCTCTTCAGTATTCTTTAAAAAGCTCCTTATAACTGTGATTTCCTTACGAGTTCTTTATAATCAAGTTTTATTGCACTAGTGTGTAACATTGCTCTTCATAAAGAATGAGAAAGTTGACAAGTGGAAACATAACAATTAATTGTAATTTGTCAAAGTTACCACTTTTATAGTATTTCTATGAATTTTTCGTCATGTATATTTGAAAATCTTTGTACTGAATTTGAAATGCTCTAGACTAGTACATTTGTGTCTTAATTCTCTCGGAAAAAATCTGTATATTGACATTTGGAATGTTTATTAATTCTTCCAATTAATATGCTAAGTCTACAATTATCAGAATTCATTTTTTGGGAATATGTAACATACTGTAAACTTAATCACTACCGTATGTTTATGACTGATTCATGACAGACAACAATAGTCTTAGAAAACAGATAGCAAAGGTCACCCGAGTGACTAAGGTGACCTAATAAGAAGATGAACTTTGGGCCATCTTTAAAAAATTGTTTGTTTGGCCTCTCCCAACCGACTGGCTAAAAATGACTCAAAACTTTTCTAAACGTCCAGGAAATGTTAAGCCTTTTTTTTTTTTTTTTTTAAATTAATTCCGGAACTTTCCAATCCCATCAGAAACTATTTTAATGTATTAATAACTTCAATTTTAATAGATTTTGAAAATTAAACCTTGATGTTGAAAATTTCTGGGGGGAAAAAAATTTCCACCTACCTACCACCCATTTTTAGCTCACCTGAGCCGAAGGCTCAAGTGAGCTTTTCTGATCACATTTTGTCTGTAGTCCGTCTGTCCGTCTGTCTGTCCGTCTGTCCGTCTGTAAACTTTTCACATTTTCGACTTCTTCTCAAGAACCACTGGGCCAATTTCAACCAAACTTGCCACAAAGTATCCTTGGGTAAAGGGAATTCAAGTTTGTTCAAATGAAGGGCCACGCCCTCTTCCAAGGGGAGATAATTAAGAATTCGTGAAAAATTAATGGCATCATTAAAAAATCTTCTTCTCAAGAACCACTGTGCTTGAAAACATGAAACTTATGTGGAAGCATCCTCAGGTAGTGTAGATTCAAATTTGTTCAAATCATGACCCCCGGGGGTAGGGTGGGGCCGCAATGGGCGATCAAAGTTTTACATAGGAAATATACAGGAAAAATCTTTAAAAATCTTCTTCTCAAGAACAGCAAAGCCATACTTGGTCATATTTATATGGTAGCATCCTCAGATAGTGTACATTCAAGTTTGTTCAAATCATGACCCCCGGGGGTCGGGTGGGGCCACAATGGGCCATCAAAGTTTTACATAGGAATATATAGGAAAAATCTTCAAAAATCTTCTTCTCAAAAACAGCAAAGCCATGATTGGTCATATTTACTTGGAAGCATCCTCAGGTAGTGTAGATTCAAGTTTGTTCAAATCATGACCCCCGGGGGTAGGGTGGGGCCACAATGGGCGATCAAAGTTTTACATAGGAATATATAGGAAAAATCTTTAAAAATCTTCTTCTCAAGAATAGCAAAGCCATGATTGGTCATATTTACATGGAAGCATCCTCAGGTAGTGTAGATTCAAATTTGTTCAAATCATGACCCCCGGGGGTCGGGTGGGGCCACAATGGGCGATCAAAGTTTTGCATAGGAATATATAGGAAAAATCTTTAAAAATCTTCTTCTCAAGAACAGCAAAGCCATGATTGGTCATATTTACATGGAAGCATCCTCTGATAGTGTAGATTCAAATTTATTCAACTCATGACCCCCGGGGGTCGGGTGGGGCCACAATGGGCCATCAAAGTTTTACATAGGAACACATAGTAAAAATTCTAAAAAAATAACAATTTGTTAAGAATAGCAAAGCCATGATTGGTCATATTTATATGGTAGCATCCTCAGATAGTGTACATACAAATTTGTTCGAATCATGACCCCCGGGGGTCGGGTGGGGCCACAATGGGCGATCAAAGTTTTACATTGGAACACATAGTAAAAATCTTTAAAAAAAACTATTTGTTAAGAATAGCAAAGCCATGATTGGTCATATTCATATGGAAGCATTCTTAGATAGTGTACATTCAAGTTTGTTCAAACATGACCCCTGGGGGTCGGGTGGGGCCACAATGGGTGATCAAAGTTTTACATAGGAATACATAGGTTAAATCTTTAAAAATCTTCTACTCAAGAACAGCAAAGCCATGATTGGTCATATTTAAATGGAAGCATCCTCAGATAATGTAGATTCAAATTTGTTCAATTCCTGACATCCCCCCCCCCCCCCCAATCACTTTTATATTTAAACTTTTCAACCCTTCAAGATTGAAGTGATTTCTGCTTTTTCCTAGCCATAGTGCTCAGGTGAGCGATGTGGCCCCTGGGCCTCTTGTTTTCTATCCTGAGTTGAGAGAGGGCAAACAAACATTATTTTAATGATGGCCTTGACATGAAATATTTATTCAATGAAATCTGAATTCTGTATACAAGGTAATTTTCGCCCTTTCACACCTGCAAACAATCTGAATTTGCCCAGACACAGTTCTAATTAAGAGATAATGCTGCTTTCATTGAATTCACCCCGTTTTAAATTTGCCGAAAAGGGGTGAAAATTTCCCTGTAAACAGTAATCCAGATGGATAGAAAACAATGAAAAATAAAGTTTTTTTTCTGAAAAATAAATACTTTTCCCCATACAACCGAAAAAGGAGCTTAATTAGATGAATTGGAGGAGCATTTACAATGTAAAACATATTTTTGAAGACATAAGATATATTAAGAAAGTATAAGTATACTGTGGAATCATCATTGTTCATAGGGGACCAATGATCATGAATTTCATGGATCACCCTTACCCAAGAATTTACATCCCGATGAACATTTATTTTGTTAACATATTGATTCATTGAACCACCATATAAAACAAGTAAACCACAAAATGACGTCCCCACAAACAAATAAAATTTTGCTTGCCCACAAACATTGATCCTCATGAATTAAATTGATTCCACAGTACATGTAGTACAACTAATACCTGTTCAGGTTTATTCTCTGCATTTTTTAGAATATCCAAGAATTTGCCTTTCGTCATCGACTTTTCCACCTTTTCTCTTTTGATCTCGGATGATCCCACTTCCTTCATCTTTTCATCTAGAACCTTTTGTTGTTTCCGCACTGCATTAAAGAGCTGAACGACGCCCCTGAGGTGAAAATTAGAATGATGACTGATAGTCAGACAAGAATTGAACTACTGAAACTCATTTTAAAACACTGCAATGAGAGTTATATAGTAATGCTTTCTTAATATAAAGAGTTTTAGTGAATCTGTGGATATAATGAATGAATTTCGCTCCTAAGGCTAAATAAAATTGAAATTGCTGTTCTCATGCATAAGCAGGTCTGTTTTGAGGTAGCCACATTATGATATTTTTCATATTTTCAATGAAATAAAAAGTTGGTGACGCAGAGACCAATTCAGGAAAAAAATTCTGCCCTCATTTTTTCATAGTTTTGCACATATGTTTGGTAATCTTGTGAGATTATCAAATATATCTACAGAATAACTCCAGTATAATTATGAAAGAAGAATTTTCATTGTTAATTATGTAGAAAATTCTGGAATAAAAATTGCATCCAGCATAATTAATTCATCGCCGATAAAAGGAGGGGAAAAAAAGCCTCCCTCCCTCATCTGTTTTCATTTATATGTGGAAAATACAATAGTACACAATTTTATTAAACCTTTGTGCTATACGCTGAAGTTTTCGTTCCTTCTCCCTGTCCAGTGGATTGGGTTTGGTGCGACCTATACTTTCCCAGAGCTTTTTCTACAAAATAAAATTAAAATGTACCATTTGACACAGCCTCCCAGTCACATGCGTCTACAAGTTTTATATCTGCCTTTTTTTAATACAACTTGAGCATAAAAAAAAATCACAAAAAGATCATTTATGAATTAAACATCTCAGTGATATATGGTCAAACTTCAATATCTCATAGATATCGCAAATAAGGCGAAAATAAAATTATTGTTTGTTTGGAATTGCCTCCCGCCTCATTGAAATGACCCCTCCTGGAAAAATTTTATTGGCCAAAAATAAGATTTTTTTTTTATTCAATCAATTCTTGGCTTGTTACCACATGTGCCACCAAATCACTTAATAAGTGTAGGTTCAAAGCAAAACTGGGTTCCTGGTTGATGGGAGATGCCCTTTACAAAAAGGCAGAAAATAATGTGTTCATTCCTTATTGAGACTTTTATCATTAATTCTTAATTTAACTTTAATTTTGTAAAAAAAAAATAATTTCCCTCCCTCCCTCCCTCCTGGGTCTGAAACCTCCCAGGTGGCAATTCCAAACGAACAATTTTTTAATGATGGCCTAATACCATGCATATATTCAAGTGAGTTGGAAGTCCTAACAACTTTTTCTTTATGTATTTAACTACAATAACCTCAATATCTATAGTTCTCAGATACTTTTTTTCCCCTCTGCCCTATCAAATTTGAGATAATAGAATTTGACTGTATATTTTAATGGCTTCTTATCTGGTTTTATACTTTATAAAAAGTAATTACTCTGTCTTTTCAAAAATCAAAATGTGATTGATGTCTGACCTTTTGCTGAGAAACATGAGATTCTCTAGTTTCTTCATCTTCATTTTGCCGCTTTCGGGTCAACTCCTTGTCAGTAGTTCCTTTTGCAAGAATAATTTGTTTGTGTGCTGGAATCTGTTTCTTGAGAATTTTATTCATGGCGTCAGCAAGACCTGCTTTTGTATCTTCTTGGATTTCTGAGTCACTATGTCTATCATCTGCCATGAACAGAATATTATCACCTCTTTCATTATCATCATCATCTTCGTCTCCACTTTCATTATCACCATCATCCTCTTCATCATTTTCAACTTTTAATGTCATATCTTCATCTGAGTTTTCTTCAGTGTCACTGAGTTCTACAAATATTTAATAAAACATGTGAAAAATAAAATAAAAAAGAGAAGATTTCATTGCACGGTATTTGCGAGTTTACACATCAAGAGTATATAACATAGAAACAATTTTCCTTAATATTACCTTCTACAGATGCACTGGTTGCCGAACCACTGTCATCAAAATCATCGGATTGGTGCAACACGTGTACCTCTGTCATCTTTTAAACTGAAAATGAAAGTAGGTAGTGTTGGGAAATAAATTTGCGGAAGTGTCTATCGGCACGACGGTCGTGCCGATTATTTTCGTTATTCGCACGACGGTCGTGCTAATTACAGTTCTTATCCGCACGACACAAGAGAGATAACTCTATAGTACATTATATACACTTTTCACCAAAAATTTAATACAAAGTAAAAGAGATGCACCTAATACACACATGTAGAACTAATTATAACATTCGGTTAAGTAAAATTTGCTTACGGTGAATTTTCTTCGTGAATCGTCGTGACACAGTATACATATATGGTATAATAAGAATTATTTTTTTATTCGTCCTTTATATCATCTCTTGAGTACATGTAACGTACTTCAGACGTTGATTGGAAATATAAAAAAAAATATAGCTATCTATTTTCAATAATTTTCTTTCGTTTTTATGGTGTTTATATTCTCTTTCCATAATTTTCCATTTTTCTGGATGGTCTTAATAATATATAGTTTCATCTAAACGTTTTCTTATTTAAGTACGTTGATCAAACTTGTTTGGAGTTTTTCAAATATACAGGAACTTTTAAATTCATTTAAAAATTCTTTAAAATTAATATGATACGATATAATCCATGTCCATAAAAGAAAAGATTGATTTTAATGTCAGAGTAGTAAATATAAATATTTAAAAAAAGCATGGGATAGATTCACATCTAGTCTACTTTATTGCAATACTGAGACCGTGATTTTGATTCCGATATAATAATTCACGTGTACATGTACATGTATCAGGCGCGGATCCAGGAATTTTTTCCAGGGGGGGGGGTGTCCACCCCAGTCAAAAAAAAATTCAAACCCAGAAATTTCTTGACAAGCGACAATAAAAAAACCCCCCGTAAACTCCTTTCCCAAACGTGAAAAACCTATTTCGGGGGAGGGGGGTAGTCATTGACGTCTAAAGATTCCAGGGGGGAGGGGGGGGGCTCTAGATCCGCACATGTGTATCATAGGACGCAGACTACCAATTATTTTGCTAATATGTTTTACGGTGTGACCGTTGGGGCGAGCGCAGTTGTACCATCAAAAACCTATACACAGTTTACACTTCTAACGTTGATGGATCCACCTCTTCAAACGTCAAACCGCACGAGACACAGTCAAGACTGTGACGTCACATGACGTCGGAATTTACGGAGACAGCCGAGCGTCTGGTTGAACGAGACTAAAGATCTTGTGCAGTAATAAATGAAATACGTTGTAGAGTGGATGTAATTATTTTTTATTTCTTTTAAGCCCTCTGCAAAGAAAGAAAAGTAAACGTATCTCTCGGTAATGAATAACAAGTTTAGCTTTTGAAAAAACCTTAGAGAGTCAGTCAGTGGATTTTTCTATCTCCAAGATAATATTTTAAAGCATCAGGAAACAGAAATTTGGTTGAAGGAAAATGTTTTCAGAAAGAATTTGCATATATATATAAAGCGGAATTGGTCACTGAGAACTTTTTTCTTAATAGTTTTTCGGCATGGGAGGAGAGGGTTTGGGGTTCAATGCAATCCCATGCATGCAGATCTTTGCATTATTTTGTCAATTAAAAACAAAACAGAAGGTTTCATTATCGAAATTCAAATTCACGTAGCAGAATTCCCTAAAAAGTCAGTAAAGCTGATCTCATTAGTCTGATCTAGGATTTTATGAATAAAATAGAGGGGGAAGGGGTCGCCACATAGATGTACATTTATGTAGGTATAGTTTTCACAACCCTCTAACTCCCTATCCCATTTACAATTCTTATGCTCTAGTACGTAACAACGTCTAGCTAGTTTTAAGTCTTTCTATTAAGTTTTTTTTTTTATTATGACCTCTTTCTTTGATCTTCTTAAGACTTTCATAAGTTCGAACCTCCTGGACCACCACGCCCGTGGATCTGCCATTTAATCTTGACATTTACTCAAAGGTTACTTTTATTGTTATTTATTTAAAAAAGCTAAAAATGCGCATTCATAAGACTTAAGGACAGATGATACAGACAAAAAGAAAAATGGATGCCTCGAATGGTATATATTTTTGGACCTTTTTAGGTTGTAAACGATGTGAATATAAAATTTCTAAAATATTAAGAAATTGTAAACCTTCTATGACATTTAAAATTCTATCCTCTGAAATCATCCTCATTAATCTGTGGATTTTTTTTTTCACTTAAAATCACGTTATTGTGAAACGGAGAATGAAAAATAAAAATCTATGAGGCTCAAATTATTTTTACTTATGTAAAAAGATTATTTAAGTTCAAGCGCCACTTCTCAAGCCTTTCCGACAAGCGGGAAAATAACCTCAAATGTGTTACGTAGGCGTCCATGATAAACCTCTTTTCATGAACTTTTGAAATAAATGTAGATGGACCCGTTTTCAATGTAGAGGTAAACTTTATTGGATGTAAAAATATTACATAAAATATATCAAAGAAGGGACTTTCAACTTAGTCTATCCAATACTTTAATAAATAGGAAGCGACTCCATTTTGTATATTTTTTTGCATCCGCTGATCAATGTTAATATATTCGAGGTGTTTTTTCCGAGAGACTCGAGAAGATACGATTGTTTGTTATTTTCATGATTTTTTTAATAAAAATTTGTATCATCTGTCCTTAATAGATTTCAAAAACACAATAATTAACAACAAAGAACTGGAGGTATATAATCAAACACAACGTATTATCCAACAAACTTAAACTCCAGGAGCGATGAAGTTTTCACGTCAGCAATTCCCTACCAGCTTGCAGGATGCCCTCTGGTAGAGATTGTCTCGGTTGAATCACTCTCGGCAACTGCATTTAGGTAATGGAAGAGACATTTTTATCCCCTTGATTCATTGACAGACATTCTAAACGTCCTTATTGAAATCATTATATACAATTTCTAGTGATTTTTAGAACATGAAAATAAATATTTGCCGAAAAAGGGACCTTCTTTTAGTCTTTACTTTGCGTTATATTTTATATTTTAGTGTGCTGACTTTCAAAATTAAACCTAACTTCATTTGATTGAAACAAAATAAACAACATTAAACCTGAATTTCCATAAATTGAATGCTTTAATTTAATGATAAACAGGTGAACTTATTGGAGATCCCAAGCAATATAAAAAGCGAAGTCAGCTGTGTCTGCCCAGTCTATCCGCCGCATACCTTTACAAATCTTATTGACCTACTCGGTAATTGACATCGGGATCGAAATGCTTTATTCAAAACGAAAGTAAAACAAGTAAAAATAAACGACTTCAAAATCTGGAATAAACCAATATTTATGCTGCTGATCTGAGTGTATATACATGTAAAATAATTTTAAGATATACTTTACAGAACAGTTTCAAATGACACATCAAACGCTGCATTAAATGAATTTATATTTCGCTGCGCAGAACACACGTTTCATGATATTTGATGCTAACGAACCAGTTTACAAAACTTGAAACTCCAAAGACAGTACTAAGCTTCTGCTTCAATATAGGAAGATTTTTAAAAACTGAATCAGTATCAAAGGCCTTCATGTTTTAAGTTCAAATAACAGTTTACCGGTATTAGGTGTTAAAATGGGGATTTCATAGTTTAATCAATATTGATTTTACTGAAACGAAATTAAAAAGAGTGAATTACTCAAAAACCTCTTCCCAGGTGGTCACGCAAGTCGTTTGATCCCCAATTCAAACGATGCCGTAAGCGTGTAGGTGACCTAGACTACCCAGAATTCCAAAGTACGCAAGCGCATTTGAAGTTCTTCGTAAGATAACTAGTCAGCCCGTGGGCTGACTAAATTATCCTTGGTCTTCTGAATGTTTTGTAAGAATTTCGCATGGAACCCTGGTAGCGAAGGAATTCTGGGAATGTTGCCCCAGAAAATTTGCCTGACGTATGTACAGATTTCATTCCGAATTTTCTCTGTTCTTACACGTTAGTCTATTGAGCTCGCTGCGCTCGCTATAATGTACTCCTTTATAACAAAAAAATTAATTTAAAGAATTTCACTGCCTCAACTCACCTGGAAAATCAGGAAAATTCGTAGTGTACAAGCCATGCTGTGACACTTCAAATAACCCTTACACTGCACGTATTTCAAATTCCCTTAAAATTTGAGAAGCAGATAAAAAAGTCTTTTTTATACTCTTCCTAAAAGCAAAGATTCCAAGACTGTAATTTTCAAAAAATTCCAGACATTTTTTTCTATCTAAAATCAACCCACTCCAACCCATACACATTCCAGAGGAATAAAGGAATAAAACCCTGTTTTTGTTTTTTTTTTAAATGCCACCACTTACGCAAAATGGGGCAAATTAACCATCAGTTTCAGACTGTCCAGAAGCTTTTTTTTAATATATAAAACTGAAACTTGAGTGTCGTATTTCGAAAAAAGGCCTTTGTTTTCTTTTTGAAAAATCGTAATCTTAATTATGCCGCGGCAAACACTCTAGCACTTCAATGAACTAGGAATTTCTGAAGAGTTAGGGATAAGTTCACTTTTTGTGTCCGTCTAATATGTTAAATTCGCTTTGAGTTTCTACACACAATAGCAAAACACCGAGTAAAAATTTATTTATATAAATAAAATATATGCAAATATAAATAATATAAAGTTATAAACAAAAAAATTATAAATAAAGTATATGCAAATATAAATAGTATAAAGTTATAAACAAAAAGAATTATAAAATTGTTTCAGAGTTTGTCGTGCGGATAGCCTCCGTAATCGGCACGACCGTTGTGCGGATAACAACAGTAATCGGCACGACTGTCGTGCGGATAACACCGGTAATTAGCACGACCGTCGTGCGGATAGCCTCGGCCTAAATTTGCACAAAACGAATTTTCGTTTACATTAAGATATTCGAATTTTAAATGAAAAAAGTTGAAATCGTGATAAAAATGGTTATGTAGATACAAATTGTCTTAGCTCTACCTTGTTCTTTTTGGAATAAAATGCATATATGTCTTCGTTTTATGCACCGAAAAATAAGTCGGGTTCGAAATTCTAGCACGTCTTGTAAACTTCC